CAGGCCTTCATGATCAAATTGCTGCAAAGAAACCACTACTAAAGGACACCAATAACAAGAAGAGACCTGCTTGGGCCAAGAAACATGAGCAATGGACATTAGACCAGTGGAAATTTGTCCTTTGGTCTGGAGTCCAAATTTGAGATTTTTGGTTCCAACCGTCGTGTCTTTGTGAGACTCAGTGTGTAGTTCCCACCGTAAAGCATGGAGGAGGAGGTGTTATAGTGTGGGGGTTCTTTGCTGGTGACACAGTCTGTGATTTATTTAGAATTCAAGGCACACTTAATCAGCATGGCTACCACAGCATTCTCCAGCGATACGCCATCCCATCTGGTTTGGGCTTAGTGGGACTATCATTTGTTTTCAACAGGACAATGACCCAACACACCTCCAGGCTGTGTAAGGGCTATTTGACCACAATCTCCCGACCTCAACCCAATTGAGATGGTTTGGGATGAGTCGGACGGCAGAGTGAAGGAAAAGCAGCCAACAAGTGCTAAGCATATGTGGGAACTCCTTCAAGACTGTTGAAAAAGCATTCCAGATGAAGCTGTTTGAGAGAATGCCAGAGTGTGCAAAGCTGTCATCGAGGCAAAGGGTGGCTATTTGAAGAATCTCAAATATAAAATATATTTTGATTTGTTTAACACTTTTTTTGGTTACTACATGATTCCATGTGTAGTTTTGATGTCTTCACTATTACTCTACAATGTAGAAAACAGTAAAAAATAAAGAACAACCCTTGAATGAGTAGGTGTGTCCAAACTTTTGACTGGTACTGTATGTACCATTCTGTCAGTGAGAGGCTTCTTAGGGTTACACTGGGAAGGCCTTATCTGGTAGCAGGAGGCCTTCTGAAGACTATCTACCACAGACACATACCGCCAAGGTGTCATCATTCATTATTACTTACTGTCAGCTCACTGCAGAGGCAGATCAAGAGGGGGAGGGAGAGTGTTTGAAACATTTCAGATTCCCTGATTTTAATGGAATTATTTAAAAAGGAACATGTTTGTTTGTAGTCAGTGTTCCTGACTACATTAGGCCTTCTATGCAGAAAATTCCAGGTGGTATTAAGGCCAATTACCATTGGTATTTATCCTGCTACCAGCCTCTTTTTACCCCTGTTTACATGTATACCTACCTCAGCCACGCCAGTATCCCTGCACATTGGAATAATGGTACTGCCACTGACCTGTATATAACTTGGATTCTCATCCTTTTATTCTGCATTGTTGGGGAAGAGCTCGCAAGTAAGCATTTCACTGTACTGTTTTACACCTGCTGTATCCTGTTCATGTGACAATAAACCTTGAAAAACGTGAAAATAGCCACCATAAAGGTGATTTAATAGTCCACTTCTAATACAGCTAGTCAGCACATTGTTGTTACTATGTTGATACCCAACCTAACTATCCCCCTCTCCTTCTCTGAATATTAGCTTGTGCTTATTTAGACTGGCCCTGTGCCTGGACTTGTTGATTCTTCATTTCTCGGTGCGACACATGAGACTGAGACAGGAAACGCTAGTGTATCTCCACCGTCTATCTGATGGCCAGCCAGCCAAGGCAGAAACACCATTGTGTTCCACGTCCTCCTCTGCCTCTTTACCAGGCCCACAGCCACACAGCCTCACTGGGTTGACTGCAGGGTTCTCCTACTCTAGTCCTGGAGAGCAAACAGAGGGTGCAGGCTTTTGTTCCAGCCCTGCACTAACATGACTGATTCAACTAATCATGTTCTCAAGAATCTCTAGAATTGAGACCATGATTGGCTGAATTAAGGTATGTATGGTGGAGAGAAGCAGACCTAGTAGTATACTCTAGTATAGCCTGCCCTGTTCACTGAAGTACTGGTTTGTACTGGGAATAAGCACCATGATCCAACACCACCCCCTAGCAGCAAAAGTGGTGCTCTGTTTTTGAATTGTAGTAGGATGGCTCTCCTGCAGATTTGTCCATTTTGATTGAGCTTGATTCACCCATCTACACACAATACCCCATAACGACAAAGTGAAAACATGTTTGCAAATGTATTGAAAAAATGAAATACAGAAATAACTCATTTATATACTGTAAGTATTCACACCCCTTTGCTATGACACTCCAAATTGAGCTCAGGTGCATCCAATTTCCTTTGATCATCCTTGATGTCACTACAACTTCATTGGAGTCCACCTGTGACCAAATCAATTGGTTGGACATGATTTAGAAAGAAACACACCTGTCTAGATAAGGTCCCACAGTTGACAGTGCATGTCAGAGCAGAAACTATACCATGAAGTCCAAGGGAACTGTCCATAGATCTCCTAGATAGAATGATGGATATATCTGGGGAAGGGTATGAATCAATTTCTAGAGTGATTAAAGTTTCCAAGAGCACAGTGGGAAATTGAACAAATATGGAACTACCCAGACTCTGCCTAGAGCTGGGCGACCGACCAAACTGAGCAATCGGGCAAGAAGAACCTTGGTCAGGGAGGTGACCAAGAACCAAGTGACCACTCTGACAGAACTATAGAGTCCCTTTCGCTGAGATGGGAGAACCTGCAAGAAGGTCAATAGTCTCTACAGCACTTCACCAATCTGGGCTTAATGGGAGTGTGGCCAGACGGAAGCCACTCCTGAGAAAAAGGCACGTGATGGCACACCTGGAGTTTGCAAAAAGGCATGTGAAAGACTGAGAACATAAGGCAAAATATTCTGTGGTCTGATGAGACAAACATTGAACTCTTTGGCCTGAATGCAAAGTGCTATGTCTGGAGAAAACCAGGCACAGCTCATCATCCGTCTAACACCTTCCCTACCATGAAGCATGGCGTCATGGTATGGGGATACTTTTCAGAGGCAGGGACTGGGAGACTGGTAAGGGTAGAGGGAACAATGAATGGAGCCAAATACAGGCAAATCCTGCTTCAGAGTGCAAACAACCTTAGATTTACGTTCCAACAGGACAATGACCCCAATCATACAGCCAAAGCAACGCTGGAATGGCTTCAAAACAAGAATGTGAAAGTCTGAGTGGCCAAGCCGAAGTCCAGACTTGAATCCCATTGAAAAATCCCCAAATCCAGATGTGCAAAACTAATACAAACATACCCAAGACGACTCAAATCTGTAATTGCCAACAAAGGTGCTTCTACAAAGTGTTGACCCTCAGGGGTGTGAATATGTATATAAATTATGTATTTCTGTATTTCATTTTCAATACATTTGCGAAAATTTCAAAAAACATGTTTACACTTTGTCAATATGCAGTATTGTGAAAAAAATCAATTTGAATCAATTTTGAATTCAGGCTGTAACACAACAAAAAGTGGAATAAGTCAAGGGGTATGAATACTTTCTGAAGGCACTGTAGGTGTGCTTTTTTGGTGAGTGTTAGCCTATCACTTTAAATATCTAACAGTAAGAGATGCAATGTGAGAGAAGGAGAGGGAGACATGCGGTGTGATGATCATGTGCCGAGCAGACTGTTACCGTGGCTCTTTGTATCACCAATCTAACTGTCAGGAATCTGGAAAGATCAGCATTAATATGTGACTGTACTGTGTAAATTCTCTAGAATTCAACACCTGGATATACGACAGTACAATATAGAAAATGATATCAGTTTTACTAACACCCTCAGTTTATGGACCAATCAAACCACAAAACACCGGCATAAGTAGACACACACGGCCAATAGGCCAATGTTGATCATCTCCCTTCTCCCTAAAGCTGGCACTCATTTACACCCTCTGCCTCCCCCTTCTGTTTGGTCCAGCAGTGACTACATTAGATCACCCTCTCTTAAAACAGTAATCATGTTCACTAGCCTCTGATGTAGCTAGCCTGCTGTGTAATTATGTGTTATGGTGACCAGCCGCTAAGCAGTGCTTACGGTAGCCGATCCTCTGGAAATTACTACCGTCTTGTTGCCTCCAATGAAACGGTTTAAAGAGTAGCTCTACCGGCGTTTAAGACTTAACTAGCCCTTTCTGGGATCGTAAAGGACTTCATCTTCTAAAGACTTGATCAGAAGAATTTGATTCTACCTTGTTTAATTTCCTTAGGCCTTTAAATACACACATGCACAGCCACACACACACACTGTGAGACATAGAGGAGCCACTGTTATTCCATTACACAGGCCTGGTACATGCATTCCATGAACACCTAACCACACAATTAGAACCAGCTAAATCACATCACTAGGCCTATATCTTGATGTTGAGTAGAGGACACCCTCAGTTAATACTAGAACTGCACCACACACACTGAGAGAACCTAATACTAGAACGTTTCCAAACACTGGTTAGTTGGAGAGTGTTAGTGGGCTGATTGTTTGACAGCGGCCTCCCGAGTGGCGCAGTGGTCTAAGGCACTGCATCACAGTGCTAGCTGTGCCACTAGAGATTCTGGTTCGAATACAGGCTCTGTCATAGCCGGCCGCGACCGGGAGACCCATAGGGTGGCGCACAATTGGCCCAGCGTCGTCCAGGGTAGGGGAGGGAATGGCCGGCAGGGATGTAGCTCAGTTGGTAGAGCATGGCATTTGCAACGCCAGGGTTGTGGGTTCGATTCCCACGGGGGGCCAGTATGAAAAATAAAATAATGTATGCACTCACTAACTGTAAGTCGCTCTGGATAAGAGCGTCTGCTAAATGACTAAAATGTAAAATGTAAATGTAAGAGTGTCTCTGTGAAAGAACCAATATCACCAGTCAGGCCTCTGAGATTTAGGCACTTTCACTTTACACAATTATTGTCGTTGTGGTTATCCAAGTCTATATAAAAGGGAGAAACAAGTTGAAATAACCTCTGTTGGTGTACTATGTAGTACTATGAAATGTATTCAAAGGGGATTACAAATAAATGCATTCTCTTTTTAATCATTGAATGTTATTTCCACAGTAATTGTTCTCTTGAATCATTTGACACATTGCATTTGTGAATATATTTAAATGTATCTACAAGTATTTATTTTTGTTTTTATCATTTTTGATCAGGTTTGCTGGAATGGGTAATCTTCTAAAAGTCCTTACAAGGGAAATAGAGAACTATCCACATTTTTTCCTGGACTTTGAAAGTAAGTCTGAAGGAGGAGTGTGCAGGAGTTTGACCGGAGGTGTAACCATTAAATTCTTCTCTCCTTCAGCCCCAGTCAGTGTAACCACAAAACCACCCATAGATACAAGCAGGTGGTTTGTATCTATGGGTCACCCCTGGATATAAAGCTGTGTGGGTGTCTGTCTGTACCTGTCTCTATCGCTCTAACACACCACACACCTCTTTCTCTCTCTTTTTCTCTCGCTTTTCTCTCTTTCAGAAACCAAATGGGGAATCTATTAAAAGTGCTCACTTGCACTGAGCTTGAGCAGGGGCCAAACTTTTTCCTTGACTTTGAAAGTGAGCAAAGCTTTTGCCTGGCCTGTGTTCTTCTTCCTTCTCTATATCTTTACTTCTGTACAGCTCCTTTACTAACCAGGGTTTGGGGACAATTCCATTTCAATACACTTCCAATTCCAGAACTGAGAAGTGACAGGTATTTTCAATTAGGATTTGTTTTCATTGGCCGAATTGAACTGGAATTGATTCTGACCCTGTTACTAAGCTACCTGCATGCTTCATAGTCTATGCTCCTAGAACAGCCCATTGCTTGCCTATTGTCTATCATCTAATCAAGTGATATCTGTTTTAAAGCTGAGCTCTTTTGCATGCACCATTTCCTTACTCTTCCTACACATGATATAGGCTAGGGACAGCAGCTGAACTGTTAACATATTAAAATATCCTGTTTTGGTTGAAAAATGTCACAGAGAAATGGGGGAAGCACTCACACCAATCATATTCCTTAGTGGTAGCCTAATTCACTCTCGTGTTGTCATAGTGCCATCACTTGTTTATCTACCATAGAGAAAGGGAAGGAAGGGAATATTTTACAATGCATTTACTCTACACAGTCGTAGTATTTTTAAATCAACTGATGTTCTGTGTTTAGTCTGTCGGGAAATAATGTAGGTTACTGACTGACTGTGTTAGCGGCAGCTTATAATATCAAAATGCCTTGAGTATAATTAAGAGCATGCCCTCTAAATGGCAGAGCTATAAGCCTCTGCCTTCTGTAGCTTTGTAGGGAGGAGCAGGTTGTGCTGGTATAATACAGAGTAGCCTTTCCTTGTCTCCTCATGCTTAGGTGATCTTTGAATCTAGAGATATTCATGTTTATGTCATGCTTGCTGAATGTTTTACAATTCCCTCACTAAAGTATATTGTATCATGCTATTCGTTGCTGAGATTATATTCTAAGCCTTAGAAGTTGTATTACTGTGCAAGAAAATGGCCTATACATACATACATACATACATACATACAGTGCATTCGGAAAGTATTCAGACTCCTTGACTTTTTCCACATTTAGTTACGTTAGCCTTATTCTATTTTTTGTCTGCAAAAACTGATACTTTATTTACATATGTATTCAGACCCTTTGCTATGAGACTCAAAATTAATCTCAGGTGCATCGTGATTCCGTTGATTATCCTTTAGATGTTTCTACAACGTGATTGGAGTCCACCTGTGGTAGATTCAATTGATTAGACATGATTTGGAAAGGCCCACACCTGTCTATATAAGGTCCCACAGTTGGCAGTGCATGTCAGAGCAAAATCCAAGCCATGAGGTCGAAGGAATTGTCCGTAGAGCTCCGAGACAGGATTGTGTCGTGGCACAGATCTGGGGAAGGGTACCAAAACATTTCTGCAGCATTGAAGGTCCCCAAGAACACAGTGACCTCCATCTTTCTTAAATGGAAGAAGTTTGGAACCACCAAGACTCTTCCTAGTGCTGGCCGCCCGGCCAAACTGGGCAATAGGGGGAGAAGGGCCTTGGTCAGGGAGGTGACCAAGAACCCAAAGGTCACTCAGACAGAGCTCCAGAGTTCCTCTGTGGAGATGGGAAAACCTTCCAGAAGGACAACCATCTCTGCAGAACTCCACCAATCAGGCCTTTATGGTAGAGTGGCCAGACGGAACAACTCCTCAGTAAAAGGCACATGACAGCCCGCTTGGAGTTTGCCAAAAGGCACCTAAATGACTCTCAGATTATGAGAAACAAGATTCTGTGGTCTGATGAAACCAAGATTGAACTCTTTGGCCTGAATGCCAAGTGTCACGTCTGGAGGAAACCTGGCACCATCCTTACGGTGAAACATGGTGGTGGCAGCATCATGCGGTGGGGATGTTTTTCAGTGGCAGGGACTGGGAGACTAGTCAGGATCGAGGGAAAGATGAACGGAGCCAAGTACAGAGAGATCCTTGATGAAAACCTGCTCCAGAGCGCTCAGGACCTCAGACTGGGGCGAAGGTTCACCTTTCAACAGGACAACAACCATCTAAGCACACAGCCAAGACAACGCAGGAGTGGCTTTGGGACAAGTCTGAATGTCCTTGAGTGGCCCAGCCTGAGCCCGGACTTGAACCCGATCGTCTCTGGAGAGACCTGAAAATAGCTGTACAGCGACGCTCCCCATCCAACCTGACAGAGCTTGAGAGGATCTGCAGAGAAGAATGGGACAAACTCCCCAAATACAGGTATGCTAAGCTTGTAGCGTCATTCCCAAGATGACTAGAGGCTGCCAAAGGTGTTTCAACAAAGTACTGAGTAAACCTCCCGAGTGGCGCAGTGGTGATGCAGTGGTCTAAGGCACTGCATCGCAGTGCTAGCTGTGCCACTAGAGATCCTGGTTCGAATCCAGCCTCTGTCTTAGCCGGCCGCGACCGGGAGACCCATGGGGCGGCGCACAATTGGACCAGCGTCGTCCAGGGTAGGGGAGGGAATGGCCGGCAGGGATGTAGCTCAGTTGGTAGAGCATGGCGTTTTGTAACGCCAGGGTTGTGGGTTCGATTCCCACGGGGGCCAGTATGAAAAATAAAAAAAGTAATTTATGCACTCACTAACTGTAAGTCGCTCTGGATAAGAGAGTCTGCTAAATGACTAAAATGTAAATGTAAAGGGTCTGAATACTTATGTAAGTGTGATATTTCAGTTTTTTATTTTTAATAAGTTAGCAAACATTTCTAAAAACCTGTTTTTGCTTTGTCATTATGGGGTGATGTGTGTAGATTGAGGGCAAAAAAACAATTTCATCCATTTTAGAATAAGGCTGTAACGTAACAAGTCAAGGGGTCTGAATGCTTTCCGAATGCACTGTACGTACATACATACATACATACATGATTTGTTTTTGACAAACAAATAGTCATACACAGTAATACATCCAAATTCCTGTTAAATGACAGTTTGTCTCATCACATAATCATTGAAAACCAAAGTGTCAGAATGTGTACGAGTTTAATGTCCAGTACAGTGTTGTGTTGTCTATATGTTGCCTGCTAGTTAGCCAGGCTAACTGTTGTTGTGTTGTCTATATGCTGCCTGCTAGCTAGCCAGGCTAACTGTTGTTGTGTTGTCTATATGTTGCCTGCTAGCTAGCCAGGCTAACTGTTGTTGTGTTGTCTATATGCTGCCTGCTAGTTAGCCAGGTTAACTGTTGTTGTGTTGTCTATATGCTGCCTGCTAGCTAGCCAGGCTAAATGTTGTTGTGTTGTCTATATGCTGCCTGCTAGCTAGCCAGGCTAACTGTTGTTGTGTTGTCTATATGCTGCCTGCTAGCTAGCCAGGCTAAATGTTGTTGTGTTGTCTATACGCTGCCTGCTAGTTAGCCGATCTAACTGTTGTCGTGTGTGTCAGATGCACAGCCCACAGACTGTGAGAGAGATGTATGGAACCAGGTGAATGCGGTGCTCCAGGACTCTGAGAGCATCCTCTCTGGCCTACAGGCCTACAAGGGAGCCGGACTTGAGATACGAGATGTATGTATATCTACTGGATATGCTGACACACACAGTCGTAGTCATAGGCTATGCATATTCGCACTCACAAATGTGCGTGCAGACTCACTCAAACAAACCTATACATTTATCGCGCAATTGATGATTTCATACCAGACATCTCAGAATGTTTTCCAGTTCTCTGACCTGTTTTTTTTTTTATATTCCATATAGATGATGTATATTTAACCATGGTGTGTGTCCCCAGGCCATTCAGAACCCAAATGACATGCTCCTACAGGAGAGAGCCTGGAACTCAGTCTGCCCCTTAGTCATACGACTCAAAAAGTTCTACAGTTTCTCGCTGAGACTAGGTAAGTCCAACATTCTTCCCTCCACAAAGAAGCACTTAGCGCAGAGGGGGATTACATTTTAACTACTATCAAAAGCCAATCAATAACATGTTGTGATGTTGGTATACTATTAAGTGTAATCTTTTTCACATTGGAGACATTAACATTTACATTTACATTTACGTCATTTAGCAGACGCTCTTATCCAGAGCGAAAAAATAAACATTTTTTTTGTACAACCTTTTTCCTTTGCCAGGTGTGTGTAGAGGACCCTACATAGCCTGCTGGAGAGTCTGGCGTGTTTAAAACCTAACTCATATTTGTAATGTAATATCTGTGTGTTTCTTCTCCTGTAGAGAGGGCCCTTCAGAGCCTGCTGGAGTCCCTGACGTGTCCCCCCTACACCCCCACCCAGCACCTGGAGAAGGAGCAGGCTCTGGCCAAACAGTTTGCTGAGATCCTTCACTTTACCCTGCGCTTCGACGAACTCAAGGTCAGACTCTCGCGCGCACACACAAATAATTTCAACTGTTAATTTCTGTACACAAGTTTGCACCTGTTTTATTCCCTCTGATAAATAAGAGTTCCCATGTTGTGTCTGTTGGAACTAAATGATTGTCCTCTTGACTTTCAGATGAGAATTCCTGCCATCCAGAACGACTTCAGTTATTACCGGAGGACGATCAGTCGAAACAGGATAAACAACATGAATGTGAGTCAGAGAAATAAATGTTATGTCGGTAATGTCTAGGGTTGCAAAAAATCATGTAATGTTTCCTAATCTTACAACAGGGATTTCTGAAAAACCTGGCAATTTTGGGAAAGTTATCAGAATTTTGTGACCCTAGTCATGTCTGTTTTAGTCTTGATGTGACAGAATAGCTTGTCTGTGTTTGGCCTGGTTAGCAGTCCTCTGTTGTTGACATCAAGTCTCCTCTGCCTTGAAGCTAAAGATGGATCAGATGTTGACCCTCAGACTCTGTGCTTTCCTCTTGTTCTGTTTTGTCTTAAGTTGGATATAGAGAGAGAGGTCAACAATGAGATGGCTAACAGGATGTCACTGTTCTACGCCGAGGCGACGCCCATGCTGAAAACCTTAAGCACAGCTACGACAAACTTCGTAACAGAGGTAGGCGACACCTCCTACTTCTTATTGTTAGCTGCTCTGTGAAAAGATTTGATGGTTAGATTTGTGTTAACTTAAGTTGATAGCAGCACTGTCTAATAGAGTTCAGTGGTGTTCAGTTTTGTTACACTCTGTTCAGTCCGATTTTGAAGGAAGTGGGTGTTGTGTTGATAGTTGTAAGTTCATTAAGGCTGGTTCCCTCATTTCTTCACCATTTTCAGTCTGATGATGGTTGTGTTGATAATCGTTACCTTGTTGTATCTCCAGAATAAGACCTTACCCCTGGAGAACACCACTGACGTTCTCAGTACAATGGCCAGTGTCTGTAAAGTGATGCTGGAGACACCGTGAGTTGACTTGATTTACTTTACCTGTAGACATTTAGCAGAGTGACTATATCCTGAGTGACGGTCTGTTTAACAATGCCACACTATAAACGACACTTCAGCGCGTCTTTCTCTCCCTCCAGAGACTACACGAGCAGGTTCAACAGTGAGGACACGCTGCTGTTTTGTATGAGAGTGATGGTTGGCGTCATCATCCTGTACGACCACGTTCATCCCAACGGAGCCTTCAACAAGTCCTCCAAGATAGATGTGAGAACCTCCTCTCTCACATATATAAACTCAGCAAAAAAAGAAACGTCCACTCACTGTCAATTGTGTTTATTTTCAGCAAACTGAACATGTGTAAATATTTGTATGAACATACGATTCAACAACTGAGACATGAACTGAACAAGTTCCACAGACATGTGACTAACAGAAATTGAATAATGTGTCCCTGAACAAAGGGGGGGTCAAAATCAAAAGTAACAGTCAGTATCTGGTGTGGCCACCAGCTGCATTAAGTACTGCAGTGCATCTCCTCATGGACCAGATTTGCCAGTCTTGCTGTGAGATGTTACCACACTCTTCCACCAAGGCATCTGCAAGTTCCCAGACATTTCTGGGGGGAATGGCCCTAGCCCTCACCCTCCGATCCAACAGGTCCCAAACGTGCTCAATGGGATTGAGATCCGGGCTCTTCGCTGGCCATGGCAGAACACTGACATTCCTGTCTTGCAGGAAATCACGCACAGAACGAGAAGTATGGCTGGTGGCATTGTCATGCTGGAGGGTCAGGATGAGCCTGCAGGAAGGGTACCACATGAGGGAGGAGGATGTCTTCCCTGTAACGCACAGCGTTGAGATTGCCTGCAATGACAACAAGCTCAGTCTGATGATGCTGTGACACACCGCCCCAGACCATGACGGACCCTTCACCACCAAGTCGATCCCGCTCCAGAATACAGGCCTCGGTGTAACGCTCATTCCTTCGACGATAAACGCGAATCCGACCATCAGCCTTGGTGAGACAAAACCGCGACTCGTCAGTGAAGAGCACTTTTTGCCAGTCCTGTCTGGTCCAGCGACGGTGGGTTTGTGCCCATAGGCAACGTTGCCGGTGATGTCTGGTGAGGATCTTCCTTACAACAGGCCTACAAGCCCTCAGTTCAGCCTCTCTCAGCCTATTGCGGACAGTCTGAGCACTAATGGAGGGATTGTGCGTTCCTGGTGTAACTCAGGCAGTTGTTGTTGCCATCCTGTACCTGTCCGGCAGGTGTGATGTTCGGATGTACCGATCCTGTGCAGGTGTTGTTACACGTGGTCTGCCACTGCGAGGATGATCAGCTGTCCGTCCTGTCTCCCTGTAGCACTGTCTTAGGCATCTCACAGTACGGACATGGCAATTTATGGCCCTGGCCACATCTGCAGTCCTCATGCCTCCTTGCAGCATGCCTAAGGCACGTTCACGCAGATGAGCAGGGACCCTGGGCATCTTTCTTTTGGTGTTTTTCAGAGTCAGTAGAAAGGCCTCTTTTGTGTCCTAAGTTTTCATAACTGTGACCTTGATTGCCTACCGTCTATATGCTGTTAGTGTCTTAACGACCGTTCCACAGGTGCATGTTCATTAATTGTTTAAGGTTCATTGAACAAGCATGGGAAACAGTGTTTAAACCCTTTACAATGAAGATCTGTGAAGTTATTTGGATTTTTACTAATTATCTTTGAAAGACAGGGTCCTGAAAAGGGGACGTTTCTTTTTTTGCTGAGTTTATATATATATATATATATATATATATATATATATATATACATACATACATACATACATACATACATACATACATACATACATACATACATACATACATACATACATACATACATACATACATACATACATACATACATACGCACACACCTACTCATTCAAGGGTTGTTCTTTATTTTTACTATTTTTTACATTGAATAATAGTGAAGATATCAAAACTATGAAATAACATATGGAATCATGTAGTAACCAAAAAAGTGTTAAACAAATAAAAATATATTTTACATTTGAGATTCTTCAAATAGCCACCCTTTGCTTTGATGACAGCTTTGCACACTCTTGGCATTCTCTCAACCAGCTTTTAAATAGGGGGGGCACCTAGAATGCGTTTCAATTAACAGGTGTGCCTTCTTAAAAGTTAATTTGTGGAATTTCTTTCCTTAATGCGTTTGAGCAAATCAGTTTGAAAGTTTCTTCAAGTGCAGTCGCAAAAACCATCAAGTGCTATGATGAAACTGGCTCTCATGAGGACCGCCACAGGAATGGAAGACCCAGAGTCACCTTTGCTGCAGAGGATAAGTTCATTAGAGTTACCAGCCTTAGAAATTAGACACATCTCAACATCAACTGTTCAGAGGGGACTGTGTTAATCAGGCCTTCATGGTCGAATTGCTGCAAAGAAACCACTACTAATGGACACCAATAAGAAGAAGAGACCTATTTAGGCCAAGAAACACGAGCAATGGACATTAGACCGGTGGAAATTTGTCCTTTGGTCTGGTCCAAATTTGAGATTTTTGGTTCCAACTACCGTTTCTTTGTGAGACGTGGTGTGGGTGAACGGATGATCTCCGCATGTGTAGATCCCACCGTAAAGCATGGAGGAGGAGGTGTTATGGTGTGGGGGTGCTTTGCTAGTGACACTTTGCTGGTGTACTGATTTATTTAGAATTCAAGGCACACTTAACCAGTATGGCTACCACAGCATTCTGCAGCGATACACCATCCCATCTGGTTTGGGCTTAGTGGGACTATCATTTGTTTTCAACAGGACAATGACCCAACACACCTCCAGGTTGTGTAAGGGCTATTTGACCAAGAAGGAGAGTGATGGAGTGCTGCATCAGATGACCTGGCCTCCACAATCCCCCGTGGTTTGGGATGAGTCGGACGGCAGAGTGAAGCACAATCAGCCAACAAGTGCTCAGCATATGTAGGAACTCCTTCAAGACTGTTGGAAATGCATTCCAAGTGAAGCTGGTTGAGAGAATGCCAAGAGTGTGCAAAGCTGTCATCAAGGCAAAGGGTGGCTATTTGAAGAATCTCAAATATAAAACATTTTGATTTGTTTAACACTTTTTTTGGTTACAACATTATTCCATATGTGTTATTTCATAGTTTTGATGTCTTCACTGTTATTCTACAATGTAAAAAAAAAAAAAAAAACTTGAATGTGTAGGTGTGTCCAAACTTTTGACTGGTACTGTATGTATGTATGTATGTATGTATGTATGTTTACATACACTTAGGTTGGAGTCATTAAAACTCGTTTTTCAACCACTCCACAAATTTCTTGTTAACAAACTATAGTTTTGGCAAGTCGGTTAGAACATTTACTCTGTGCATGACACAAGTCATTTTTCCAACAATTGTTTACAGGCAGATTATTTCACTTATAATTCACTGTATCACAATTCCAGTGGGTCAGAAGTTTACATACACTAAGTTGACTGTGCCTTTAAACAGCTTGGAAAATTCCTGAAAATGATGTCATGGCTTTAGAAGCTTCTGATAGGCTAATTGACATAATTTGAGTCAATTGGAGGTGTACCTGTGGATGTATTTCAAGGCCTACCTTCAAACTCAGTGCCTCTTTGCCTGACATCATGGGAAAATCAAAAGAAATCAGCCAAGACCTCAGAAACAAAATTGTAGACCTCCACAAGTCTGGTTCATCCTTGGGAGCAATTGCCAAACGCCTGAAGGTACCACGTTCATCTGTACAAACAATAGTAGGCAAGTATAAACACCATGGGACCACGCAGCCGTCATACCGCTTAGGAAGAAGACGCGTTCTGTCTCCTAGAGATTAACGTACTTTGGTGCAAAAAGTGCAAATCAATCCCAGAACAACAGCAAAGGACCTTGTGAAGATGCTGGAAGAAACAGGTACAAAAGTATCTATATCCACAGTAAAACTAGTCCTATATCGACAACCTGAAAGGCGCTCAGCAAGGAAGAAGCCACTGCTCCAAAACCGCCATAAAAAAGCCAGACTACGGTTTGCAACTGCACATGGGGACAAAGATCTTACTTTTTGGAGAAATGTCCTCTGGACTGATGAAACAAAAATAGAACTGTTTGGCCATAATGACCATCGTTATGTTTGGAGGAGAAAGGGGGTTCCTTGCAAGCCGAAGAACACCATCCCAAACGTGAAGCACGGGGGTGGCAGCATCATGCTGTGGGAGTGCTTTGCTGCAAGAGGGACTGGTGCACTTCTCAAAATAGATGGCAGCTTGAGGAAGGAAAATTATGTTATATATTGAAGCAACATCTCAAGACATCAGTCAGGAAGTTAAAGCTTGGTTGCAAATGGGTCTTCCAAATGGACAATGACCCCAAGCATACTTCCAAAGTTGTGGCAAAATGGTTTAAGGACAACAAAGTCAAGGTATTGGAGTGGCCATCACAAAGCCCTGACTTCAGTCCTATAGAGAATTTGTGGGCAGAACTGAAAAAGTGTGTGCGAGCAAGGAGGCCTACAAACCTGACTCAGTTACACCAGCTCTGTCAGGAGGAATGGGCCAAAATTCACCCAATTTATTGTGGGAAGCTTGTGGAAGGGTACCTGAAATGTTTGACCCAAGTTAAACAATTTAAAGGCAATGCTACCAAATACTAATTGAGTGTATGTAAACTTCTGACCCACTGGGAATGTGATGAAAGAAAGAAAAGCTGAAATAAATCATTCTCACTACTATTATTCTGACAATTCACATTCTTAAAATAAAGTGGTGATCCTAACTGACCTAAGACAGGGCATTATTACTAGAATTAAATGTCAGGAATTGTTAAAAACTGAGTTGAAATTTATTTGGCTAAGGTGTATGTAAACTTCCGACTTCAACTGTAATATATACAGTGGGTGGAAAAAAAGTATTTAGTCAGCCACCAATTGTGCAAGTTCTCCCACTTAAAAAGATGAGAGAGGCCTGTAATTTTCATCATAGGTACACGTCAACTATGACAGACAAATTGAGGGGAAAAAATCCAGGAAATCACATTGTAGGATTTTTTATGAATTTATTTGCAAATGATGGTGGAAAATCAGTATTTGGTCACCTACAAACAAGCAAGATTTCTGGCTCTACAAGACCTGTAACTTCTTCTTTAAGAGGCTCCCGTGTCCTCCACTCGTTACCTGTATTAATGGCACCTGTTTGAACTTGTTATCAGTATAAAAGACACCTGTCCACAACCTCAAACAGTCACACTCCAAACTCCACTATGGCCAAGACCAAAGAGCTGTCAAAGGACACCAGAAACAAAATTGTAGACCTACACCAGGCTGGGAAGACTGAATCTTCAATAGGTAAGCAGCTTGGTTTGAAGAAATCAACTGTGGGAGCAATTATTAGGAAATGGAAGACATACAAGACCACTGATAATCTCCCTCGATCCGCAAGATCTCACCCCGTGGGGTCAAAATGATCACAAGAACGGTGAGCAAAAATCCCAGAACCACACTGGGGGACCTAGTGAATGACCTGCAGAGAGCTGGGACCAAAGTAACAAAGCCTACCATCAGTAACACCCTACGCCGCCAGGGACTCAAATCCTGCAGTGCCAGACGAGTCCCCCTGCTTAAGCCAGTACATGTCCAGGCCCGTCTGAAGTTTGCTAGAGTGCATTTGGATAATCCAGAAGAGGATTGGGAGTGTCATATGGTCAGATGAAACCAAAATATAACTTTTTGGTAAAAACTCAACTCGTCGTGTTTGGAGGACAAAGAATGCTGAGTTGCATCCAAAGAACACCATACCTACTGTGAAGCATGGGGGTGGAAACATCATGCTTTGGGGCTATTTTTCTGCAAAGGGACCAGGACGACTGATCCGTGTAAAGGAAAGAATGAATGTGGCCATGTATCGTGAGATTTTGAGTGAAAACCGCCTTCCATCAGCAAGGGCATTGAAGATGAAACGTGGCTGGGTCTTTCAGCATGACAATGATCCCAAACACACCGCCCGGGCAACGAAGGAGTGGCTTCGTAAGAAGCATTTCAAGGTCCTGGAGTGGCCTAGCCAGTCTCCAGATCTCAACCCCATAGAAAATCTTTGGAGGGAGTTGAAAGTCCGTGTTGCCCAGCGACAGCCCCAAAACATCACTGCTCTAGAGGAGATCTGCATGGAGGAATGGGCCAAAATACCAGCAACAGTGTGTGAAAACCTTGTGAAGACTTACAGAAAACGTTTGACCTGTGTCATTGCCAACAAAGGGTATATAACAAAGTATTGAGAAACTTTTGTTATTGACCAAATACTTATTTTCCACCATAATTTGCAAATAAATTCATTAAAAATCCTACAATGTGATTTTCTGGAATTTTTTCCTCATTTTGTCTGTCATAGTTGACGTGTACCTATGATGAAAATTACAGGCCTCTCATCTTTTTAAGTTGGAGAACTTGCACAATTGGTGGCTGACTAAATACTTTTTTTCCCCACTGTATATTTATAAATAAATGGGCCGGTGGTAGCCTCGAGGTTAGAGAAGGCTGCCGGTTCGAATCCCAGTGCTGAGGCGTTGGTTAAAGCAGGAAACAAATTCCCATCACGTATGGAATAATAAAGTATATATTCTATACATACAGTGGCTACTGAAAGCCTAATATTAGCCTGATGTTAGCATCAATTGTACCTCGCTGTTTTGTCTAAATCATGTCAATTGAAAATTTGTGTAAATGTCTGTTTGAATGTTTTACAGGTATCCAGAGTAATTGTGGATTTTTGTTGTTTTTCATCAGATGAAGGGATGCATAAAGGTCCTCAAAGAACAGCCAGCAGATAATGTTGAAGGTCTCCTGAACGCCCTCAAGTAAGTCTCTATCCTCGCCCCAGTTGAGTACGTCTCTGATGAGGAGACTGTACGTCTCTGATGAGGAGACTGTACGTCTCTGATGAGGAGACTGTACGTCTCTGATGAGGAGACTGTACGTCTCTGATGAGGAGACTGTACGTCTCTGATGAGGAGACTGTACGTCTCTGATGTCCCACCTTATTGAATTGAAATACCAAATTATTTATAAATGGTGCTGTGGTAGGAGTGCTACTTCGCTTCCAATGTTACTGAAAGGTAGAGGGTGCTCTCTGGATAGAGGGGTTTCCCCAGCAATACAGCAAACAATCCAAGGAACTCCTGTATATCTTTTAAAAACCTTTTTATTAAATTGGTTCATTTTGATAGAAAAGGTTCAAAACAGCCACCTAGGTGTTTCAGCCCTGTGGCTTCATCCTGCTCTGTCTTTCAGGTTCACCACCAAACACCTGCACGACGAGTCCACTCCAAAAAACATCAGATCGATGCTTCAGTAAGGTTTTTATATGAAGAGGATCAGTGTACTGACCTCAACGAAAGATGTATATGTTTACATAATTTAAAAGACTGGATGTTAATACTTGTGTATTTACATAGTCATTCCCTCCAAGAACATGTACCTTTTACTTAGAAAAATGAATAACCTATTCTGTTATTATGTTGACATACCTTTCAGCCTTAGAAACTTAGCTTGGCAAGTAGTATTTGGAGAAACAAGCACTCTGGTTGGTTCCTGTGACTGAGCCAAGCACACTGGTTAGTTCCTGTGAGTGAGCGGGCGAATGAAAGGAGCTTCATCTGTGGTTTGCGTCAACAAAAGATTAATTCCAAATCGACTCCTAGCCTGGGGTGTATTAATTAGTCGGATTCCGTTTGCAACGGAAACCGTTTACTGTTTACTGCAGGAAGCAAACGGAAACAAACAGAGCAAACGGAACCCAACGTGCAGGGACCTACCTGCATGTGTCCAATAGAAACTCTTGTTTCTGTTGCAAAGCGTTTTCTGATTGGAGTAAACGGTTTTCGTTGCAAAACTTTTGAAGACTAATGAATACACCTCTGGTTCCAGATCTGTTTGCCCTGTCTTCCCAACTCCTATGGATGTCAGATGGCAAGGTGAAGATTGTTCAAACCTACACGATCATCTCCTATCTACAGGAGTGCCAAGGGAGTAGGGGCTAGCTAGGGCTTGGTTTGGAATTTAGCAAGGGAAGCATTGAGGGGAAAAAGTGATGGCTTTCATATAAAGTGTTCTCAGTAAGTTGGTGTGCATTGTGCCTTGTTGGCAAGAAAATGACAGAAAAGGCAGTACGCGCCATAAGAAATAAACAAATCAACCAAATGTTAATTTTCTTACTTGAATGACTGGAGGATGGAGATACAGTGTGATTTTAGTTTTCTTTATCTTTCATGAGGGGTTTTTCTTGTCGGTATTTGGGGCTCTGTATCAACAGAAATCTATTGTTCAAAAAAGCAGCTTTAAATAAAAACTGTCAGGTTATATTTAAGTGACACTGAGTGCCAAAAAACAATTCCTTCCACCGTTTTTGAGATCTCTACTCCGGTAGTAGGATGGCGGTGGTGATGATGAACCTTTTAACTTCTCTCCTAGTAATTATCTTTTATCCTGTAAGGACCAGTCAGACTTCTCTACCCTATAGAGTACCACAGTATGAGTCATAATACCCATAAAACCTAGCGGTCAAACAAGGAAATGGTTCCAATTGTTTTTCCACCATTCATTTTTCCCATACGGTTTAGAAACACTTAAAATAAGTTCTGTGTTTCGTGTCAGCTTACCCTGGAATGAGGTTTTGATAACTGTATAAATCTGTCTAGGACAAGGTGACTTTTATCAATATATTTGCCTGTATTTAACCCCCAAAAATGAAACATTAATTAGCTGCTAATGTGGCTATCATAAAGAACTACAAATGCCATAAAGATCTGGACGAGTAATCTGGTAAGAATCTCTGGATAATGTTAGCTAAGTTTAGTAATTAATAAATTGTCAACATTTCTTTAAATTGACATTTCTGTTAACTGTCTTGTGCACATTTTAAATTGACCAGTAAAAAAATAAAATAATACTTTAAAGTACTAATTAAGTAGTTTTTGGGCTATCTGTACTTAACTATTTATATTTTTGACTACTTTTACTTTTTACTCCATACATTTTCCCTGACACCCAAAAGTACTCGTTACATTTTGAATGCTAAGTAGGACAGGAAAATGGTCCAATTCACGCACTTATCAAGAGAACATCCCTGGTCATCCCTACTGCCTCTGATCTGGCGGACTCACTAAACACAAATGCTTCATTTGTAAATTATGTCTGAGTTTTGGAGAGGGCCCCTGGCTATCTGTAATTTAAAAATATATATATGCTTAATATAAGGAATTTGACATTATTTATACTTGTACTTTAATACTTAAGTATATTTAAAACCAAATACTTTTAGACTTACTCAAGTAGTATTTTACTGAGTGACTCACTTATACTTGAGTAATTTTCTATTAAGGTGTCTTTACTTTTACTCAAGTATGACAATTGGGTATTTTTTCTACCCCTGAAATTGACACAATACCTCTAAGCAAAGATGTCAGCTAGAGATGACGTGCAGCGATTTGTAGTCTAGCATGATGTCTACTTTGATGCTAATTAGCATTTTCGAATCTGAGAGTTAACAGAACCGAATATATTGATTAAAGTCACCTTGTCCGAGAGAGATTTACATGGTTATCAAAACATCACGCCAGGGTAAGCCTACGTGAAACACAGCCCTTATTTGAAGTGTTTCTAAAATCCCCTATGGGAAAAATTAATGTTGGAAAAATGATTGGAACCATTTCCTTGTTTGACCTCTAGGTTTTATGGGTGTTATGACACTGTGGGCCTCTATACCTGAGTGTACACTCGTTCCCTCCCATGAAGTACACACTTCGAGAAGCAAGGTTGGGAATTGGACTGCGGTGAAAAAGAAATCCCTGAAAATGTATCATTTCAGTATATAAAGTGCCATTCTGTAGAATAAAGCCTGGTCTCTTTCTATTTATTTTTTTACTCACATCCAGAATACAAAAATATTTGTGTCACTGATTTTGTTTGGAATGACTCAAAGATTAAATCTGGAGTCTTAATTTGATGATTGATTAAATGTATACATTTCAGACTGGTGTTAAACCTGTGTAACATCTGCTGCCTTTTGAGCTGTTCTTTGTGTAGACTGTGTAGACCATTGTTTCATGCTAATGAATGTTGACCAAAGGAGCATTCTGGGAGAATTCTCTAAGCTCATTCAGCTTGTATACAATAGTGTATGTATATTTAACTTGGTTCAGTGGTCAATTAAATTAATATAGTTAATAACCAGAGAACAGTATTGGAAAGTTATCTACAAAATGGCAGGATTGTGAGTGGCGTCTGTTGTAATGAAAATACATGGTGTTCTATGAATTGGAGAAAACCGTTGTTTGGGGATCTGACTTAACATATAGGTCAGACAATCGCATGTTAGGATTAATGACTTGTAGAAAACCTGTGTTGTGCTGCGGTCTCGATCCTGTCTGTCCAGACCAACGTGGAATTTAAGCTGTTAAAAGATGGACCATTAGACTACAGTGGTTCCCAACCTTTTTGGGTTACTGTACCACCAACTGAATGTTGCTCTGCCCTGAGTACCACTGAAGTACTGTAAGTCACTTTGGATAAAAGCGTCTGCTAAATGGCATATTATTATTATTATAAGTACCCCTTGTGCATTTTACCAGTAGGCCTATGGTCACATTGGTCTTCTCAAGTACCCCCTATGGGTAGGCCAAGTACCCCCAGGGGTCCTAGTACCCCTGGTTGGGAACCACTAGACAAATAGGCCGTTGTCATGTTGAGCAGCATCCAAACAATTAGCCAGCTCCTGCCAACTCCATTGCTGTGTTTACACAGGCAGCCCAATTCTGATCTTTTGCCCAATTATTGGCAAAAGAGCTGATCTGATTTGTCAAAAGATCCAATTAGTGAAAAAAAGATCAGAATACAGCTGCCTGTCTAAACGCAGCCAATGAGTGACGGAGTTGGCATGATGGCACAAACAGACTGGCACTAAAGACTACTAAACAATAGCTAAGCCTTTACAAATGTATCCTGTTCACTGTCCTGTTCAGTTTTCCTTATCAGAGAAAGGCAACCCTAGGACCATTTAAAATTGGCTTTTTCAATAGACTAAAGTAGCTTGTACCTTTTACTTGTCGCTAAGTCAGCAATATAGACACCAACCCCAGAGAATAATGAATTAAATGTATTTAATTAGACAGTAAATATGATTTACAGTGCTATTGTGAAATGAGACAATGGGCTATAGATTTTGAAATCCATGCAAAGTCTAAATATCTAGCTATATATTAAACAGTATCAATTTTGATATTTCATACACACAATGCATCTGTGCACTCATCGTAACATAAAATACTACTAAAAAACATTAGTTGGACGACATAAAATATCCACCATGGATTTTAACATTCATGTTAATTGTTTATTTTCTGGTAATCCATAATACACTGACAATTGAGACATACTTTTTGTGTGATGGACATAATTTGTATATGCAATGAATGAATACTGTACATGGACAAGACTTTCAGCAAGATGTACAGTATGATATTGATACATATACTGAAGTTGTTTCTAAGGTTTCATTCCAAAACAGATTTCTGTCAGTATTGAACTCCAAAATGCCTTTTTCAGCCCAATATATGCTATTATGATTATTGTGTGTTGTATGTAAGCTGTATTGAATATTATTGAGATATTTGAATATAAAAATATATATAAAACACACAATAATGACTTCTGTTTATTTAATGGTTTGGAACGCTGTCCCTGCTGTCTGCAGTGCTGTTCGGTGTCTGAGTACTGCAGTACTTAAGTGCTCCACAGGGTGGCGTTATGATTAACTGATCTGATCCACCACTGGAAGCTGGTGGTTGTGGTGTCGCTGAAACCCCAAAACATGTATGCCAATGACACATGATACAGGACATGCACAATAAGAAAGAAAGCTTTGATTGAGTAAGAATGTAATGTCACATGTTGCCGTGGACAGAGAGACTTCAGCACAGAGACAAAGAAAGGATTCTTATTTGATGGAGAGCTCTATCATTCTGTTATGGTTCCACCAAGAATTTACATTGAAAGGATTGGTCTTACTAAGTGTGTCCTCTGATGAGAGAAGGGAAGGAACAAAGGATGGAATGGAGGAACAAAGGATGTAAGATAGAAGGGAACGAAGGAAGGAGAGAACGAAGGTGGAAGGAAGGAAAGAGGGAATGAAGGAAGGAAGGAAATAGGGAAGGAAGGAAAGAGGGAATGAAGGAAGGAAGGAAGGAACTGAAGAAAGAAAGATGCATTTTAAACATGCAGGTCATAGTGTAGTTTCTTACTGGGTGTGATCCTGTGTGTCCTCGTTGATGCCCTCAGTCCTTCCTGACTGAGCCTGGGCACCGCTGACCTCCCCGGACCAGGTCGTATCCCAGCGTTTTATTGGTTCAACTGAGACAGGCTCTTGACTGCTGCCTTGGTGACAGGGTACTCCAGGCTCTGTGTGGCCCACTGGGGGTGGAAACGGTTCTGCTGCCCTGCTCCAGAACCTGGACTCCGGTCCAAGGACAGGAACATCTAAGAGGGAGAAGAACAGATGCAGACACTGTATTTTCATGTGCTTATGTCTACATTTACATTTACATTTACATGTTAGTCATTTAGCAGACGCTCTTATCCAGAGCCACTTACAGTTAGTGAGTGCATACATTTTCATACATGTTATAGTGTCTTGATTGTCCCTATCCGTGTCAGATGATATTGTATTATTTAACTATATATTTAGGTGTTTTATCTTTTAGTTGGGTATTTCCACTGATAAAATGTGGTATTTCTGTAGACGGAAACACTTAGAATTTTCCTCTCCCCCTCCACTGAAGCAGCATCAGCGTTTTTGTCCACACACACACAGTCCCCTGGGTAGTGTATTAACATACATTTCCATTTAAAGTCTGTTCAATATGCATGATGCCTCTTGGTGTGTGGGTTGGTTCTTCTATCCTTGTAGGGACCTAAAATACCCAAACGTCCCCAAAAGGATAGTATAACAAGGATAATTCTCCCTTGTGGGGACATTTCCCACGTCCACATGAGGACATAGGCTATTCTAAGCTTAGGAGTTAGGTTTAGGGTTACGGTTAGGGTTAGAATTAGGGTAAGGGGTTAGTGGTTAGGTTTAGGCTTATGGTAAGGGTTAGGTTTAAGGTTAGGGAAAATAGGATTTTCAGATCCCCACGAGGATAGAAGAACAAAACTGTGTGTGTCACATTCTAATAAGAGGTGCTTACCAGTGACTTGGCCTTGTGTAGTTTATAATTGGCTGCAGACAGCTCTTTCTTCTTTGTGTTGTCTGGCTTGGCCTTGTGTAGTTTATAATTGGCTGCAGACAGCTCTTTCTTCTTTGTGTTGTCTGGCTTGGCTTTGTGTAGTTTATAATTGGCTGCAGACAGCTCTTTCTTCTTTGTGTTGTCTGGCTTGGCCTGGTGTAGTTTATAATTGGCTGCAGACAGCTCTTTCTTCTTTGTGTTGTCTGGCTTGGCCTTGTGTAGTTTATAATTGGCTGCAGAGAGCTCTTTCTTCTTTGTGTTGTCTGGCTTGGCCTTGTGTAGTTTATAATTGGCTGCAGACAGCTCTTTCTTCTTTGTGTTGTCTGGCTTGGCCTTGTGTAGTTTATAATTGGCTGCAGACAGCTCTTTCTTCTTTGTGTTGTCTGGCTTGGCCTTGTGTAGTTTATAATTGGCTGCAGACAGCTCTTTCTTCTTTGTGTTGTCTGGCTTGGCCTTGTGTAGTTTATAATTGGCTGCAGACAGCTCTTTCTTCTTTGTGTTGTCTGGCTTGGCCTTGTGTAGTTTATAATTGGCTGCAGACAGCTCTTTCTTCTTTGTGTTGTCTGGCTTGGCCTTGTGTAGTTTATAATTGGCTGCAGACAGCTCTTTCTTCTTTGTGTTGTCTGGCTTGGCCTTGTGTAGTTTATAATTGGCTGCAGACAGCTCTTTCTTCTTTGTGTTGTCTGGCTTGGCCTTGTGTAGTTTATAATTGGCTGCAGACAGCTCTTTCTTCTTTGTGTTGTCTGGCTTGGAATTGTGTAGTTTATAATTGGCTGCAGACAGCTCTTTCTTCTTTGTGTTGTCTGGCTTGGCCTTGTGTAGTTTATAATTGGCTGCAGACAGCTCTTTCTTCTTTGTGTTGTCTGGCTTGGCCTGGTGTAGTTTATAATTGGCTGCAGACAGCTCTTTCTTCTTTGTGTTGTCTGGCTTGGCCTTGTGTAGTTTATAATTGGCTGCAGACAGCTCTTTCTTCTTTGTGTTGTCTGGCTTGTTGGTGATGATGACCCCCTGTTCTTTACTTAGATGATGTCACAGGAACACCAGGTCAAGTTACATGGGAATTCATAGCCTAATTAAACCAATGTGCTGATTGTTCAATTCAATACAACTGTATTTATCCCAGGCCACAGGGCAGTTCATAATAGGTTGTGCTTTCATTTGGGAATGAACACACACACACTACCAGAGGAAGTGGTCTTACATCATACTCTATGGGGTCCAGATTCTCCAGATAGTTAAATTGCACGGTGTCAGTGGGGTATCTGTCTGCACCCCTCCACGGGGGCAGCCCCTTCAGCTGGGACCCTCCTGACCCTCTCGTGGTGCCACCATCGCCCATCTCTCGCTGGACGGGGGGTGCGGACTGCACCTCTCTGACGATACTTTCTGATTGGTCAAAGGTCACAGTGTTTATGGACGTCACCTCGGGGAGGATGAACTCTTGCTGTGAGGGAGTCTGAACACACAGGTTTCACAAGAACTGTGTCTGTTCCTTGCAGGTCGTTTTAAACACTGTCCAGGCCTCCAGTCACTCACCTTAGGTTTGCCGATGTGGAGCTCCACATGATCGTCAGCACAGCAGTCAGTCTGGTTTCACAACGCTAGTTTACTGTTCAAATTCTGCTATTACAAAGACCAGAAACAGACATTCCAGACCCTACCTGTGCACACCTGCAGAGGCTTCTGGGGTCAAGGAAAGAGAAGAAATACAGAGAGAGAACTCTGGGCAGGACAGGGGTAAAGTCTAGGTTCTCCTCTGAAACCCTCTTGGTCAGGTTGTGATGGAGGGACTTTAGCTGGCCCGTGGAACACTGCGAGAAGAAGTCCCGTAGAACCGCCTTTCTCTGGCTGTCACTCCACTTGTCAAATTGACAGACAGACAGACAGACACATAGGCAGGAATGGAATCAGTTCATCCTAAGTGACGTATAGAAGCACATCCTTCCAATGTGGGTAAAAAAGTGTTTTTGTAGACTTGTGAAAAGCTGTCAAGTGGTTGTGGTCCTTCTGGATTGCTGTATAGGCTACCTAAGCGCTGCAGATTCACCATGGTTAATATTTTATAGGTTTTTTAACTTTCCATTTTTGGAACCTCACTTACCCACTTTCCCAGCAGGTTACTTCTTTCTTCAAATACCTGAAGGAGGGAGAATAGTTTATCTAAGTACACACACACACACACACTGATAAGATTATGTTAAAAGTAGATTCTTATAGAGATTACAGTGATCTTTACATTGTTATTAGACAGCTGATGGTTAAGAGGTATCCAGGCGTTCCTCTTGACCTGCTTCTTTGCAAATATTAGTGAGGTCTTCGCTGCAAAGGGCATCTTTCAGCTGGACTGGACCTCAGGTTCAACTGTCAGCAACAAGTCAGATCTGTGTAGAGGAAGAAGACTTTATCACCTGGTAGAGACATGCAGTGAATCATAATTATTACATGTCTTTTTTGCATGATTCTGTCATTAAATCAGAGAGTATAGCCTAAAAAGCTCTCCATGGTCAATCCGACGTCTGCAGTGGCCCTACAGCATTTACTGTGATATGGCCTCTGCAGAAGTTAGGGCATTCATACTTCTTGCTCTTCGCAGAGCATAGCAAAGGTGTTGTGAAGGAAGTTGTCAAGGAAGTGAGTTTGTGGTTATACCGGACCTCCAGCCCCCATCTATGGTCAACCAATCATGTCAATGCGGAGCTATATGGAGCCCTCTGCATTGCAGTGGCAACCCGTCATTCAGGGCAGGTGGAGCAGAACCTGTTTAGCTAAAAAAAAAATGTTTAGTTGTTGCTGTTTTGCATGTTATTTTGGCATTAATTCGTGTCACATATTAGTTTGCAAACAATGTAAAAACACATTTATTGAGTGAATAAAGACGCATACAAACATGGTCTCTTTCTTGCTTTCTTGAGTAAGGCAGCTCCAAAATGCAGATGTTTCAGCATAGCTCAGTGCGTTCTGTAGTGGAAAATACAGAGCGTAGGCGTTGGTAATCTTCTCTAGTTGCGCTGTGATTGGCTCAGTGTTCTGTCACTCATGGGGACACTACATCACCGCATAATCTACAGGGAGACCTAGGCAGTTCAAGCCCCCTTGGGTGCTGCCATAGATTTATATTAGAAGTGCCTGTCCAAGAAGGCTCAAGGTCATTGCCCACAGATAAAATGGCGTCAAATCACGTTATATCTACCTTAGCTTTGATTGGACTGATCATGTCAACATCATACTTTCAAAATCTTAGCTAGCAAGCTAGACAAGCAGTCATCATCATGAACCAGGTCGACAAACTACTGGCAAATCCTTTTCAATCCTTGTCATATGAAGAGAAATTATAGACAAAAGGTATCGGTGCTCATCGGCCATTGGACATAAACATTACACAACAAGTTGGAAATCGTAAATTCAACAATGAGTGGTTTGGAAGGAATCAGTGACTAACTGCAAGCGTTGGAAAACAATCACTACAGTAGGTCTATCTCAGTATCTTATTCATCATTTTAGGCAATGTTAGAATGATGTCATTGTTTTGCTTACTTTGTGTATTATAATTAGCTTTCTTGAGGAGGAGGGGATACTATATAATGTTTTTGGGTCTATAACCACGTTTGCCAGTGACATTCTCTTCCCATTCAAATATTTGTTTTCAACAAAAAGTTCAGTAATAGACCCATGTAATTCCAATTGATATTGCGAGGGTTGTTTTGTTTGCTCTATGTGCAGTCTGTGCGTCAGTACATTGTATATAAAAGTGGATGCTCATGATTGTATTTTCTTTCCTTTTTAGACCACATAGACCTAATAAAATACTTCAAATGGTAGGCTAACCAAGTGTCTCTCTCTCTCTCTCTCTCTCTCTCTCTCTGTGGTGACTTAAAGAAGAGTAAAGTTAAGGCCTCAACATCTTGGTGAATTTATCTGAACTAACATCTATCTGAATTTTTATCATGTCCATTTTGAAAGTGTTGAACGAATAGGCCTACCTCGTCGCAGCTCGTTTACTTGCACTTTCTTATACTTAGAGCTATGTGTTAATGATATAAGAACAAACATGATGAATTTACTGAACATACGTTTTGTAATGTTTGTGTATGGTTCAAAACTCATTTTGGTGTTTTGTGTATGGTTCAAAACTCATTTTGGTGTTTGTTATTATTGAAGGAGAATGCGGTTCTTATTGACTTACACAAATCCACAAGGAGTCAGTAGTAACCACATTTGTTTAAGCAAGTCAGCTATGGTTTTTAAAAAGCCAGTAAATGAGGCTGAATGAACTGTTTCGCTGCCAGACAAGGCTCCGCTGATAGCCAGGTGTAGCAGTGTTAAGGATTCACTCCATGGTGCTGAAAAGAAAGTTCTGCTGTTAGGACAGCTTTATGTAAGCCCTAACAGTAGTGCAATTAATGTATTGTTTAGTGTTGTCGCTTTGCTGGCATGCATCCCAAACATTTTTGGGGAGTTTGCCCCAACAAAATGTACATGCTAAAATCGCCACTGCGGTATGGAGCTTGATTTGGCCTCTGTATGCCTCCCGAGGATCCGCAATGACGTCACATCCATATGAAGCCTCTGACCACATTTTCGGATCAAGCATAAATTGGCTTTTATTAGCCAATGCATAAAAGTCACATAGAAAGGATCATATTATTATCTATATTAGATGGTCATTGTCTACTGGACTAGTCCTACCATCAATTTCCTCCCGCCTCACATTTACATTTAAGTCATTTAGCAGACGCTCTTATCCAGAGCGACTTACAGTTAGTGAGTGCATACATTATATATTTTTATTTTTTCATACTGGCCCCCAGTGGGAATCGAACCCACAACCCTGGCGTTGCAAACGCCATGCGCTACCAACATCCCTGCCGGCCATTCCCTCCCCTACCCTGGACGATGCTGGGCCAATTGTGCGCCGCCCCATGGGTCTCCCGGTCGCGGCCGGCTAAGACAGAGCCTGGATTCGAACCAGGATCTCTAGTGACACAGCTAGCACTGCGATGCAGTGCCTTAGACCACTGCATCACCACTGCGCCTCCAACGCATAATGATGGGGCATGCATAGTTATTATGACAATCACGAATCCTCAGTGATATGTATTCATATCTTGTCCATATGATTACCAGTAAATGTCACTGTGTTCTGGAAGCATTCATACAGTTGACCAGTTTCCATAGTAATGGGTGTACCTAGGGTTCACCAGCCCCTCTCTATCCAACACTGTCACCGTCGGCGCTCTGCGTCATCAAGAGCAATGACATGAGCGGCACAAATACCGCTTGACACACATGGGTGGCGCTGTTGCCACCAACCGAAATACAATCCACACACACAAGGTGCGGCATGCATGTGGCTTCAACGGACACACACTGTTTACAATGTTGCAAAACACACGCTGGGCATGTTGCACCAAAGGATTTTGTTTAGTTTGCTACAAATCAAATGTTGCCATTCAGCTAGCTTGATGACTTCGTGTTGCAATATGAAGTAAAAGCCTATACTATTTACACGTGTGTGCCCCACTGAAGGCCTATACCTGGAATAAAATAAAAACGTACAAAATAGAGAAATATGGTATCCATATAGTTTTTATTATTCCAGGTATAGACCTTCATTGGGGCACATAAATGTGTAAACCTAATTCAAAAAGTAATTTTGTCATTTCAAAACTGAAATTGTATTTTGTTTTTAGTAGGCTAGCCTAAATATTTGAAAACATTCATAGGGCTACACACAACTACTGCAAGATAGAAAAGGCATTGGGTTCAATTGGCTGCCGCGTCCGGGTTTAATGAGCGCTCTCGCTATTCGAGAACATCATCGCATTCGTAAACCTGCTGGGAGAGGAGGCGGGAGGAGGGGGAGAGGAGTGGGCTATTCACTCATTGGTACCGGCTCGGGGAGCGGCGAAGACCCCTACACGTTAATTATTTTCCCGACAGAAAGGTAAATCTTATTTTATTATATTTTCTGTCACTCGCCTAAATATTTTCTGTTTATTGCGAACACATGTAGCCTGTTGCCAATACCGCTGGCGGGATCGTAGTAACATTATACAATCGGGATACGCTTGTAGTGATTCTGTTTATGTAGAATAGCCTTCATACATTCAATATCAGTTGAGATGAAGTAGCCCAAACGTCATCTTTTGTTCTGCTTCATTTTTATTTGTCGGAATGGATAACATTGGTTTGGCCATTACGCGCGGTCGGAGGAGTGGCCAGCTGGCTTTGACAAATATAAACTACTACACTTTCATGTCATCACTGTTGTGTCTACCGGTAGTTTTGTAACATTGTTCCAAGCATGTTATGCACGTAAAGCCAGCCGGAGACGTGAGTAAATGCTATTACGCACGGTAATTTGACTACAGTGCAAGACACTACCGGTATATTACATTTTTTAATATCACATATTGTGTCAAACCTTTTGGTTATCTTACGTGTCATATTTTAAAGTGCATGATCTGTTGGCTGTTCTATAGTAATAATGGGATGGTAGTGGTAATTAAGAATGCTGTGGCAAAGAGCTTCTGGGAATAATTATCTTCCTACAGGGTCTGTGCCTATTTACAGAGACAATATACAGTATAATGCACATTTCTGTGCTATAACTGTACAATTATCAGTGTTTGATTTGGGATGAAAGTGCAGCTGTCTTTTTCCAAGTCGGTCCATTAGACTATGTTCACCGAAATTCACAAATGACATTATGCTAGAGACTTCTGATCATTCACTGTTAAGGGTTCATACACATTTTCCATGACTTTTCCATGACTTTTAACCACATTTTCATGACTATTATTATAGCCTACACGAAAAAGTAAGCATTATTGACACTGGAAGGCTGCTGTGTTTAATCTCATGTAGGCCTACCATCTCCTGTCGTTATGCCCTTGACAAAGGCACTTAACCCCCCACAAAGTAGACCTCCATCAGGAGAGCTCCTGGGTGTGCGGCCTTGGCTTTTGATCCAGCCCTGAAACATCCAAGTCTGCCACCCTTGATATAAAATATTGCAACATTAGAACCAAATACTTTTGTCTTTATAAAAGTATTCCCTCATTCAATGAATCAGGGATTAAATGGATAAAATAGGCTACTTCAAAGCAAGGTATCTAACTAGACATGTTTATATATAAGGTTAAAATATTCATGTTTCAGGGGAGATCTAAGCACGGCAAGTTATTTGTCAATTAGTCTATTCTTAGAATATTTTTTACGTTTTCGTAATTACATGGCTACTGTTTAATAGAGGGGAATCATAGCTTTCCAATGGTGCAGATTTAATTAGGCTATCTACAGTGCCGGTGGAAAGGCGACAACCACATTAATGCTTAGTTAGTTATAGTTAACTAGCGTGATAACTGCTACAAGATATGTTTTGAATTGGATATCTAGTTAGTCTGTCTGTCATTATTTTATACCTGCTGCAGAAATGTCGCGCTCTCTCTCCTCGGGCAACCGCACACACGCAGCACACATAGACACTCACTGAAAGGTCATTCCGATAATGGGTGATATGTAGATTTTTAAGTGATTGATGATATTTAAAATGTGTGCCTTTATGAATTAAATTAACAACAATTATTAAACACATTTCCATGACTTTTCATGACCTTACAAACCCTAATTTCACCGTTTGGAACAGCGCATCATGCGCATACAGGTCGGCGAATTTACAATCTGCACAATCTCAAACAGCCTACTGTCAAGCACAGATTCACAGATTAGTGGAAAATAAACTTGAACAAAGCGTAATCAGGAAATTAATGCCCACTCTCCATTGCTATTTAATGCAGACCTCGCCTTCATTACTCTTTGATCAACCTTTTTTGCCTCGGTCTGTAAATCTGGGCCGGCGATAGTCTATTTTGTTTTATAGAGGAGCTGGTACACAATTACCAAAATAATTTGAGGTGCTGGTAGGGCGCTCCGGACAGCACCTGCCCAAGTCAAGCACTGACTATAATGGTATTCTACTGTTACTACATAGATAGAATTAGTGTACAAATTCTACTAATTAACTTATTCCATATCCACATACCATATTCTAATTGTCATGAAAGGACAATAATGGATAATTTTTTGTAAAGAGCCTCTTAAAATATTGTGCAAAGATATAACTAATTTTAGTTATGCAATTATTGACTTTTGGAAGCAGGTATTATTCAGGCTACAATGTGCTTACCTTTCTCTCTCTATTTCCCCCCAGATCCCTTGACATCTACACCTATTGCAGGGATCCACTCTCCGATCTAAATCATTGTTTATAATCTGTGTATAAACAGTGGCGTGGTGAGAAGGGGACCCCTGTGGTCAGACAACCCAACGCCAGGCCTCATGCTCAGGTGATGAAGATCCTATGACTCAAGAGGGTGATGGATACAGCCAGCCTCAGCCATGGCGGCCATCTTTTTACACACACAGACTGGTACACTCTGAGACCAGGAACAGGACCAGTCTCTCCCCTGATCGCCACTTATCTATACCCATACTCCTCGCTCTCGGTCACCGACCTACTGCTTTGTGAATGAGGCTGATGATTTGGCCTGTCCCTGTCCGCAGCCTGGGTCCTTCCCTAACCCTGTCCTTGTCCGTGCACCAGCCTGCGGGGACCATGGAGCTGCTGTGGGTGTTGTGTGTGTCCTTTTTGATTGCTCCAGCAGTGGTGGTGGTGGTGGAGGCCGTCCCCATGGAGTCTGCAGCTGGGAGCCACAGCATGTTCACCTGTGAACCTATCACCCTGCGCCTGTGTCAGGGGCTGCTCTATAACTCCACCTTCATGCCCAACCTCCTCAACCACTACGACCAGCAGACCGCCGCGCTCGCCATGGAGGTAAACACTGACTCGCAGTTTTTCATCTCTCTCTCTCTCTCTCTCTCTCTCTCTCTCTCTCTCTCTCTCTCTCTCACTCTCTCTCACTCTCTCTCTCTCTCTCTATCTCTCTCTCTCTCTCTCTCTCTCTCTCTCTCTCTCATTTCAGGCATTGCCATTTAGTTGGGATAGTAAGATTATTGCTGCTGGGTTTAATCAAGTGCTTGAGTAGTACCGTGTGTCTGGATGAAGAGACTGTAACTGTACTGCAACTGTACTGCAACTGTACTGCAACTGTCCTTATCTGTGCCAGACTCTCTGATACATCCAGAGAGAAAGTAAGTGAGAGAGAGAGAGAGAGAGAGAGAGAGAGTCTATTAAGGGTGTGGCTTTCATATAGTTATTTTTGGCCACCTGTGAGAGTAAATGTAATTGCTATTCATCATGCTAAATTTGTACACTGCAAATTAGAATTTTCCTTGAATATTTCTGCACATTATATATTTTAATATTGTTTATTAGCTCCGACCTGAATGGAGTCTCTCTCTCTCTCTGGCTAAACAACAACTTGTGTGTGTTTTTTTTAAAACAGTTGTGTGAATGACAGGGCTGTCTATCTGAAGGAGGAGGTGGCCAATCCCTCTCTCTCTCTCCGTCTCCTCTGCCGTATCTCAGTCTTTTGTCTTTCGCTCCCTCCCCTTCCCCCACGCAAGGTACACTGTACGGTTGCCTGGGAAACAGGTCCCAATTGTGTTGTTAACAAAGGAGCAGGCTTTCTGTGGCTCTCAGGAGGTGGTCCACGCTCGCCGCCCTCTGACCTCTGCTGAACACACCATGGCCCGCCTTCAAACTAGTCCCTCCGTCAGTTGGTGCATCAGCCGTTGTCATGGCAGTCAGGGTAGAAATGCAGAGAATTGAGCAGAGAGTGGGAAAGGAAGGAAGGCGCAGAGAGGGAGAGAGAGGAGGAAGGAGAGGGGGAGAGAGGAGGAAGAGGGAGGGAGAGAGAGGAAGTGGAAGGGAGAGAGAAAGGAGAGGGAGAGAGAGGAGGAAGAGGGAGGGAGAGAGGAAGAGGGAGGGAGAGAGAAAGGAGAGGGAGAGAGAGGAGGAAGAGGGAGGGAGAGAGAGGAAGAGGAGGAAGAGGGAGGGAGAGAGAAAGGAGAGGGGGAGAGAGGAGGAAGAGGGAGGGAGAGAGAAAGGAGGGAGGGAGAGAGAGGAAGAGGGAGGGAGAGAGAGAGGAGGGAGAGGGAGAGAGAGGAGGAAGAGGGAGGGAGAGAGAAAGGAGGGAGGGAGAGAGGAAGAGGGAGGGAGAGAGAAAGGAGAGGGTGAGAGAGTAGGAAGAGGGAGGGAGAGGGACACAGAGGAGGAAGAGGGAGGGAGAGAGAAAGGAGAGGGGGAGAAAGGTAATGATTGAGGGAGGGATAGATGGGAATGGAAGATAGATCCAGGAAAGTGTGAGAGAGACTTCTTCCAGATATAGTAGTAAATCACTCAGATCAGTTGTATGTGTAGATACAGTACAATGTTGATTCATCTGTCATTGATTCTCTCATCAGTGATTTCATTTTAGTCAAAAATAAGCTTAACCGAACCTTGGTCTTGGAATAGACATCTAAAAATACAAAAATTTCACACACACACAAACCTCAAAGTAACAATTCGTTTTTTAATTGATGTATTTTCGAGGGCAGCCATTTCCAGATGACTGCATCTAATTTGACCACTTTTTCTGATATCCAAATGTCTTAACTAACCCCATAAATACATAATGACGTTACTGCAAATTGAAATTGCCATACTTTCATACCTACCCTCAGGGCTAGAACAGTACTTGACACAACTGGATGTACTGTGTTACATGCTTGAGCCCCTTACATAGTAACAGTGGAGTGAGAGGCCTGGCTCTGGGGCAACAGAACGCGACGGAAGGACGCACACACACACACACACAGACAGACACACACACGCACGCACACGCACACACAGACGCACACACACACACACAGACACACACACAGACGCACACACACACACACACACACACACACACACACAGGCTTTGTGGCAACAGCAAGCCAACCTCTGTGGCAGACACACAGCAGCTGTTTCTAATGTGACCAAGTTACCATAATCCACTGTTCTGTTCCAGAGGCCGCAAGACAAGACATCTTCACATTTGCTTGGGCTGCCGTATGGATAAAGATAACACACACACACACACACAGGAAGACCCCCCTCCATACAGACACACACCCTGTACCGTACATTCATCTCCTCCTACAGCACACATTTTGTCCTGGGGGTGAGGAGGGAGGGAGGGAGGGAGGGGAAACCCAGATGCATCCACTTGAAGTTCATTAGATCAGCCCTGTCCTGTCTCTGTCCTGTCTGTCCTGTCTCTGTCCTGTCTGTGTGTGTAATGCACCATGACAGGGCTCTGATGAGGTAATGCATGTCACCGGACTGGAGACTTGCGAAGGTGCCACCCTGTTTTATTCTATACAGAGCAGATAAATGTGGATGTTTTTGCCTGCTTGCTTGATCTTAAAGATTTGGTTAGGAAGATGGTGCCAGGTGTGTCATAAGGAAGATGGTGCCAGGTGTGTCATAAGGAAGATGGTGCCAGGTGTGTCATAAGGAAGATGGTGCCAGGTGTGTCATAATATGTTGGTTTAATGAAAAGGAATGCTGCTGAGTTGGTGTAACAGACAGATTGGTCACTATGAAGGAAGTTATTCCCATAGAGACCCTATAATACGCTCTAAAGTCTGGAGTCAATCCGTATTGCAGAAGAAACGCACTATAGTGCGATTGAAATTTAAAGGCAATGTTCCCACGTTCGCGGAGAATGCATTCACGCCACAGTACATATGTCGGCTAAATCAAAAATTACCTTTACATTTCAATTGCACAATAACACAGATTTTCCTTGAGACGGATTGAATCTAGCCCTAAATCTGTTGTTCTTCCTATTTTAAAGCAAGCGACCTCAGGGCCTTTTATTCATAAATGATTGATATGACTGCTTAAAGGATCAGTTAATGATTGATTTGACTGGTTGATGGATCAGTTAACGATTGATTTGACAGGTTGATGGATACATTTTTGACAGGTGTCTTCTCTGACGTGTTGCGGTGCAGAATCAGGTTGCTGACCTACTCCCAACATGTTCTCCAGACCATGAAGGGCAGGTTATTGCCTGTAGCTGTTAACCGTGTGGTCGGTGTATCAAACTAAGCAGCTCATTCGCGAAACCCTAAATATTGTATTGAATGTGGAGTGTGCAATTTGAAGAGATTAGTATGAAAATGTATGCACTAACTGTAAGTCGCTCTGGATAAGAGTGTCTGCTAAATGATAAATGTAATGTAAAATGTAGGTGTGTACGTGAACCAGTCTACTGAAAGACACAGAAACAACAGAATAAACCAGACTAGTACAGATACAGTAGAAAGTGATCAAAGCCTACACAAAATCATTTCATTTCCCTGGTGATGATGATGATGACACATGGCATTTGATATTACAATTTAATGCAGTAAAATATATTTTCCCAGGCGAGTGCGACTTGCTGTGAAGCACAAAAAAAAAACTGCATCTCTAGACTCAAATACTGTATGTGAGGATGGAATTCATTTATTATTTTGTCCAGATGATGTCAGTCATCTCAGATGTCTGTCTGAGCCTCACGTTCCAACAGTCACTAAACCATAATAAAACGACACATCAACGTCACCCCCTTTATGTTATGGCAGATGGAAAATCTGAAAGCAGAAATATTGCATTTGATATGTACAAGGCATTTACAAAAGCTGTCTGGATGTGGATGTGATGTGGGTTCTTTGTGTGGGAATCGGCAAGCCTAACAGCCGTCCTAATCCTTTTAAATACAGCCAGCCGTCTGTGAGGCAGCCCAGAACACTGGTGTCAGAAATGAGATCCTGTCTACTGCCAGGGTCTGCATTTATACATCATGATGAATGACTGGTGCAATACCGTATGTTGGTTAAGCTATGGTGATGATGAATGACTGGTGCAATACAGTATGTTGGTTAAGCTATGGTGATGATGAATGACTGGTGCAATACAGTATGTTTGTTAAGCTATGGTGATGATGAATGCCTGGTGCAATACAGTATGTTGGTTAAGCTATGGTGATGATGAATGACTGGTGCAATACAGTATGTTGGTTAAGCTATGGTGATGATGAATGACTGGTGTAATACAGTATGTTGGTTAAGCTATGGTGATGATGAATGACTGGTGCAATACAGTATGTTGGTTAAGCTATGGTGATGATGAATGACTGGTGCAATACAGTATGTTGGTTAAGCTATGGTGATGATGAATGACTGGTGCAATACAGTATGTTGGTTAAGCTATGGTGATGATGAATGACTGGTGCAATACAGTATGTTGGTTAAGCTATGGTGATGATGAATGACTGGTGGATGTGCCTGCTATCTTAGTCATAGGAAGAGTGTGTGTGTGTGTGTGTGTGTGTGTGTGTGTGTGTGTATTGAATAGTGCTGCTGTGTATTTCTCTTTCTTGGAGACTGAATATAGATTAAGTTAATATAGGTTATAGGTGACATTAATATAGGTTATGTTAATATAGGTTAAGTTAATATAGGTTATGTTAATATAGGTTATGTTAATATAGGTGAAGTTAATATAGGTTATGTTAATATAGGTTAAGTTAATATAGGTTATGTTAATATAGGTGACATTAATATAGGTGAAGTTAATATAGGCTATGTTAATATAGGTTTAGTTAATTTAGGTTATGTTAATAAAGGTTAAGTTAATATAGGTTATAGGTGACGTTAATATAGGTTATGTTAATATAGGTTATGTTAATATAGGTTATGTTAATATAGGTTAAGTTAATATAGGTTATGTTAATATAGGTTATGTTAATATAGGTGAAGTTAATATAGGTTAGGTTAATATAGGTTATAGGTGAAGTTAATATAGGTTATGTTAATATAAGTTAAGTTAATATAGGTTATGTTAATATAGGTTAAGTTAATATAGGTTATGTTAATATAGTGAAGTTAATATAGGTTATGTTAATATAGGTTATGTTAATATAGGTTATGTTAATATAGGTTATGTTAATATAGGTGAAGTTAATATAGGTGAAGTTAATATAGGTGAAGTTAATATAGGTGAAGTTAATATAGGTTATGTTAATATAGGTGAAGTTAATATACAGTGGGGAGAACAAGTATTTGATACACTGCTGATTTTGCAGGTTTTCCTACTTACAAAGCATGTAGAGGTCTGTAATATTTATCATAGGTACACGTCAACTGTGAGAGACGGAATCTAAAACAAAAATCTAGAAAATCACATTGTATGATTTTAAAGTAATTAATTTGCATTTTATTGCATAACATAAGTATTTGATACATCAGAAAAGCAGAACTTAATATTTTGTACAGAAACCTTTCTGTTCTGGCCTTTTCTGTTCTGGCATGTTCTGTTCTGGCCTGTTCTGTTCTGGCCTGTTCTGTTCCAATACCCACCACTATTATTCCCTCTGGCTCTTTTAATGAAATTCCATTTAGCACACCTGTCTTGTCCCCCTCCCCCCTCTGGGAGCTGGGAGGGTGGGGGCCCTTTCTTCACTCCCCCTGGGGATTTGCATACTAAAGCCATGCCCCACAGCTGCTAGCTAGCTACCGTTCTCTCCCAGAATGCATGATGGCAGAGAGGGAACTGTGTGTGTGTGTGTGTAACAGCGTGGTCCTCCTCCAAACACAAAGGACTCTCCAGAGCCCCTCCCTGTGCCTGGCGTCTGATGAAGGGGGGGTTGGGTTACCATGCTTTTCCAACTCCTCCTCCCTCCTCCTTTCCTCCCTCCTCCCTCTGTCTTATTGTGCCAGGCAGAGGGAGGAAGGGGAGAGAAAGGGGGGAGGAGTATCATGAGGATAGGGGGAGGAGTATCATGAGGATAGGGGGAGGAGTTGTTTTTTTGAGTCAGCTCCAAACTATGTCCGACAAGATGTTCCTGTCTGTTTGAGCTCTTCTTTTGGCTGCACATGAATATTGCTCTGCTTTAGAAGACTGTTCTGTTGTCTGTGTGTGTCTCTTTAAGGCTGAGGGGTTTGTGTGTTTAACGTGTGTTTGACATACAGTGTGTGTGAGTTTCTCTGTGTGTATGATTGTACACTGAGTGTACAAAACATTAAGAACACCTGCTCTTTCCATGACAGACTGACCAGGTGAATTTAGGTGAAAGCTATGATCCCTTATTGATGTCACTCAATATTAGGAAGGTGTTCTTTTTTTAGATCAGCTTTAATATTGCAGATAGATTGTAACTTCCATCAATGTAATTGTCTGCATCACTTCCAATCCCCCATAATTTTTTTCTCTCGCAAATATATATATATATATATATATATATATACAGTGAGGGAAAAAAGTATTTGATCCCCTGCTGATTTTGTACGTTTGCCCACTGACAAAGACATGACCAGTCTATACTTTTAATTGTAGGATTATTTGAACAGTGAGAGACAGAATAACAACAACAAAAATCCAGTAAAATGCATGTCAAAAATGTTATAAATTGATTTGCATTTTGATGAAGGAAATAAGTATTTGACCCCTCTGCAAAACATGACTTAGTACTTGGTGACAAAACCCTTGTTTGCAATCACAGAGGTCAGACGTTTCTTGTAGTTGGCCACCAGGTTTGCACACATCTCAGGAGGGATTTTGTCCCACTCCTCTTTGCAGATCTTCTCCAAGTCATTAAGGTTTCGAGGCTGACGTTTGGCAACTCGAACCTTCAGCTCCCTCCACAGATTTTCTATGGGATTAAGGTCTGGAGACTGGCAAGGCCACTCCAGGACCTTAATGTGCTTCTTCTTGAGCCACTCCTTTGTTGCCTTGGCCGTGTGTTTTGGGTCATTGCATTGCTGGAATACCCATCCACGACCCATTTTCAATGCCCTGGCTGAGGGAAGAGGTTCTCACCTAAGATTTGACGGTACATGGCCCCGTCCATCGTCCCTTTGATGCGGTGAAGTTGTCCTGTCCCCTTAGCAGAAAAACACCCCCAAAGCATAATGTTTCCACCTCCATGTTTGACGGTGGGGATGGTGTTCTTGGGGTCATAGGCAGCATTCCTCCTCCTCCAAACACGGCGAGTTGAGTTGATGCCAAAGAGCTCCATTTTGGTCTCATCTGACCACAACACTTTCACCCAGTTCTCCTCTGAATCATTCAGATGCCTTGCGGGCGCTGCAGGATTTCAGTCCTTCACGGCGTAGTGTGTTACCGATTGTTTTCTTGGTGATTATGGTCCCAGCTGCCTTGAGATCATTGACAAGATCCTCCCGTGTAGTTCTGGGCTGATTCCTCGCCGTTCTCCTTATCATTGCAACTCCACGAGGTGAGAACTTGCATGGAGCCCCAGGCCGAGGGAGATTGACAGTTATTTTGTGTTTCTTCCATTTGCGAATAATCGCACCAACTGTTGTCACCTTCTCACCAAGCTGCTTGGCGATGGTCTTGTAGCCCATTCCAGCCTTGTGTAGGTCTACAATCTTGTCCCTGACATCCTTGGAGAGCTCTTTGGTCTTGGCCATGGTGGAGAGTTTGGAATCTGATTGATTGATTGCTTCTGTGGACAGGTGTCTTTTATACAGGTAACAAGCTGAGATTAGGAGCACTCCCTTTAAGAGTGTGCTCCTAATCTCAGCTCGTTACCTGTATAAAAGACACCTGGGAGCCAGAAATCTTTCTGATTGAGAGGGGGTCAAATTCTTATTTCCCTCATTAAAATGCAAATCAATTTATGACATTTTTTACATGCGTTTTTCTGGATTTTGTTGTTGTTATTCTGTCTCTCACTGTTCAAATAAACCTACCATTAAAATTATAGACTGATCATTTCTTTGTCAGTGGGCAAACGTACAAAATCAGCAGGGGATCAAATACCTTTTTCCCTCACTGTATATATATATATATATATATATATACAGTGGGGAGAACAAGTATTTGATACACTGCCGATTTTGCAGGTTTTCCTACTTACAAAGCATGTAGAGGTCTGTAATTTTTATCATAGGTACACTTCAACTGTGAGAGACGGAATCTAAAACAAAAATCCAGAAAATCACATTGTTTGATTTTTAAGTAATTAATTTGCATTTTATTGCATGACATAAGCATTTGATCACCTACCAACCAGTAAGAATTCCGGCTCTCACAGACCTGTTAGTTTTTCTTTAAGAAGCCCTCCTGTTCTCCACTCATTACCTGTATTAACTGCACCTGTTTGAACTCGTTTCCTGTATAAAAGACACCTGTCCACACACTCAATCAAACAGACTCCAACCTCTACACAATGGCCAAGACCAGAGAGCTGTGTAAGGACATCAGGGATAAATTTGTAGACCTGCACAAGGCTGGGATAGGCTACAGAACAATAGGCAAGCAGCTTGGTGAGAAGGCAACAACTGTTGGCGCAATTATTAGAAAATGGAAGAAGTTCAAGATGACGGTCAATCACCCTCGGTCTGGGGCTCCATGCAAGATCTCACCTCGTGGGGTATCAATGATCATGAGGAAGGTGAGGGATCAGCCCAGAACTACATGGCAGGACATGGTCAATGACCTGAAGAGAGCTGGGAGCACAGTCTCAAAGAAAACCTTAAGTAACACACTACGCCGTCATGGATTAAAATCCTGCAGCGCACGCAAGGTCCCCCTGCTCAAGCCAGCGCATGTCCAGGCCCGTCTGAAGTTTGCCAATGACCATCTGGATGATCCAGAGGAGGAATGGGAGAAGGTCATGTGGTCTGATGAGAGAAAAATAGAACTTTTTGGTCTAAACTCCACTCGCCATTTTTTGGAGGAAGAAGAAGGATGAGTACCACCCCAAGAACACCATCCCAACCGTGAAGCATGGAGGTGGAAACATCATTCTTTGGGGATGCTTTTCTGCAAAGGGGACAGGACGACTGCACCGTATTGAGGGGAGGATGGATGGGGCCATGTATCGCGAGATCTTGGCCAACAACCTCCTTCCCTCAGTAAGAGCATTGAAGATGGGTCGTGGCTGGGTCTTCCAGCATGACAACGACCCGAAACACACAGCCAGGGCAACTAAGGAGTGGCTCCGTAAGAAGCATCTCAAGGTCCTGGAGTGGCCTAGCCAGTCTCCAGACCTGAACCCAATAGAACATCTTTGGAGGGAGCTGAAAGTCCGTATTGCCCAGTGACAGCCCCGAAACCTGAAGGTTCTGGAGAAGGTCTGTATGGAGGGGTGGGCCAAAATCCCTGCTGCAGTGTGTGCAAACCTGGTCAAGACCTACAGGAAACGTATGATCTCTGTAATTGCAAACAAAGGTTTCTGTACCAAATATTAAGTTCTGCTTTTCTGATGTATCAAATACTGATGTCATGCAATAAAAAAACTTAAAAATCATACAATGTGATTTTCTGGATTTTTGTTTTAGATTCCGTCTCTCACAGTTGAAGTGTACCTATGATAAATATTACAGACCTCTACATGCTTTGTAAGTAGGAAAACCTGCAAAATCGGCAGTGTATCAAATACTTGTTCTCACCACTGTATATACACATACACATATACATACATACATACAGTGAGGGAAAAAAGTATTTGATCCCTTGCTGATTTTGTACGTTTGCCCACTGACAAAGAAATGATCAGTCTATAATTTTAATGGTAGGTTTATTTGAACAGTGAGAGACAGAATAACAACAAAAAAATCCAGAAAAACGCATGTAAAAAATGTTATAAATTGATTTGCATTTGAATGAGGGAAATAAGAATTTGACCCCCTCTCAATCAGAAAGATTTCTGGCTCCCAGGTGTCTTTTATACAGGTAACGAGCTGAGATTAGGAGCACACTCTTAAAGGGAGTGCTCCTAATCTCAGTTTGTTACCTGTATAAAAGACACCTGTCCACAGAAGCAATCAATCAATCAGATTCCAAACTCTCCACCATGGCCAAGACCAAAGAGCTCTCCAAGGATGTCAGGGACAAGATTGTAGACCTACACAAGGCTGGAATGGGCTACAAGACCATCGCCAAGCAGCTTGGTGAGAAGGTGACAACAGTTGGTGGGATTATTCGCAAATGGAAGAAACACAAAATAACTGTCAATCTCCCTCGGCCTGGGGCTCCATGCAAGTTCTCACCTCGTGGGGTTGCAATGATAAGGAGAACGGCGAGGAATCAGCCCAGAACTACACGGGAGGATCTTGTCAATGATCTCAAGGCAGCTGGGACCATAGTCACCAAGAAAACAATTGGTAACACACTACGCCGTGAAGAACTGAAATCCTGAAGCGCCCGCAAGGTCCCCCTGCTCAAGAAAGCACATATACAGGGCCGTCTGAAGTTTGCCAATGAACATCTGAATGATTCAGAGGAGAACTGGGTGAAAGTGTTGTGGTCAGATGAGACCAAAATCAAGCTCTTTGGCATCAACTCAACTCGCCGTGTTTGGAGGAGGAGGAATGCTGCCTATGACCCCAATAACACCATCCCCACCGTCAAACATGGAGGTAGAAACATTATGCTTTGGGGGTGTTTTTCTGCTAAGAGGACAGGACAACTTCACCGGGGCAATGGACGGGGCCATGTACCGTCAAATCTTGGGTGAGAACCTCCTTCCCTCAGCCAGGGCATTGAAAATGGGTCGTGTATGGGTATTCCAGCATGACAATGACCCAAAACACACGGCCAAGGCAACAAAGGAGTGGCTCAAGAAGAAGCACATTAAGGTCCTGGAGTGGCCTAGCCAGTCTCCAGACCTTAATCCCATAGAAAATCTGTGGAGGGAGCTGAATGTTCGGCCTCGAAACCTTAATGACTTGAAGAAGATCTGCAAAGAGGAGTGGAACAAAATCCCTCCTGAGATGTGTGCAAACCTGGTGGCCAACTACAAGAAACGTCTGACCTCTGTGATTGCAAACAAGGGTTTTGCCACCAAGTACTAAGTCATGTTTTGCAGAGGGGTCAAATACTTATTTTCCTCATTAAAATGTAAATCAATTTATAACATTTTTGACATGCGTTTTTCTGGATTTTGTTGTTGTTATTCTGTCTCTCACTGTTCAAATAATCCTACCATTAAAATTATAGACTGATCATTTCTTTGTCAGTGGGCAAACGTACAAAATCAGCAGGGGATCAAATACTTTTTTCCCCTCACTGTACATATAAATATTTTGTACACTCAGTGTACAATTATCTATAAGGTTCCTAAGTCGAGCAGTGAATTTCAAACACAGATTCAACCACAAAGGCCAGGGAGTTTATCCAATGCCTCGCAAAGAAGGGCACCTATTGGTGGATTGTAAAAAAACAAAACAAAAAACAAAGAAAACAGACATTGAATATCCCATTGAACATGGTGAAGTTATTAATTACACTTTTGATGGTGTATCAATATACCCAGCCACTACAACGATACAGGCGTCCTTCCTAACACAGTTGCCGGAGAGGAAGGAAACCGCTCAGGGATTTCACCATAAGGCCAATGGTGACTTTAAAACAGTTACAGAGTTTAATGGCTGTGATAGGAGAAAACTGAGGATGGATCAACAGCGTTGTAGTTACTCCACAATACTAACCTAAATGACAGAGTGAAAAGAAGGAAGCCTGTACAAAATAAAAATATTCCAAAACATGCATCCTGTTTGCAATAAGGCACTAAAGTAAAACTTCAAAAAATGTGGCAAAGAAATTTACTTTATGTCCTGAATACAAAGCATTATGTTTGGGGCAAACACAACACATCACTGAGTACCACTCTTCATATTTTCAAGCATGGTGGTGGCTGCATCATGTTATCAGTATGCTTGTCATTGGCAAGGCCTAGGGAGTTTTTTAGGATACAAATAAATGGAATAGAGCTAAGAAAAGGCAAACCTGCTTCAGTCTGCTTTCCAACAGACACTGGGAGACAAATTCCCCTTTCAACAGGACAATTATCTAAAACACAAGGCCAAGATGACACTGAATGTTCCTGAGTGGCCTAGTTACAATTTTGACTTAAATCGGCTTGAAAATCTATGGCAAGTCTTGAAAATGGCTGTCTAGCAATGATCAATGAAAGAGCTGGTGCTCTTTCATGCCGTCCCTGGGAGGGGTGCGTCACTTGAGTGGGTTGAGTTACTGACGTGATCTTCCTGTCTGGGTTGGCGCCCCCCCCTTGGTTTGTGCTGTGGTGGAGACCTCTGTGGGCTATACTCGGCCTTGTCTCAGGATTGTAAGTTGGTGGTTGGGGATATCCCTCTGGTGATGCGGGGGCTGTGCTTTGGCGGAGTGGGTGGGGTTATATCCTTCCTGTTTGGCCCTGTCCGGGGGTTTCTTCGGATGGGGCCACAGTGTCTCCGGACCGCTCCTGTCTCAGCCTCCAGTATTTATGCTGCAGTAGTTTATGTGTCGGGGGGCTGGGGTTAGTTGGTTATACCTGGAGTACTTCTCCTGTCTTATCCAGTGTCCTGTGTGAATTTAAGTATGCTCTCTCTAATTCTCTCGTTCTCTCTTTCTCTCTGAGAACCTGAGCCCTAGGACCATACGTCAGGACTACCGGGCATGATGACACCTTGCTGTCCCCAGTCCGCCTGGCCTTGCTGCTATTCCAGTTTCAACTGTTCTGCCTGCGGCTACGAAACCCCTACCTGTCCCAGACCTGCTGTTTTCAACTCTTAATGATCGGCTATGAAAAGCCAACTGAGAGACCTGAGCCCTAGGACCATACGTCGGGACTACCGGCCGTGGTGACTCCTTGCTGTCCCCAGTCCGCCTGGCCTTGCTGCTATTCCAGTTTAAACTGTTCTGCCTGCGGTTATGGAACCCCTACCTGTCCCAGACCTGCTGTTTTCAAACTCTTAATGATCGGCTATGAAAAGCCAACTGAGATTTATTCCTGATTATTATTTGACCATGCTTGTCACTTATGAACATTTTTGAACATCTTGGCATGGTTCTGTTATAATCTCCACCCGGCACAGCCAGAAGAGGACTGGCCACCCCTCATAGCCTGGTTCCTCTCTAGGTTTCTTCCTAGGTTTTTGCCTTTCTAGGGAGTTTTTCCTAGCCACCGTGCTTCTACACCTGCATTACTAGCTGTTTGGGGTTTTAGGCTGGGTTTCTGTACAGCACTTCGAGATATTAGCTGATGTAAGAAGGGCTATATAAAATAAAATTGATTGAAATTGATTGATCAACAGCCAACTTGATAGTTTGAATAATTTTTTTAAAGAATAATGTGCAAGTGTCGTAGTAAATATTAAAATGTTATAGCTTGGTCTGACTAAAATCTTGTGCATGACCCATTTTAATGTTAGGAGCTTGTTTTCAATCAATGCTGTTCCTATGCAAGAACAATGGACAGAGCCAATATCTTCTCAAGGACAACACCCACGCCACAGGCCACAATCCGGTTGCTCCCCACGAGTCTTTCCTTTGAGAACATACACACATTCACACACACATCTCCATGCATACGCACACTCATCCTCATGCCTCACGAGTTACGCACACACACAAACTGCACTTCTTTCTACTGGTCGGGTGCCTAGGGCAGAGGACTCTGCCGTGCACAAAATGGGGCTTCTACTCTGGACAGAGCAGACCCGCCTCCTACGCCTCCGGAACCAATCAAGGGACTAGAAGAAGGACCCCTTCCTTTGTGTTGCATTGTATAAAGTAATGCTGAAAACTCTGTTTTTGATCCCTTTTCAACTGTCTCCATAAGAGGCAACTGAATGGGTCCATGCATGTAGCTTGAGCAGTACCAGCTATCTCTGTTGTTTAATAAACTGCCTTTTGCTTAAGCATATTCCTCTCCGTCTAGCGTCGTTGGTTTGTACTTCCTCTCCTTATGGTTCCACCAACACAAGTATTGTACAATCCAGTAGGCTTGGGCGTTATCCAGATTTCCATACCGCCATCCCGGGATTTACGATATTACCGGTATAGCACACAAGGGGAAGCAAAAAACACAAAAAAGCCCATTGGGCGTCTATTACCAAAATGCTAAAGAAATTAGCACAAGTAATAGCGAAATCACATAGACGTGGCTAGCTAAATGCTAATGAGCGAAAACGAACATAAGCTAATTGCAAAGACAGGCAAATCCAGCTCATAAAGTTATACAAGCATAGCTAGTAGCTACCAAATGTTATTTTCGGTTAGTGTGGACATTTACAAGTGAAAGTGAATGAGAGAAATTGTGCAAATCAACAAAGTTGTGATGCATGTTTTTCTGAAGGAAGAGCATGTGTACATGGAGCAGAGGGGAGAAAAACTGAGGAGAAAAAAAAACGCAGGTAGGAAGCAAAAGGACCGCTATACCTGATGCAGTGAAAATAATTAAAAACATTGAATAATGAAGTAAGCTTTATGCGACATCTTTTTGAGTGCAGCTCACCAAGAGCTCTTTGACTTTTCAAACACGGCAGAAAGCCATTATATGATGGCAAACATTTAGTAGTGAATTACATACAAGTGTAAACTTCATTACCACATGTGCACAACAGAGATTTGCCGATAGATATAGAACGCTATGGACTCACCAGCTCCCGCTTTCTCCTGTTGTGCTATTTACAAACAAACTGGCTGAACTGTTCTGGGGAACTACGGTAAGCTTCATAATGTAAAATGATGTGACAGGTGAAGTGAAAAAATACATCTGCTTTATCTCATAGCATACTGCTCAAGTTGACTGCAAGTATTAACTTAAAAAGTCGCTACAAATATTCAAATTTATTGAAAATTTTAAAATAAATAGTTTTGATGGTATTGAAAAACCATCCCATGGCTTTCTCCAAATATCCCGGTATATGGTATATATGGTATACCGCCCAAGTATGCAAAGCTCTTAGAGACTTACCCAGAAAGACTCACAGCTGTAATTGCTGCCAAAGGTGATTCTAACATTGACTCAGGGGGTTGAATACTTATGTAATCAAGATATATATATATATATATATATATATATATATATATATATTTTTACAAATGTTAGAATTTTTCTTCCACTTTGACATTACAGAGTACTTTGTGTAGATCGTTGACAAAAAATGACAATTAAATCCATTTTAATCTCCCACACACAAAACACAGCATTGCTATACACTTCCTGACAGCCGTGTGTTTTCCCCTCCGCAGCCCTTCCATCCAATGGTGAACCTGCAGTGTTCCTCAGAGCTGAGGATGTTCCTGTGTGCCCTCTATGCTCCGGTGTGTACTGAGTACGGACGCATGACGCTGCCCTGCCGACGGCTGTGCCAGAGAGCCAAGGGAGACTGCTACAAACTCATGGACATATTCGGAGTCACCTGGCCAGAAGAGATGGACTGTAACAGGTTAGTAGTCTACTGTACTCTAGGGTACAGTTTTACACAGTGTACCTTTACACATCTGAGGCAAATACAATTTTTGTATCATCCTTTTATCACTAATTTCTCAGAAAATACTTGCTAATTTCTGTACCATAACATCAATAAGAATGACATGGCAAAATGTTAATTAAACAATAGTAACACATAATTTCCTAGCAAATACAACGTAAAATCTGAGGAAACTGTCCCGTAAAATAAAGGTTTAGCTTTGTGTCTTTCTCTAAGGTAAATATAATGTGTCTAACATAAGCTGTTTCCTCTCCGTACACCAGGTTCCCAGACTGTGACGAGCCATACCCCCGTCCTGTAGACCTGCTCTCCAGCGCAGACTCCACTGAGTCGCCTATCTCCGTCCAGCGCGACTATGGCTTCTGGTGCCCCCGTGAGCTCAAGATCGACCCCGACCTGGGCTACACCTTCCTGGGCATGAGGGATTGCTCACCCCCCTGCCCCAACATGTACTTCCAGCGGGACGAGCTGGTGTTCGCCCGCTACTTTATTGGCGTGGTGTCCATCGTCTGTCTCTCGGCAACACTCTTCACCTTCCTCACCTTCCTCATCGACGTGTCCAGGTTCCGCTACCCGGAGCGGCCAATCATCTTCTACGCCGTGTGCTACATGATGGTGTCGCTGGTATTCTTCCTGGGCTTCCTACTGGAGGACCGGGTGGCGTGCAACGCGGCGAGCCCCGGCCGCTTCCGGGCGCACACCGTCACCCAGGGCTCCCACAACAAGGTGAACATCCGTTGTCTTAGTGATTGATTAATTAATAACTGATTGATTGAATTAGTTTCAATTTTCTCTTTGACATTTAGGGCTATTGTAAATAAAAAAAATACAATTATATGTTTGATATTCTTTATGTTCTTGGATTTTCAAAGTCTTCTGTCTAATCTAAACATCATTCTCTTCTCATTTTCCCCTCCTCCCTCTCCATCCCTCCTCCCTCTCCATCCCTCCCCATCCTTCTCTCTCTCCATCCCTTCTCCTTCTCCATCCTCCTCCCCCTCCATCCCTTCTTCCTCTCCATGCTCCTCCCTCTCCATCCTTCTCTCTCTCCATCCCTTCTCCCTGTCTCCATCCTTCCTCCTACCCCTCTCCATCCTTCTTCCTCTCCCTCTCCTTCTCCCTCTCCATCTCTCCCTCTCAACTCCTCCTCTCCTTCCCTCCTTCCTTCTCCTCTCCTTCCTTCTACTCTCTCCCTCTCCATCCTCTACCTCCATCCCTCCTCCCTCTCCTCCTCCATCCCGTCCTCGTCCTCTCCTCCTTCTCCTCCCTCTCCACTCTCCTCCTCCCTCTCCATCCCCTCCGTCCCTCTCCATCCCTCCTCCCTGCTCCACCCTCCCTCCTCGTCTCCTCCTCCTCCTCCCTCTCCCACCCTCCTCCCTCTCCATCCTCTGCTCCCTCCTCCTCCCCTCTCCCCATCCCTCCTCGGCATCTCCTCCTTCTCCCCCCTCCCGTCCTCCCTCTCCATCTCATCCCTCTCCCTCTCCTTCTCCCTCCTCTCCTCCTACCTCCGGGATCCCTCCTACCCTCCTCCCCTCCATCCTTCTCCCTCTCCTCCCTCCTCGGTCTCCTCCCCATGCCCTCCTCCGCTTCTCCCATCCTCCTTTCCCTCTCCATCCCGTCTCCCTCTCCAGTCCTGCCCCCTCCTCCTCCCGTCTCCCTCCCATCTGTTCTCCCTCTCCCTCCTTCTTCCCCTCTCCCTCCCTCCTCCCTCTCCATCCTCCCCCTGCTCCATCCCTCCTCCCTCTCCAGTATCCTTCTCTCCCTCTCCTCCCTTCCCCCCTCCATCCTCTCTCCCCCTCCATCCTCCTCCGCTCTCCATCCCTCCACCCCTCTCATCCCTCCTCCCCTCTCCATCACCTTCTCCCTCTCGCATCCCTCTCCCACTCCTCCTCCTGCCCCCTCCATCCATCCGCTCCCTCTCCATCTCCTCTCCTCCTCCTCCCTCTCCATCCCTCCTCCCTCTCCATCCCTTCCTCCCTCTCCATTCCCTCCACCACCCCTCCATCCTTCCTCCCTCCCTCCCTCCCCTCCTCCCTCTCCTCTCCATCTCTCTCCCTCCTCCCCTCCCTCCATCCTCTCTTCCCTCTCCCTCCTCCCTCTCCTCCTCCTTCCTTCTCCCTCTCCCACCCTCCTCCCTCTCCATCCCTCTCCTCCCTCTCCACCCTCCTCCTCTCCATCCTTCCTTTCTCCCTCTCCCACCCTCCTCCCTCTCCATCTCTCCATCCCTCCCTCCCTCTCCTCTCCACTCCCTCCTCCCTCTCCATCCCTCCTCCCTCTCCATCCCCTCCCTGCCTCCCTCTCCATCCTCTCTCCCCTTCCATCCCTCCTCCCCCTCCCCTCCCTCTCCATCCCTCCTCCCTCTCCCTCCCTCCCATCCCCCCTCCCCCCATCCCTCTCCTCCCTCTCCCTCCCTCCCTCCTCCCTCCCCCCTCCCCCTCCATCCTCCCTCCCTCCCCATCCTCTCCTCCCCCTCCCTCACCCCTCCTCCCCCTCACCTCCTCCTCCCTCCCCCTTCCCCCTCCCTCTCCTCCCGCTCCATCCTGCTCCTCCACCCTCTCCTCTCCTCTTCCTCCCTCTCCTCTCCTCCCCTCCTCCCTCCATCCTCCTCCCCTCCATCCCTCCCCCTTCATCCTCCACTCTCCCTCTCCTCCTCTCCATCCTCCACCCTCCTTTCTCCCTCTCCCATCCCTCCTCCCTCCTCCCTCTCCTCCTCCCTCTCCCATCCTTCTCCGTCTCCTCTCCTCCCTCCCATCCCTCCTCCTCTCACCTCTCCTCCTCTCACCCCATCCCTCCTCTCCCCTCCCTCGCCCGCCTTCTCCCTCCCTCCCAATGCCCTCCTCTCCATCACTCCCTTCCCCTCCTCCCTCTCCCTCCCTTCTCCTCCTCTCCCTCCCTGCTGCCCTGCCTCCCTCTCCGCTCCGCCTCCTCTCCCTCTTCCCTCCTCCTCCCATCCCTCTCCACCCTCCCTTCTCCCTCTCCACTCCCTTCGTCCCTCTCCCTCCCTCCTCACTCTCCCATCCCCCCTCCCTCTCCATCCCTTCTCCATCTCCTCCCTCTCCATCCCTTCTCCCTCTCCATCCCTCCTCCCCCTCCATCCCTCCTCCCTCTCCCCATCCCTCCTCCCCTCATCCCTCCCTGCTCCCTCGTCCATCCCTCCTCCCTCTCAATCCCACCTTCTCCCTCTCCTCCATCCCTCCTCCCTCATCATCTCCCTCCTCCCCTTCCACTCCCTCCTCCCTCTCCCTCCCTCCCTCCTCCCTCCCTCTCCATTCCCCTCCCCCTCCCCCCCTCCATCCCTCCCCTCGTCCATCCCCACCCTCCCTCTCCCTTCTCCTCCCCCTCCCATCCCTCTCCCTCTCCCCTCCCTCCTCCCCGTTCCCCTCCCTTCTCCCTCCCCATCCCTCCTCCCTCTCCATCCTTCCTCTCTCCTCCCCCTCCCTCCCTCCCTCCTCCCCCTCCCTTCTCCTCCCTCTCCCTCCCTTCCCCCTCCATCCCTTCCCCCCTCCCTCCCTCCTCCCCCCCCTCATTCCCTCCTTCCTCCCCGCCCCCCTCTCCCTCCCCCCCTCCCCTCCTTCCCTCTCCCTCTTTCTCCCCTCCTTCCCTCCTCCCCCTCTTTGCCCTCCTCTCATCCTCCCTCCCTCCTTCTCCCTCTCCTCCTTTCCCCCTCTCCTCCTCCCCCCCTGCCCCTCTCCCGCCTTCCTCTCCTCCTCTCTTCCGCCCTACTCCTTCCCCCATCCATCCCTCCCTCATCTCCCTCTTCCCTCCTCTCCCCCTCCCCTTCATCTTCCCCTCCCCCTCCTTCAAGGCGTGCACGTTGCTCTTTATGGCGCTCTACTTCTTCACCATGGCAGGCAGTGTGTGGTGGGTCATCCTCACCCTCACCTGGTTCCTGGCTGCCGTGCCTAAGTGGGGCAGCGAGGCCATAGAGAAGAAGGCCCTGCTCTTCCATGCCTGTGCCTGGGGCCTGCCCGGCTGTCTCACCGTCACTCTACTAGCAATGAACAAGATAGAAGGGGATAGTGTCAGCGGGGTGTGTTTCGTGGGGCTGTATGACCGCACGGCGCTGAGATGGTTCCTGCTGGCTCCCCTGGGTCTGGATGTATTGGTGAGTGGGCTGGAATGAGTCAGAGGAAGTAGGTGTGAGTCACAATTGGCAGACTATTCCCTATACAGTGGGGAAAAAAAGTATTTAGTCAGCCACTAATTGTGCAAGTTCTCTCACTTAAAAAGATGAGAGAGGCCTGTAATTTTCATCATAGGTACACGTCAACTATGACAGACAAATTGAGAAAAAAAAATCCAGAAAATCACATTGTAGGATTTTTAATGAATTTATTTGCAAATTATGGTGGAAAATAAGTATTTGGTCACCTACAAACAAGCAAGATTTCTGGCTCTCACAGACCTCTAACTTCTTCTTTAAGAGGCTCCTCTGTCCTCCACTTGTTACCTGTATTAATGGCACCTGTTTGAACTTGTTATCAGTATAAAAGACACCTGTCCACAACCTCAAACAGTCACACTCCAAACTCCACTATGGCCAAGACCAAAGAGCTGTCAAAGGACACCAGAAACAAAATTGTAGACCTGCACCAGGCTGGGAAGACTGAATCTGCAATAGGTAAGCAGCTTGGTATTAAGAAATCAACTGTGGGAGCAATTATTAGGAAATGGAAGACATACAAGACCACTGATAATCTCCCTCGATCTGGGGCTCCACGCAAGATCTCACCCCGTGGGGTCAAAATGATCACAAGAACGGTGAGCAAAAATCCCAGAACCACACGGGGGGACCTAGTGAATGACCTGCAGAGAGCTGGGACCAAAGTAACAAAGCCTACCATCAGTAACACACTACGCCGCCAGGGACTCAAATCCTGCAGTGCCAGACGTGTCCCCCTGCTTAAGCCAGTACATGTCCAGGCCCGTCTGAAGTTTGCTAGAGTGCATTTGGATGATCCAGAAGAGGATTGGGAGAATGTCATATGGTCAGATGAAACCAAAATATAACTTTTTGGTAAAAACTAAACTCGTCGTGTTTGGAGGACAAAGAATGCTGAGTTGCATCCAAAGAACACCATACCTACTGTGAAGCATGGGGGTGGAAACATCATGCTTTGGGGCTGTTTTTCTGCAAAGGGACCAGGACGACTGATCCGTGTAAAGGAAAGAATGAATGGGGCCATGTATCGTGAGATTTTGAGTGAAAACCTCCTTCCATCAGCAAGGGCATTGAAGATGAAACGTGGCTGGGTCTTTCAGCATGACAATGATCCCAAACACACCGCCCGGGCAACGAAGGAGTGGCTTCGTAAGAAGCATTTCAATGTCCTGGAGTGGCCTAGCCAGTCTCCAGATCTCAACCCCATAGAAAATCTTTGGAGGGAGTTGAAAGTCCGTGTTGCCCAGCGACAGCCCCAAAACATCACTGCTCTAGAGGAGATCTGCATGGAGGAATGGGCCAAAATACCAGCAACAGTGTGTGAAAACCTTGTGAAGACTTACAGAAAACGTTTGACCTGTGTCATTGCCAACAAAGGGTGTATAACAAAGTATTGAGAAACTTTTGTTATTGACCAAATACTTATTTTCCACCATAATTTGCAAATAAATTCATAAAAAATCCTACAATGTGATTTTCTGGATTTCTTTTCTCAGTTTGTCTGTCATAGTTGACGTGTACCTATGATGAAAATTACAGGCCTCTCTCATCTTTTTAAGTTGGAGAACTTGCACAATTGGTGGCTGACTAAATACTTTTTCCCCCCACTGTATAGGCAAGAGGGTGGCATTTGGGACACAGGCTAGGTGATTCATGTGTGCACAAGGTTTACGTTTGCACATGCACAAAGTTCAGTAAACATGTTGACACTGTTTGTGTCTGCTCCTTTGATTATACCACAGACCTACACATCTCAACATTCATTAAAAAGTGGATCTGGGCCTCCCGAGTGGCGCAGCAGTCTAAGGCAATGCATTGCAGTGCTTGAGGCGTCACTACAGACGCATCGCTGTGCTTGAGGTGTCACTACAGACCCGGGTTCGATTCCAGGCTGTGTCACAGCTGGCTGTGACCGGGAGACCCATGAGGCGGCGCACAATTGGCCCAGCGTCGTCCGGGTTAGGGGAGGGTTTGGCCGGCCGGGATTTCCTTGTCCCATCACGTTCTAGTGACTCCTTGTGGTGGGCCGGGTGCCTGCAAGCTGACTTTGGTTGCCAGCTGTTTCCTCATTGGTGCAGCTGGCGTCCGGGTTAAGCGAGCAGTGCGGCTTGGAAGGGTCATGTTTCGGAGGACGCATGGCTCTCGACCTTCGCCTCTCCCGAGTCCGTAGGGGAGTTGCAGCGATTGGATAAGACTGTATCTACCAATTTGGGGAGTAAAAAGTAAATAAAACCATATTTACTTCCTGGTCTTTCTTATATAATCTTTTGTCTATTCCTTCAATATCAACTCTGTCTGATTCTAGGTGGGCGTGGCGTTACTGTTAGCGGGAATCCTTGCATTAAACCGAGTGCGTATGGAGCTCCCTCTGGCGAAGGATAACCAGGACAAGCTGGTGAAGTTTATGATCCGTATTGGGGTGTTCTCTGTGCTCTACCTGGTCCCTCTGTTGACGGTCATAGCCTGCTACCTGTATGAGAACAGCTATAGGACTGTCTGGGAGACTACCTGGGTGCAGGAGCGCTGCAGAGAGTACCACATCCCCTGTCCATACCAGGTGAGATCCAGACCACTACACCACATCCCCTGTCTATACCAGGTGAGATCCATACCACTACACCACATCCCCTGTCCATACCAGTTGAGATCCACACCACTACACCACATCCCCTGTCTATACCAGGTGAGATCCAGACCACTACACCACATCCCCTGTCCATACCAGGTGAGATCCAGACCACTACACCACATCCCCTGTCTATACCAGGTGAGATCCATACCACTACACCACATCCCCTGTCCATACCAGGTGAGATCCATACCACTACACCACATCCCATGTCCATACCAGGTGAGATCCAGACCACTACACCACATTCCCTGTACATACCAGGTGAGATCCACACCACTACACCACATCCCCTGTCCATACCAGGTGAGATCCATACCACTACACCACATCCCATGTCCATACCAGGTGAGATCCAGACCACTACACCACATTCCCTGTACATACCAGGTGAGATCCACACCACTACACCACGTCCCGTGTCCATACCAGGTGAGATCCACACCACTACATCACATCCCCTGTCCATACCAGGTGAGATCCATACCACTACAGCACATCCCCTGTCCATACCAGGTGAGAATTTGCCTAATTACAAGAAACAAATACTCTGTTGCTGGGCAAATATGCATCTTATATAAACACATTTGATTAACTCTCTAAGTTCTAGTCTACTAATAGTCATACATTATTAGTTTAACTGAGGGTGTGACATTTTAGTCATATCTTACTCACACATTTCTTTATCAATAATACCATGTTCCGAGCACGCAAATTGGAGCACGCATCAGTCAGAGTATGAGTCCAAATCAAAGTCTGCGAAACGTAGCACGGAGGGCACTTCTCGGATGCGTACTCCGCTTGTACACATTTCGAAGCATGCATCGATGAAAGCTTCAACAGAAAGTATGCACAGAAATATGACACAACCACGTAAAAACAACACAATATTTCTTGAAATCCATTTTTTGGGCTGAAGCAAGAGAAAATAAACTCAGACATCAGAATGAAATGTTGCCCATTCACATTTCATCTGTTGCCTGACTACAATACTGTATCTTGAAACGTGAATAAATTCATACTGTATTAATTTTGGCATGTTTACCTGCCTACAATACCCACTGTAGTGTGAGTAGAATGCAACCCCATAGTAAGTCAATAGGGCTAACTGGCTAGCCACGAATAATTAGTAGCCAGCTAGTCATGAAGAATTGACAGCTAGTCATCTACCTTGCAAAACATTTGTTTGGCTTGTCATTGATAATAGACAACAATCATTTGTTCACCTTTTCCACACTCACTTTACGGAATTCAAAATTACAATGCTTGTCTTTCATAATTTGGTCAGATATACTTGAATGTGTAGTGTCAGCAAGTTAATGTTACCTTATGCTAGTAGACAAGTAGGGTCATTGTCTATGCTGTTTTAGCTATGTTAACGTTATGTTAAAGTATGTTGCAAGCTAATGCATATACTGTAAACACGAGTCATCTGTTGCGAAAGTTATGTAGCTAAATAATACAAAACACAGATTAAAAGTTGCAATTGTTTTACTGATAATAATGCAATATGAAACAAAATCTACAAATTTGGCATATAACATTAGTTACAGGAAGGTGTTCCTAATGTTTTGTACACTCAGTGTATATCCCCATACTTTAACCACTATGCTACATTACACCTACTCTGACCACTATACCATATACCTGTCCGTACCAGGCAATACCAGATTATACACCTACTGTCACCGTTTATAGAAACTACAATCAACTGCACTCAAATATTCTTATAACCCCTACGTCAGTAGTTCTTAACCAGGGGGCCTAGGACCCGAGGGGCCCTAGTGAGCTTTCATGGGGTCCCACGAAAACACAGGAAATATCTATTTGAATTTTGATGCCAAATTCAAAACAGGAAAGAAAAACAACAGAGAATATATATCGGTCTCACACAGTAGTTGTATTCCCAACACACCTAGCTCCAGTACTCCAGGTCAAACAGACACAGGAGAGCTCTCAGGTTGGTTGTTTCTAATAGATGAAGCACTTCAGAGAAGCTTCTCTCTGCCTGGAGCTGTGGAACACATCCCCACTCATCTGGAGAAGCAGTTCATAATTCAAACACTTCCTCCTTGCTACTGTAGGTTTTTAGTGTGTGTGTGTGTGTGTGTGTGTGTGTACATTTGTAACAGTGTGTGCTGTTTTCACATGAGTGCACCTGCACTGCTCTTCTTGTTCTGTCCTCCTTTAAGAGGTTTTGTGTTAGAAGTTGTTGTGATGGATCAGATAGCAGGGTCTGTGTTAGTAGTTGTTGTGATGGATCAGAAAGCAGGGTCTGTGTTAGTAGTTGTTGTGATGGATCAGATAGCAGGGTCTGTGTTAGTAGTTGCTGTGGTGGATCAGAAAGCAGGGTCTGTGTTAGTAGTTGTTGTGGTGGATCAGAAAGCAGGGTCTGTGTTAGTAGTTGTTGTGGTGGATCAGAAAGCAGGGTCTGTGTTAGTAGTTGCTGTGGTGGATCAGAAAGCAGGGTCTGTGTTAGTAGTTGTTGTGGTGGATCAGAAAGCAGGGTCTGTGTTAGTAGTTGTTGTGGTGGATCAAAAAGCAGGGTCTGTGTTAGTAGTTGCTGTGGTGGATCAGATAGAAGGGTCTGTGTTAGTAGTTGTTGTGGTGGATCAGAAAGCAGGGTTTGTGTTAGTCTGCTGCTCACCTCACTCACAGGGGGACTCTGTCTTTCAGTGCTGTTAATTTGTCCAAACATCTCCAATACCACATTGATTGTGTGTATTATCTTGCCTTTTAATTAGTGGTAAACTGGTTGGCACATAGGAGAGATTTGGTACTGAGATCTGCCCACAAACTGACCTAGTGGAACAGCTGTGTAATGTGTGTCAAGTTTTAATGTCACATGCACAAGTACAGTGAAATGCGTTTCTTGCCAGCTCTAAATCCAACAATGCAGTAATCAATAACAATGTAATGCTAAAAATAACAAGGTAGAACAAAACGCGGCACTGTCATAGGATGCCACCTTTCCAACAAGTCAGTTCGTCAAATTTCTGCCCTGATAGAGCTGCCCCGGTCAACTGTAAGTGCTGTTATTGTTACGTGGAAACATCTAGGAGCAGCAATGGCTCATCCGCGAAGTGGTAGGCCACACAAGCTCACAGAACAGAGCCGCTGAAGCGCGTAGTGAAGGGAAATCTTAATTCTCCAGCATACAACGACATTCTAGACGATTCTGTGCTTCCAACATGTGGCAACATGTGGCACAACTTTTCCTGTTTCAGCATGACAATGCCCCCATGCACAAAGTGAGGTCCATACATAAATGGTTTGTCGAGATCGGTGTGGAAGAACTTGACTGGCCTGCACAGAGCCCTGACCTCAACCCCATCTAGCACCTTTGGGATGAATTGGAACGCCGACTGTGAGCCAGGCCTAATCGGCCAACATCAGTGCCCGACCTCACTAATGCTCTTGTGGCTGAATGGAAGCAAGTCCCCGCAGAAATGTTCCAACATCTAGTGGAAAGCCTTCACAGAAGAGTGGAGGCTGTTATAGCAGCAAAAGGGGGACCAACTCCATATTAATGCCCATGATTTTGGAATGAGATGTTCGACAAGCAGGTGTCCACATACTTTTGGTCATGTAGTGTATGTATAAGGGTAAGGTGACTAGGCATCATGATATATGTTGAACAGAGTAGCAGCAGCGTATATGAGGATTGTATGTGAGTGGGTGTGGGTGTGGGTGTGTGTAGAGTCAGTATAAATGTATGTGCATATAATGTGTGTGAGCAAATGATGGAGTGAGTGTCAGTGTGTGTAGAGTGTAGGGCCCTGTGAGTGTGCATAGAGACTGCAAAAATAAAATACAATACAAGGGTCAACTCAGATAGTCCGTATATTGTTAGTCATTTAGGTAGCTATTTAGCAGTCTTATTGCTTGGAGATAGAAGCTGTTCAGGAGCCTGTTGGTGTCAGGCTTGATGCACCGGTACCGCTTGCCATGCGGAAGCAGAGAGAACAGTCAATGGCTTGGGTGGCTGGAGTCTTTAATGATTTTCCAGGCCTTCCTTTCACACCGCCTGATATATAGGTCCTGGTTGGCAGGGAGCTCGGCCCCAGTGATGTACTGGGCTGTCCACACCACCCTCTGTAGCGCCATACGATCGAGGGCGGTGCTATTGCCATACCAAGCGGTGATGCAGCCAGTCAATATGCTCTCAATGGTACAGCTGTATAACCTTTTGAGGATTTGAGGGCCCATGCCAAACCTTTTCAACCTTATAACCTTCTTCACGACTGTGCGTGTGTGTGTGGACCATTTTAAGTTCTTAGTGATTTGGACACCGAGAAACTTGAAGCTCTCGACCCACTCCACTGCAACCCCGTCAATGTGGATGGGGGCGTGATCGCCCCCGCGTTTCCTGTAGTCCACAATCAGCTCCTTGGTCTTACTGACGTTGATGGAGAGGTTGTTGTTCTGGCACCACACTGTGGGTCTAGGGTGTCTGGGAGGATGGAGTTGATGTGTGCCATAACCAGCCTCTCAAAGCGCTTCATGATTACAGATGTGAGTGCTACAGGGTGGTAGTCATTGTGTCATGAAGCCTTAGAGTTCTTGGGAACAGGAATTATGGTGGTCATCTTAAAACATATGGGGATTACAGACTGGGACAAGGAGAGGTTGAAAATTACCGTGAATATGCCTGCCAGCTGTTCTGCGCATGCTCTAAGAACACGCCCTGGAATACCGCCGGGCCCCGCTTGTGCATCTGTTTGTGTGTGTGTGTATGTATGAATGTGTGTGTGTGTGTGTGGGGGGGGGAGATAGGGCAAAGGAAGTCAGTTGGGGCCTTAATCTGTCAGGCAAACACTATAGAGCAGTTAGTTCATCTCTCTCTCCCAGAGGTTCTGTTGCTGGGAGAAAAATGGGGCTGATAGAGGGACTATGCTATGTTATTTGCAGCTACAGTGCATTTGGAAAGTATTCAGACCCCTTTTGGTCATGTAGTGTATAGTGTTTTTTTTTTATTCTCGTAAAAGCAGTGTGTGTAGAAGTTCCACTAACCAGCGTAGTTTACATTTACATTTGAGTCATGTATGTATACTGATAAAAAATATAAACACAACATGCATACATGTAGGCCTGCTGACTGCCCTTCAGAACTGTTTGATGTGTAGAGGGAGGACTTTGCTTCCCCAGAGCACATAAAGAGCTATGGTTCAGCAGGGACCTATCTATATCAGTATGCAAACAGAGCCAGAGAGAAAGAGAGGTCCTGCACATCAGGATCGTGGGTTTGATTCCCGCTGCGGCCGCCTATACGAAAATGTTTGCACGACTGACCGTAAGTTGCTTTGGATAAAAGTGTCTGCTAAATGACATACAGAAAATAATCAGCTATGATGCTACAGTAGAGTTATTCCTGTAGAAATATAATCACTAGAACTCTCCACCGTGTAGGCCTACAGACCCATTGACTTGAATAAGGAGGGTCAGTCCTGCTGCATCCAGCCTGTCATTTTACTTCCTCCAAGCCTTTCTGATTAGAACAATTGGCCAGAACCAGATGAGATGTGGCAATCTAGAGGAGTTTACAAGATAAGATCTTAACTGAAGGGAGGGACGTATGGCTGCGGTGATTCAGTCTCTCTCTTCTTATCTCAGTCTGTAGGAATGAGTCTCTCTGAGCCCCAGGCTGCTCTGCTTCACTCATAATGAGGCCATCAGGACTGCTGTGTGTGTGTATCCGTGTGTGTGAACAGAAAGAACAGGGGATGTGTGTGTGTGTGTTTCTGACAGGGAGAGGGGGAGATAGTGTGTGTATCCATGTGTGTGTGCTCTTACTAAAACTGTGTTCTGCTGAACTGTACGTTGTTCTGCAGTAGAACACTGTGTGTGTGTAGCCTGACTGTCTACAGGGGGTGCAGGGATGTGGCCATTTTAGCATGTAAATATTGGTGGGCAAACACCCAAAAAATGTGGGGATGCTTGCCAGCAAAGCCACTACACAACATTAAACAATACATTAATTGCACTATAACGGTGACAAACGGTGCCCACAAACTGTTAGGGCCTACATAAAGCTGTCCCAACACCTTAACACTGCTACACCTGGCTATCAGCGGAGCCTTGTCTGGCAGCGAAACAGTTCATTCAGCCTCATTTACTGCCTTTAAAAAAAGACATAGCTGATATGGCTCACTTGCTTAAACAAATGTGGTTTCTACTGACAGTTGATGTACAAATTATGGCATAAGGGGACGACAAGCGGATAAGAGGCAATCCGTCATTTTGATTAAGACATTAATGAGCGAGCTAGGACGGAAGTAGTCAATATAACTATTTGTTCAGCACTTTTGAAATGTACAGCGACAAAATTCAGAACATGGGCCGTTCTTACAGTGTTCTTCCTGTACACCAAGTCAGAACTGTAGGTTAAATAAAGGGGGCATATAAGCAGACAATGAATGCTCTTACAATATTCGATGATTACATTTCTCTAAAACAGGTTATAGGCTACATGTGCACCACCAAGTCAGAACAGTAGGCAAAATTAAGAGGGGAAAATAGACCAAATTATTAGGGTGAGGCACATGGGCTACTAACAGCTTACTACACAACATACACTTAGTATTACTTTCTTAGCTACAGTATACATATCTCCCTAGCATATTATATCATTTATGCAGCAGCATAACACTATATCTTTGGACTCACCTTGTTGTGCTGTGCTCACTTGAACAGGAAGGTGGCGCAGCAGTCCGTCGTGGGCAAATTTTGTCATCAAACATTGTCATCAAAGTCTGGCGTTCTCTGGATTTATGGTGCTTTCAAGACAACTGGGAACTCGGAAAAAAACAAGGTCGAATCATGATGACGTCAGTGATCTTCAGGTCGTAGCTCTATAAAGAGGCCTGAGTTCCCAACTTACAATTCCGAGTTGGATGACCATTCAAAACGTATTTTCCCAGTCGGAGCTCGTTTAGTCCCAACTTTCCAGTTGTCTTGAACTCACTGAAGTCAGATTTCCCAGTTCCGAGTTAACAGTTGTTTTGAGCGTGGCAGAAATGATGCTGGATTGACAGCATGGCCAATGTTAAATGTTTATCATTTTAAGCTTGGAAAAGAGACCCTTGAACCCAGAATTGGGACCACACACCCGCTCCACTGAATAGCAGGCTAGTGATTGCTTTGCAATGCTTGCAGTTAGTCACTGACTTCTTCCAAACCACTCATTGTTGAATTTGCGATTTCCGACTTGTTGTGTAAAGTTTATCTATAATTTTTCTTAATTATTTGTCATCATATGACAAGGATTGAGAAGGATTTGCCAGTAGATTGTCGACTTGATTCATGATGATGACTGCTACCTTGCTAGCTAAGATTTTGAAAGTATGATGTTGACATGATCAGTCCAATCAAAGCTACTGTAGATACAATGTGATTTGACATAATTTTATTACATTTACATTTTAGTCATTTAGCAGACGCTGTTATCCAGAGCGTCTTACAGTTAGTGAGTGCATACATTTTTTTTTTTTTTTTTCATACTGGCCCCTCGTGGGAATCGAACCCACAACCCTGGCGTTGCAAACGCCATGCTCTACCAACTGAGCTACATCCCTGCTGGCCATTCCCTCCCCTACCCTGGACAACGCTGGGCCAATTGTGCGCCGCCCCATGGGTCTCCCGGTCACGGCCAGCTACGACAGAGCCTGGATTCGAACCAGGATCTCTAGTGGCACAGCTAGCACTGCGATGCAGTGCCTTAGACCACTGCTGTGGCCAATGACCTTGAGCCTTCTTGGATGGGCACTTCTACTGTAACTCTATGGCTGCACCCAAGGGGCTTGAATTTTCGAGCTCTACCCTTATATTTGGCAGTGAGGTAGTGTCCCCATGAGTGACAGAACACTGAGCCAATCACGGCACAACTAGAGAACATTACCAACCCCTACGCTCCGTATTTTCCACTGGCTGCCCCACCACCACAGAAAGAGCTAGGCTGAAACACTTGCATTTTGGAGCTGCCTTACTCAAAAAAGCAAAAAATAGACAATGTGAGGCTTTATTAACTCAATGATTTTTGTATTTATTTTGACATTGTTTGCAAACTGAACTGTGACACGTATTAATGCCAAAATAACATGCAAAACAGGCAACCCCCCCCCAAAATTGTTTTGTTTTTGTTTGTTTTTTTGCTAAAAATGGGGGCTCTGCCCCACCTGCCCTGAATGATGGGTTGCCACTGAGCAGGGAAGAGGGAGATTGAGAGAGGGGGATGGAAGGACGGAAAGAGAAAATGACAGGGGGGAGGTAGGGAGAGAGGGAACAAGTGAGGGGACGGAGGCAGAAGAAGGAGAGAAAATGAGAGGGGGTGGAGGGAGGGAATGAGAGTGAGAGAGAAGATGATAAAAATAGAGAATGAGAGAGGGGGAAGGAGAGGGAGAAGGAGAGAGTCATGACATTGTGTTGGCTGTTGATTTGTTGCTCAGTCTGTTAGAAATACACACACACACTCAGAAGTACAGTGCCTCACTGCCTTGCACACACAACCGTACCATACCGTAGCGTCATACTCACTGAGATCTACATTCCCACCCACGCAGCCTTGCACACACTGTTTCACTCCAGCACCGATTGTTAGTAGAGTACTCCGTTATACCAGACACACACTCACACCTCTCACCTCTCCTCTCTGTGTGTCCTAGATTGAGCAGACCAACAGACCAAACCTGTCTCTGTTCCTCATTAAGTACCTGATGATGTTGGTAGTCGGGATCCCTTCAGTGTTCTGGGTGGGCAGCAAGAAGACCTGTTTCGAATGGGCCAGCTTCTTCCAAAGACAGAGACGCAAAGAGTAAGTCTCTAAAACACGTTTTCTCTCCCTAACATAAATAGATTTGCACTATATAACAGTCATGAACATCAATGGGTGATGTATAGTGGTATGGGTGATGTGTAGTGGTGTGGGTGATGTGTAGTGGTGTGGGTTATGTGTGGTGGTGTGGGTGATGTGTAGTGGTGTGGGTGATATGTAGTGGTGTGGGTGATGTGTAGTCGTGTGGGTGATGTGTAGTGGTGTGGGTGATGTGTAGAGGTATGGGTGATGTGTAGTGGTGGTAGTGACAGGCCCCTTCTCTGCGCTCACCCCCCTCTGTGATCAGAACATTAACCCCCTCTCCCACCCCGTTCCACACACTTCTCATCTACCACTCCACCTTCCCTTTCTCTCTCCCCTCCCTCCCTCCCTCCCTCCTCCGCCTCGCCCTCCCCTCCCCTCCATCCCTCCCTTCCCCCACTCCGCCTCTCTCTCCCTTCTCCAGTAGTGTGGTCAACGAGAGTAGACAGGTGCTCCAGGAGCCAGATTTTGCCCAGCTGCTCCTGCGAGAACCCAACACCCCCATCACCCCCATCGTGAAGAAGTCCAGGGGGACGTCCACGCAGGGCACCTCCACCCAAGCCTCCTCCACCCACCTGGCCATGCTGGACGAGCCCCCCAGCGGGAGCACAAGCCGGGCAAGCAGCGTCCGCAGCACCCGAAGCAAGATGAGCAGCTTCCATGGAAGTCTTTATAAATCCAGAGATGGCAGGTAGGGATGGACGGGGATAGGGGTGGGAGTGGGAACAGGGAGGGGGGGGGGGGGGGATAGATTGATTTAATTTATTTTGGGGTTGAAAAAAGCCAGATGTGCAAAGGGAGGCGTGTAGGTAAGGATGTATAGAGACGAGGATGTGTTGGTCTGACAGGGGTAAGTGTTAACAACATGGGGCATTACTATGTTACAGTGGCTTGCGAAAGTATTCACCCCCCTTGGCATTTTTCCTATTTTGTTGCCTTACAACCTGGAATTAAAATGGATTTTTTGGGGGTTTGTATCATTTGATTTACACAACATGCCTACCACTTTGAAGATGCTAAATATTTTGGGGGGTGAAACAAACAAGAAATAAGACAAAAAAACGGAAAACTTGAGCATGCATAACTATTCACCCCCCCAAAGTCAATACTTTGTAGAGCCACCTTTTGCAGCAATTACAGCTGCAAGTCTCTTGGGGTATGTCTCTATAAGCTTGGTACATCTAGCCACTGGGATTTTTGCCCATTCTTCAAGGCAAAACTGCTCCAGCTCCTTCAAGTTGGATGGGTTCTGCTGGTGTACAGCAATCTTTAAGTCATACCACAGATTCTCAATTGGATTGAGGTCTGGGCTTTGACAAGGCCATTCCAAGACATTTAAATGTTTCCCCTTAAACCACTCGAGTGTTTCTTTAGCAGTATGCTTAGGGTCATTGTCCTGCTGGAAGGTGAACCTCCGTCCCAGTCTCAAATCTCTGGAAGACTGAAACAGGTTTCCCTCAAGAATTTCCCTGTATTTAGCGCCATCCATTATTCTTTCAATTCTGACCAGTTTCCCAGCCCCTGCTGATGAAAAACATCCCCACAGCATGATGCTGCCACCACCATGCTTCACTGTGGGGATGGTGTTCTCAGAGTGATGAGAGGTGTTGGGTTTGTGCCAGACATAGCGTTTTCCTTGATGGCCAAAAAGCTCAATTTTAGTCTCATCTGACCAGAGTACCTTCTTCTATATGTTTGGAGTGTCTCCCACATGCCTTTTGGCGAACACCAAACGTGTTTGCTTATTTTTTTTCTTTAAGCAATGGCTTTTTTCTGGCCACTCTTCCGTAAAGCCCAGCTCTGTGGAGTGTACGGTTTAAAGTGGTCCTATGGACAGATACTCCAATCTCCACTGTGGAGCTTTGCAGCTCCTTCAGGGTTATCTTTGGTCTCTTTGTTGCCTTTCTGATTAATGCCCTCCTTGCCTGGTCCGTGAGTTTTGGTGGGCGACCCTCTTTTGGCAGGTTTGTTGTTGTGCCATATTCTTTAAATTTTTTAATAATGGATTTAATGGTGCTCCGTGAGATGTTCAAAGTTTCAGACTTTTTTTTATAACCCAACCCTGATCTGTACTTCTCCACAACTTTGTCCCTGACCTGTTTGGAGAGCTCCTTGGTCTTCATGGTGCCGCTTGCTTGGTGGTGCCCCTTGCTTAGTGGTGTTGCAGACTCTGGGGCCTTTCAGAACAGGTGTATATATACTGAGATCATGTGACACTTCAATAAAGTCCACCTGTGTGCAATCTAACTAATTATGTGACTTCTGATTGTAATTGGTTGCACCAGATCTTATTTAGGGACTTCATAGCAAAGGGGGTGAATACATATGCACGCACCACTTTTCCGTTATTTATTTAATTTCACTTCACCAATTTGGACTATTTTGTGTATGTCCATTACATGAAATACAAATAAAAATGCATTTAAAATGACAGGTTGTAATGCAACAAAATAGGACAAACGCCAAGGGGGATGAATACTTTTGCAAGGCACTGTATATATAGTCCCAGATACCTGACCAACCGTCTCTCTCCTCTCCTCTGTCAGGTACACGGCGTTTAGTTTCCGCGGAGTCGAGGATCGCCTCCCCTATGGCAGCATGCCCCTCCTCAACGACCAATCAGGGTTCAGACACTGCAGCACCAACCGTCTGGACAGCATATCAAAGCACGGCTCCACCCAGGCCATTCAGAGTGCCCCCGGCAATGGAATCCACAAAGTCCTAGAGGAGAATGGAACCACGGCCTGAACTACCCCCTAGACTCTACCCCGTAGCTAAAACCCATGCCATCCTTTTAGATATACAACTAGGGGGTAGAGATTGATTTTGGACTGGGCATACTAGACCTTTGTGTGACAGTTTGAGAGTAAGGAGATTGTGAGGAAACAGGACATACTGGACAGTTGTTTGATAATCATACTTCAACATGTCCCCTCACTCAACCTCACTAAACATCACTGATAAATGAAGATAGCAGACGACTTGGATTCAGCGGACAGTGTAACTTGGACCTGCAGGTGTGAGACCTGACCCAATAACACTGACATGGAAGAAGAAAAAATTGTATTGGATACAGAGGAGTAATCTCTCCAACGCGGTTTGTTCTCTGTTCTGGAGTCAGCTCTATGTGAAACACACTGTTCTGGAGTCAGCTCTATGTGAAAGACACTGTTTTGGAGTCAGCTCTATGTGATAGACATTGTTCTGGAGTCAGCTCTATGTGAAAGACACCGTTCTGGAGTCAGCTCTATGTGAAAGACACTGTTTTGAAGTCAGCTCTATTTGAAAGACATTGTTCTGGAGTCAGCTCTATGTGAAAGACACTGTTTTGAAGTCAGCTCTATTTGAAAGACATTGTTCTGGAGTCAGCTCTATGTGAAAGACACTGTTTTGGAGTCAGCTCTATGTGAAAGACATTGTTTTGGAGTCAGCTCTATGTGAAATACATTGTTCTGGAGTTAGCTCTATGTGAAAGACATTGTTCTGGAGTCAGCTCTATGTGAAAGACATTGTTCTGGAGTCAGCTCTATGTGAAAGACGCAGCGCGGGGATCAGTTTCATGTGAAGGACGTTTTACTGGGAAGACTTTCAAGAGCTTCTTATCTATCGGCATAAGAGCGTCTGCTAAATGACGTAAATGTAAATGTTCCACTACTCAGGGGGGTGAAAAAGGATCAATCTAAGGATTTTAGAATCTAGTTCGCTCCATTATTGGTCACACAAGCAAATGCTGCCAAAGCACTCCTCTTCAAAAGCCAATACTTTATTCCTATTGACTACATTGTTTACCTGTACGAGAACCACTGTAGACGGGTCTCCAAAACCAGTTCTACTACTATACATTGAGGTACTTTTATACGTCTATTGTTTTCATTGCACTTCTGATGGAGGCAGTTAAAGGTACTGTATGTGAGGAGTAGGGCCAGGAGTCTTTCCTGACTGTGATCTGCCCAGGGGAAACTCAGGGTCCTAGTGATGACGTGAAGGAGATTGGGACAGTGTCCTGTCCTGTTGTCAATCAATTGAAAACAATTGACGATGAATCAATGAATCAGCAATTGTGAAGTGAAAGGCTGTATTGTATTACAGGATAAAAGCTGACCTCCAAACTCCAGCCTTATAGGTAGAATATTATAGTGTTATTTTCCCCTCCAGTTAGAATTAGAATCAGTTGTATTGTTCCTCCCCTTCTATGAAGTGTATACTTACTTGTATAGATAAATGTTAGCCACAACTTATTCTAGTAATGGCAACGTGAATAGATGTAAATTAGATTTTTTTGGAGGGGGGGGGGGCATGGGTCATTTGTGAAATTTTTAATCAACTCTTCTCAAAATACATCTGGGAAATCTGTAAGTGGATCTGTGCCCTAGCCTGGAAGCCAAACTGAATTTCTCCATTTCAAAAGTGAATCAAGAGCGATTCAGTTTGGATCCAGGCTATTCCGTGTCCTCCCAAGGAAATAAATGAAATCAGGACAGGAAACTCAGTGAAGCCGTATTTGTAACAGCCCTCCGTTTTATTGAAATACATCGGAGTCAGGTTAATATAATGAGCTCTCCACATAAGAGTGGTGGACAGTTTCCATACATTATTTGTTTGACCTTACACCTTAAATATTTCTGTGCAAAAAGAATCTACATCACCTGTAGTGGGTATCCTCAGTAAAACTCCCAAACCGTTCAAATAAAATGAACAAGTCAAAATTAAAAACTAATCCAAAACAAAAAAATGATTACGTCTATAACATGCAAAACTGTACAAATTATTACAAAGCAATCCTAGAAAAAAAAAAAAAAGTGTAAAATGATATGAAAGAGCTAAATAATATAGAAAGAATTTCAGATAAGACCTCACTGAAATGCAAAGGCGTTTTCTTAAAAAAAAAAAAATGGTTAGCATGGTGGCACCTCAGCCTCAAACTACTACCCTCCATCCGGCCGTTCACCCCTCACCTCTTCTCATCCTGGATTCAAAACACTTGTCTGATTTCTTCCTCCTTATTCCGGTTCTCCTCTTTTCTTCCAGCTGAATCGTTTGACCGTTACGCCTAGTCACAGCTAGCTACACTATGGCTAAATTGAGCTCTTCTTTTCCAAGTGTAGTCTGTTCTGTCACACTCATTTTAATTGTTAGGATGAAAATAATCATTGGTTCTGACATTCCTGAGTTTTTAAAAAAGTGGGATGTACAATTAAAGTCTGGTCCAAAATACTCAGACTAAGATATTTCCTCTTTCTCAACTAATACATTCTACAGATAAGGTCCAGCAGATATGAATAGGGAGAGTTGGTAGCTTAAAAGGAAATCTTAAGAGAAGCGATTAAGTTAAGTTGAGACGGTTGAGTAAAACCAGCTTAGCGAGACAGTGACACTTCCAGATAAATTCTTATTCTTCAAGCTCAATATAAAATGGATTTCTAAAAACACGTGGCATGAGTAGGCATACATGGCTGTATTTTACAAGTGAATAGAATATAATTGTGGTTTAGGGTTAAGATTTAGGACTCCAATGGCAGGAATTGTTGTGTCTTCTTTTTATACACTTGAAAATAGGATAGCTGAAGGTAAACTGCAATGTATACTACTTGGTACACTTCAACCCACCCAAACACACTCCTAAACAGAAGGTCCCTTTCAGCAGTAAGTAACAACGGTAATTCATTGAATGGTCTGTAACATAACAACAAATCCTCATTAGACATGAAAATATTTATTTTCCAGAATAAGAGTCCCCTTTCAAGAATAAGAGTCCCCTCCCTTCCTCTTGAGAGAAAATAGTCAGTTGTTCTAAGCACATGACCCAATGCTCAGAAACTATATCAAGTAAATGATTGTTTCCGTTCCACACATAAATATGATCAACACCACTGTGGTGTGGTTTGCATTAGGATTGGGGTCAATTCCATTTACATTCAGGTAAGTAAATAGAAATTCAAATTCCAAATTTGTCTCAGAGAAGCATTGAGGAAAATTGGAATTGGAATGGAACTTCAGTTTACTCCCTGAATTGACCGAATTAAAATGGAATGGACCCCAATTTTGGTCTAAATGAAGGTGATTGCATTAACAGACAGCAATACACAGATTACCAGTTGATAATAAGAACATAACAATGACCTAATTTGTAACAGAAATGAAGTGTTGGCCTTGTCATCCTAGCATTTCTTTTACATTCTTTCACTACATTTCAGCCTAGTGCGGTCTGTGTAGTCAAATCACCATCTCTTTACAATTGTCGTCTCTTTTTCCCCCCTAATCTATCGAAACATTCTGAAAAATAAGCAAGGCTGTCTGAAAAATTATGAAAACTCAAGATTCAAGTCATTATTTTTTGGTTATAACAAGCTTTCCAAAATCTCTCTTAGAAGTCAAAGGAACATATTTGAGGTTCACAGGTCAGTACCACAGGGAAGGTTCACAGGTCGGTACCACAGGGAATAGTATGGAAATACACACTTTGTGTTTCAGAATCACTGTCAGTTTGGAAATATACATCCCCCCTCAACTGATGGAACATAGCGGCCAGAGTGGAGGGGGAAACGCCTGTGTGAATGCATCTGTGATAGGCCTATCGCTTAAAATAAATGCACATATTCACTAAACAGCACGGGTCCACGGGTCCATGTTTCCCCAAACACAAATCAAAATAACACTCAACGGTTTGTCTCATACATGAAATAAAAATAATTTGTAAAAAAATCTAAAAGCAATCATAAAAAGAACTGTGGTTTAAAATGGCTTTCGTGTGAATATAACCCCAAATCATTCTGAAAAAAATAAAAAGGAATCCATAATCTTCTCCCATCATGTATTTCTCTATAGTATTTCCCTTATCATATATTATTCTCTACTTTTAACCTATGTACATTGTTGTGATGGGAATTTACTTTTTGTAATTGATCGGTGGTTGGTCTATTACTGTACTTACGGTAGTAGGTCTACACTACATGGAGAATGGCCCAATGGTTCCAGTTCAGTGGATGAGGTCACTGGCCCATGTCATGAGGAAGTGGCAGAAGGAGCCGTGATGTCATCATAGAATGTTCGGTCTGCTTCTAAACGCTGCTGTCCCTAAGAATTCTAGAACGTGAAGCCGGTGAGGTCAGGGGTCAACCTAGAATTAAAATACCCCTCATCATAGTTGTATTTTTCCGTTGCTTTACTGTAGCTTTTCACTGATGGTACAAACAAATGAAGTCACTGCACATATTTCACTTTCATGAGCAAAATGAAAAATAAACATCATTGCTTTTTTTTTTTTGTGAGCCTTGTATTGTAAATGGAATGCCCCCTCTTCTTCTGATGTTATTAACTACCGTTCCGGAAGAAAGCAACAGAAAGAAAGCGAAAACATCCTCTCTTTCTCCTCTGTGAAACACCTTGGTCTGATTAATAAATAAAAGGTGGTCCCCCAAGCCCAAAGGGTGCTATGTACACGTATCAAATTATCTGTTGTTTCATATTCATCCTCTTCTTCTTGTTGCGTCTTGAGGTTTGTGTGTCTCTTTACAGGAGTTGCCAATTACATGGGGAGATACTCAACACGGGTGCTAGTAGTGCTGTAATCAAAAGTACTTTCAATTAAACTTAGCGCTTCGCTTATTCTGGCTATCAGCTACAAAGCAGATGGAAGGGGGTGTCAATTTTAATTCCTATATTGTATGCCCCCCTCAAAAACACACACACAGGCGTGCACACAAACATATGCAAGCACACACACACTCATTTCGCACACACACACACACACACACACACACACTCTTCCACGCATTAACTAACATATCCTCTCCAAGTATTTCCTTCTTGGTCAAACACTTCCTTTCCCTGTGTTTGTTTGTAGATCTCAGTTCCAGTCAAAGGTGAAGTAAGTAAATGGGAGGGGCCTGTGGCAGCAGGTGCAGTTCCGTGGGCAGGGGATAGGCGGCGCCAGGGGAGGGGGGCGGGCCCAGGGCTTGGTGAGGGTCAGGGATTGGAGCGGTGTGCTTACTGTCACTCATGTGTCCCAGCCGGTCATGCGGTCTGTGCTCTCCAGAGAGAGGGACTTGGTCTTGTGGGGTGAGGCCGGGCTGGGGGGACTGCTGAACGTAGAACTGTTGGACGCCGTGGAGTGACGGGGCGAGTCAGAGTCCTGGAGAAAGAGAGGGGGAGAGAGAAAGACAGTAAGGGAGAGAGAGAGAGGCACTTAGATGTCATACTCTTCTCACAGCTAACCACAGATCAGGCTTGGGTCACATTCAGTAGGCATGCAATGCTGTCAAAAGGATGGGATACTCCCTTAACTTGTCTGAGAAAAAGAATGCCAATAGTTTATCGTTTAAAAAACGATTTCTCCCATTCATGCCTACTGAACACAACTAATCTCTCCAATAAGTTCCATTAGATCGGGGCTGGTCAACTAGTCCTCAGGGACCTCTGTGTGTGTCCTTTCAACCAACTGCTGTCATCATCAATGCTGATCTGCTGTTTGATTGCTGATGTGGACATGGTGACATCACTTCATATCCCATCAATCACACAGAGCGCTAGGCAACAAGGACTTAATGCACTGGAAACCTTCCACATCAACAGACAATGAGCAGCTCGATTGACCAGAAGTGGTTGGTTGGAACAAAGCGCCTACATGAGGTCTTGTCTACTGTCTTCTACTACAGTACTCAGCAGTCAGTGGAGGTGGACCCATTTAGTTTCAGCCCAGCTCAAAATGCACCCGATTCAAATAATCAACACATACAGTGCCTTCGGAAAGTATTTAGACCCCTTGACTTTTTCCACATTTTGTCACGTTACAGCCTTATTCTAACATTTATTAAATCGTTTTTTCCCCTCATCAATCTACACACAATACCCCATAATGACAAAGCAAAAACAGGTTTTTAGAAATGTTTGCTAATATATAAAAAAAATATAATAAATCTGAAATTTACATAAATGTGATTTGTCACATGCACCGAATACAACAGGTTTAGACCTTACAGTGAAATGCTTACTTACAAGCCCTTAACCAATGATGCAGTTTTAAGAAAAATAAGTGTTAAGTAAAAAATAGTTAAGTAAAAATAAAAATAAATTGATTTATGTAAATGTCAGATTTTTAAATTTTTAATATTAGCAAACATTTCTAAAAACCTGTTTTTGCTTTGTCATTATGGGGTATTGTGTGTAGATTGATGAGGGGAAAAAACGATTTAATAAATTTTAGAATAAGGCTGTAACGTAACAAAATGTGGAAAAAGTCAAGGGGTCTGAATACTTTCCCAAATATTACCGCAATTAGTTTCATCAAGGGTGTGTGTGTGTGTGTGTGTTAGTGCTGGGGTGGAACAAAAGCCTGCATACATTGTTGGTCCTCCAAAATGATGATATGCCACCCCTACTATAGTCCAGTGTAATGTAGTGGACAGCATGATATGCCACCCCTACTATAGTCCAGTGTAATGTAGTGGACAGCATGATATGCCACCCCTACTATAGTCCAGTGTAATGTAGTGGACAGCATGATATGCCACCCCTACTATAGTCCAGTGTAATGTAGTGGACAGCATGATATGCCACCCCTACTATAGTCCAGTGTAATGTAGTGGACAGCATTGAGAGACACTAGTTAGGGAAACCAGGTTTGAGAGCATCTCCCTCCTTCACTGAAGGGAGGTATAGTAGGTTTGCAATATTCCAGTAACTTCCCAAAATTGCCAGGTTTTCCAGAAATACCCTGCTCCTTTCATCCTGATTCCGGGAATCTTCCAACTAGGATTTCTGGAAAACCTTGCAATTTTTGGAAAGTTATGGGAATTTTTCAACCCGTTAAGGGAGGTAGAGTGAGGGAGTTGTTTCTCACAGACAAAACAGTAGAGTCATGTTTCACTTCTCTGGCTATTTCTAAGTAGGCTACGGCTGTAGGAGCTACAGCTGTCCACCACAGCACTACTGTAGTTGGCAGAGAGGTACATGGCCTATAAGAGAGGAGAGCCACAGTATCCATAGTATCTTCCTGATGATGTATCAATCAATCAATCAATCAATAAATCAGAACAGTAATGGTTATTATCAGAAACATGGGTTGGGCAGGCCACAGGGGTAGGCCACAGGGTTAGGATTAGGGTTAGGGGCAGGCCACAGGATTATGATTAGGGGAAGGCCACAGGATTATGGTTAGGGGAAGGCCACAGGGTTAGGATTAGGGGAAGGCCACAGGGTTAGGATTAGGGGAAGGCCACAGGATTAGGGTTAGGGGCAGGCCACAGGGTTAGGATTAGGGGAAGGCCACAGGATTAGGGTTAGGGGCAGGCCAAAGGGTTAGGATTAGGGGAAGGCCACAGGATTAGGGTTAGGGGCAGGCCACAGGATTAGGATTAGGGGAAGGCCACAGGGTTAGGCCACAAGGGGCCAGTATGGAAACAGACAGACACATGCAGGGTAGAGGATGGTGACACACCATTCTGAAAACCAAATCAGGAATTTAAGAGCGGTGCCACACTAGGGCAGGCCAGGGGAGAGGAGCCACACTAGGGCAGGCCAGGGGAGAGGGGGACGAGCAACGCCCCTCTAGCCAGAGACACGGGGGGCAGGGCATCTGTGACATAGCCATCAGATGCTGATGGGGCTGAAATGGTGCAGTGGACAGGAGGGGGACTGATGGTGGCTTTGGGGCAAAGCTTCAAAACTGTGTGTGTGTGTGTGTGTGTGTGTGTGTGTGTGTGTGTGTGTGTGTGTGTGTGTGTGTGTGTGTGTGTGGTTGAGGATACAGTGTGTCTGGGTCGGTTGTGTGTGGTTGAGGATACAGTGTGTCTGGGTTGGTTGTGTGTGTGTGTGTGGTTGAGGATACAGTGTGTCTGGGTCGGTTGTGTGTGTGTGTGTGGTTGAGGATACAGTGTGTCTGGGTCGGTTGTGTGTGTGTGGTTGAGGATACAGTGTGTCTGGGTCGGTTGTGTGTGTGTGTGTGGTTGAGGATACAGTGTGTCTGGGTCGGTTGTGTGTGTGTGTGTGTGGTTGAGGATACAGTGTGTCTGGGTCGGTTGTGTGTGTGGGGTTGAGGATACAGTGTGTCTGGGTCGGTTGTGTGTGTGTGTGTGGTTGAGAATACAGTGTGTCTGGGTCGGTTGTGTGTGTGTGGTTGAGGATACAGTGTGTCTGGGTCGGTTGTGTGTGTGTGGTTGAGGATACAGTGTGTCTGGGTCGGTTGTGTGTGTGTGGTTGAGGATACAGTGTGTCTGGGTCGGTTGTGTGTGTGTGTGTGGTTGAGGATACAGTGTGTCTGGGTCGGTTGTGTGTGTGTGTGTGGTTGAGGATACAGTGTGTCTGGGTCGGTTGTGTGTGTGTGTGTGGTTGAGGATACAGTGTGTCTGGGTCGGTTGTGTGTGTGTATGACATTACCTTCATCTTACTAAGCAGGGTCCTTAAAGCCCTTTTCAGATCAGGGGTCTTCTCCGATGGCGAGACCGCCTGCCACTGGAGAGGTAAGAGTTACAGACTCAGCGACCCGGCCCGGCCCAGAGAACAACATGCTGGGCTGGGGGGAGCGTAGAGGAGCGGGGTGGAGGGGGAGTGAGATGGGGGCAGGCACGAATCACGATGCAGCCAGCCAGGTATGAGGAACAGTGGGTGGGGTACGGTAGATAGTCAGCCAGGTCTGAGGGAGGGTGGGGGTGGTAGGATAGACAGTCAGCCAGGTCTGAGGGAGGGTGGGGGTGGTAGGGTAGACAGTCAGCCAGGTCTGAGGGAGGGTGGGGGTGGTAGGGTAGACAGTCAGCCAGGTCTGAGGGAGGGTGGGGGTGGTAGGGTAGACAGTCAGCCAGGTCTGAGGGAGGGTGGGGGTGGTAGGGTAGACAGTCAGCCAGGTCTGAGGGAGGGTGGGGGTGGTAGGATAGACAGTCAGCCAGGTCTGAGGGAGGGTGGGGGGTGGTAGGGTAGACAGTCAGCCAGGTCTGAGGGAGGCTGGGGGTGGTAGGGTAGACAGTCAGCCAGGTCTGAGGGAGGGTGGGGGTGGTAGGGTAGACAGTCAGCCAGGTCTGAGGGAGGCTGGGGGTGGTAGGGTAGACAGTCAGCCAGGTCTGAGGGAGGCTGGGGGTGGTAGGGTAGACAGTCAGCCAGGTCTGAGGGAGGGTGGGGGTGGTAGGGTAGACAGTCAGCCAGGTCTGAGGGAGGGTGGGGGTGGGGGAGCCAGCCAGGTCTGAGGGAGGGTGGGGGTGGTAGGGTAGACAGTCAGCCAGGTCTGAGGGAGGGTGGGGGTGGTAGGGTAGACAGTCAGCCAGGTCTGAGGGAGGGTGGGGGGTGGTAGGGTAGACAGTCAGCCAGGTCTGAGGGAGGGTGGGGGTGGTAGGGTAGACAGTCAGCCAGGTCTGAGGGAGGGTGGGGGTGGTAGGGTAGACAGTCAGCCAGGTCTGAGGGAGGGTGGGGGTGGTAGGGTAGACAGTCAGCCAGGTCTGAGGGAGGGTGGGGGTGGTAGGGTAGACAGTCAGCCAGGTCTGAGGGAGGGTGGGGGGTGGTAGGGATAGACAGTCAGCCAGGTCTGAGGGAGGGTGGGGGTGGTAGGGTAGACAGTCAGCCAGGTCTGAGGGAGGGTGGGGGTGGTAGGGTAGACAGTCAGCCAGGTCTGAGGGAGGGTGGGGGTGGTAGGGTAGACAGTCAGCCAGGTCTGAGGGAGGCTGGGGGTGGTAGGGTAGACAGTCAGCCAGGTCTGAGGGAGGGTGGGGGTGGTAGGGTAGACAGTCAGCCAGGTCTGAGGGAGGGTGGGGGTGGTAGGGTAGACAGTCAGCCAGGTCTGAGGGAGGCTGGGGGTGGTAGGGTAGACAGTCAGCCAGGTCTGAGGGAGGGTGGGGGTGGTAGGGTAGACAGTCAGCCAGAAGAGGGAGCCAAAGGCAGGAAGGCTAGCTAAGGCTAGAATCCCTGCTGGAGGATGGCTAGATGCTTGAGGTAAAGGTTGCTCTTAATCACACATCTAGGATCAGATTATTAGACCCCAATTCTAACCTGACCATTAGGGGGATGAAGAACTATCTGACCCTGAATCAGTAGTTAAGGGTGACTTGTAGCTACACCTGGCTGGCTGGGTGGGTGGTTGAGGCTGAGGGTGGGAGAGGCAATGTGCAGATAACCATAGCTGGGGTCAGGGTTGGGTAGGGGGCCGATTGAGTTCCCTGTGAGGGGCTAGGATGCCGGTGCCAGGAACCAATCGGATTGAGGGATGGGATGAGGCGAAGGGCGAGAGGCAGGAGAACACGGAGGCTGGGTGGTGGATGTGGTGGGGGCAGAGTTATGGGGAACACTTTGATATGTCTAGTTACGTATATGTTTAATATATTGTATATTATAGGTCTTCCACGTCATTGGTCACCAGCTAGAGTATTTTCACTCTGTGTATTGTTATGGCATGATTTCTCACCTGAGTGATCCTGGTCATATTTAGAGCAACTGTGCTCAAATGATTCATGAAATGTGGTTTCAGACCCATCCACTTAACTGTCACAACCAAAACACAACTCTCAGAACACTACGAGATACGACTTATAAGAACAACTTTAAGTCCTAATGGTATATCATCTGATCTGAGACATTCAGCCGATTCAACACAATTCTACCCAATTGTTAGTAGTTGAGTTTTAGTAGCCTTAATCAAGTGCACTTCACCCAGGCACCCTAGGGAGGGAGCACGCTAGGCTGGTCACGTACCTCTCTGTCGAACTGGGAGAGGGGTGCGTCGCTGCAGCCGTCCATACCCCCTCCGGAGGACAAAGAGCTCTCGGAGGGAGAGGTCATGGTCTGGCGCTTAGAGCTGTAGCTACCCCCCGGCCCAGCCTTCTCCCTCAACGCATTCCAATCTGGAGATGACGAACCTGGAGAGAGAGAAAAATACATGGAATAGTGGAAGAAGAGAGGAGGGAGAAGATGACATGAATAGAGATAGAGAGGAGGAGAGAGAGGAGAGAGGGAAGTGGAAGAGAGGAGAGAGGGACGGAGAGAGAGAGGGACGGAGAGAGAGAGAGGGGGAGAGAGAGGGACGGAGAGAGAGAGGGAGGGGAGAGAGAGAGGAGAGAGGAGAGGGACGGAGAGAGGGGGACGAGAAGAGGAGAGAGGGACGGAGAGAGAGGGGGGAGAGAGAGGGACGGAGAGAGAAGGACGGAGAGAGGGAGGGGAGAGAGAGGGAGGGAGAGAGAGGGACAGAAAGAGCGGGAGGGGAGACGGAGAGAGAGAGGGGGAGACGGAGAGAGAGAGGGACGGAGAGAGAGAGGGAGAGGACGGAGAGAGAGAGGGACGGAGAAGGGAGAGAGAGGGACGGAGAGAGAGAGGGACAGAGAAGGGGAGAGAGAGGGACGGAGAGAGAGAGGGACGGAGAGAGAGAGGGACGGAGAGAGAGAGGGGCGGGGAGAGGGGGAGGGGGGGGGGGGAGAGAGGGACGGGGAGAGGAGGGATGGAGAGAGGGACGGAGAAGGGGAGAGGGGACGGAGAGAGAGAGGACGGAGAGAGAGGGACGGGGAGAGAGAGGGACGGAGACGGGGAGAGAGGGACGGAGAAGGGGAGAGAGAGGGACGGAGAAGGGGAGAGAGAGGGACGGAGAAGGGGAGAGAGAGGGACGGAGAGAGAGTGGGACGGAGACGGGGAGAGAGAGGGACGGAGAAGGGAGAGAAGAGGGACGGAGAAGGGGAGAGAGAGGGACGGAGAAGGGGAGAGAGAGGGACGGGGAGAGAGTGGGACGGGGAGAGAGAGGGACGGGGAGAGAGAGGGATGGGGAGAGAGAGGGGGAGGAAGAGAGAGGGACAGAGAAGGTGAGAGGGGGAGGTAGGGAGAGGGGGAGGTAGGGAGAGGGGGAGGTAGGGAGAGGGACAGAGAAGGGGAGGTAGGGAGAAGGGAGGGTAGGGAGAGGGGGAGGTAGGAAGGGAAGAGAGAACAATTTGTATCAGGCAATACAAATGCATTTAAATCTACCTTCCATTTTTCACTAGTAACAAGCACTTCCATTTCTCTACCCAGGCCTATATTTACAATGGTTTTTTAATCCCCCATTTTATTGATACATTTTATTATACAATATTTCTTTATTTATCAAGCCTAGTGTGTTCGGTAGTGTGGTACTTACGGATGCCCAGTCCACTGCTGGCGCTCATGGAGCGTCCCGGCTCGGCTCTGTTCTTGGTGATGGAGGGGATGGAGACGGAGCCACTGAAGCCTGCACCACGACTCTCCTGAACACGCACGTTCTGCATTAAGACAGGTCAGCGGCCAGGAGAGGACAGAGACAGACACACAGAAGATACACGTATATGGATTATGGAGATGAGATGAAAACACAAAGATAGACAGAAACGTTAGTGAATACACACATTCACATAATGATACTAATAACACATACAGTGGGGAAAAAAAGTATTTAGTCAGCCACCAATTGTGCAAGTTCTCCCACTTAAAAAGATGAGAGAGGCCTGTAATTTTCCATCATAGGTACACGTCAACTATGACAGACAAAATGAGAAAAAAAAAATCCAGATATTCACATTGGAGGATTTTTAATGAATTTATTTGCAAATTATGGTGGAAAATAAGTATTTGGTCAATAACAAAAGTTTTTCAATACTTTTGTTATATACCCATTTGTTGGCAATGACACAGGTCAAACGTTTTCTGTAAGTCTTCACAAGGTTTTCACACACTGTTGCTGGTATTTTGGCCCATTCCTCCATGCAGATCTCCTCTAGAGCAGTGATGTTTTGGGGCTGTCGCTGTTTTGGGGTTGAGATCTGGAGACTGGCTAGGCCACTCCAGGACCTTGAAATGCTTCTTACGAAGCCACTCCTTCGTTGCCCGGGCGGTGTGTTTGGGATCATTGTCATGCTGAAAGACCCAGCCACGTTTCATCTTCAATGCCCTTGCTGATGGAAGGAGGTTTTCACTCAAAATCTCACGATACATGGCCCCATTCATTCTTTACTTTACACGGATCAGTCGTCCTGGTCCCTTTGCAGAAAAACAGCCCCAAAGCATGATGTTTCCACCCCCATGCTTCACAGTAGGTATGGTGTTCTTTGGATGCAACTCAGCATTCTTTGTCCTCCAAACACGACGAGTTGAGTTTTTACCAAAAAGTTATATTTTGGTTTCATCTGACCATTTGACATTCTCCCAATCCTCTTCTGGATCATCCAAATGCACTCTAGCAAACTTCAGACGGGCCTGGACATGTACTGGCTTAAGCAGGGGGACACGTCTGGCACTGCAGGATTTGAGTCCCTGGCGGCGTAGTGTGTTACTGATGGTAGGCTTTGTTACTTTGGTCCCAGCTCTCTGCAGGTCATTCACTAGGTCCCCCCCGTGTGGTTCTGGGATTTTTGCTCACCGTTCTTGTGATCATTTTGACCCCACGGGGTGAGATCTTGCGTGGAGCCCCAGATCGAGGGAGATTATCAGTGGTCTTGTATGTCTTCCATTTCCTAATAATTGCTCCCACAGTTGATTTCTTCAAACCAAGCTGCTTACCTATTGCAGATTCAGTCTTCCCAGCCTGGTGCAGGTCTACAATTTTGTTTCTGGTGTCATTTGACAGCTCTTTGGTCTTGGCCATAGTGGAGTTTGGAGTGTGACTGTTTGAGGTTGTGGACAGGTGTCTTTTATACTGATAACAAGTTCAAACAGGTGCCATTAATACAGGTAACGAGTGGAGGACAGAGGAGCCTCTTAAAGAAGAAGTTACAGGTCTGTGAGAGCCAGAAATCTTGCTTGTTTGTAGGTGACCAAATACTTATTTTCCACCATAATTTGCAAATAAATTAATTTAAAATCCTACAATGTGATTTTCTGGATTTTTTTCTCTCAATTTGTCTGTCATAGTTGACGTGTACCCATGATGAAATTACAGGCCTCTCATCTTTTTAAGTGGGAGAACTTGCACAATTGGTGGCTGACTAAATACTTTTTTTCCCCACTGTATGCATACTACAATTTATATAGACATGATGACCACACATATGCACATGCGTAAACACAGTGACATTAAATCACAAACGACAACAAACACAAACATTCACATGTACAAACACAGACGAAGGAGGAACAACTACCGAGCAGAAATCTATGGACACACTGTAGTATTCTGTCTTTCCTGAGGATCTGTTATAGACTAAAGCAGACTGATATAGACTGTAGTGGTCCGTCTTACCATGGGCAGGTTTTTCCTGAGGATCTAGTATAGACTAAAGCAGACTGATATGGACTGTAGTGGTCTGTCTTACCATGGGCAGGTCTTTGAGAATCTGGATGCCGTCTCCAGGTCCCATGTGGGCCACGTGGTTGAAGTTGGTGGGGTTGGATATCAGCTTGTTCCTCATCTCTGGGTCTCTCAGCATCTCCCTACACAGGGGATACACACACACACGGATCAGCTCACTGAATGCCCCTGTGGAGAGTGAAGGAGAAGCGTCTATAGTGTGTACCATGCAGTGTGTACCATGCAGTGTGTACCATGCAGTGTTGTGTACCATGCAGTGTGTGCAATGCAGTGTTGTGTACCATGCAGTGTGTGCAATGCAGTGTTGTGTACCATGCAGTGTTGTGTACAATGTAGTGTACCTCCTCTGCTGCATCCTCTCCTCCTCAGGGACTCTGAAGGAGAAGTGTCTCTTGTTGTTCATGTTGCGAACCATCTGCTTCCTGCTGTTGTCAGACGTCTCAGGAACCACCAACTCGTCACCCTCTGGAATATTAACAACATGGCCGCCGTCGTCAACAGCAGCAATATGGCCCATTTTTTCCCCCCATTGTTTTTCAATCTCTTTTTTTTCTTCTTTTTTTTAACGACAATCCTATTGTGGAATAGAATGAGAATTACACTCAGTCAGTGGTAGTAATAATAATCACTGAGATGTGCACCTCTCCTAACTGACCTGCAGTCTAGAGGCCTATCCTACGTGTCACTGACCTGCCGTCTTGTTTCTGAAGTAAATAAGTCTCACTGTCTCCAGACCCAGGAGGTTCAGGGATCCATCAGGGTTCAGAGGTCGCACCTTCAGGAAGGCAACGGGGTCAAAGGTTAAACCTACCATGCACACACATAACAATTCGACTAACGGCCCTCCGTTACATCTGCAGTCCTATACTCTCACCTTCTTCAATGGGATGGTCTGAATCCACTCCATGGTGTTGACATCAAAAACATCCACAGCATTCTCACTGTACACTGACAGGTAGGGGGCGTTGTAACCTAGTGAGGAGAAAGGAGGACAACATCAGCTTCAGGCTTAAAGCTACATTCTGGGATTAGTTTTTCAGCAAAACGGCAGCCCCCGGAATGCTTTGGGATGGGGCTAGGGAAATGTAACCCCTCACAAATTCTCAGACAGCCGCTCTAGAAGCAAGGACTGACAGTCCATGACATCCACACGATAGTTTTCAACATATTCAGAAGCAATATACACTACCGTTCAAAAAAGTTTGGGGTCACTTAGAAATGTCCTTGTTTTCCATGAAAACATACATGAAATGAGTTTGAATAGGAAATATAGCAAAATGCATAGGAAATGTATTGTTGAGGTAATCTGAAAAGATTTCACCCCATGCTTCCTGAAGCACCTCCCACAAGTTAGATTGGCTTGATGGGCACTTCTTACGTACCATACGGTCAAGCTGCTCCCACAACAGCTCAATAGGGTTGAGATCCGGTGACTGTGCTGGCCACTCCATTATAGACAGAATACCAGCTGACTGCTTCTTCCCTAAATAGTTATTGCGTAGTTTGGAGCTGTGCTTTGGGTCATTGTCCTGTTGTAGGAGGAAATTGGCTCCAATCAAGCGCCGTCCACAGGGTATGGCATGGCGTTGCAAAATGGAGTGAGAGCCTTCCTTCTTCAAGATCCCTTTTACCCTGTACAAATCTCCCACTTTACCACCACCAAACACCCCCAGACCATCACATTGCCTCCACCATGCTTGACAGATGGCATCAAGCACTCCTCCAGCATCTTTTCATTTGTTCTTCTTTGTGATCCGAACACCTCAAACTTCAATTAGTCTGTCCTTAACACTTTTTTCCAATCTTCCTCTGTCCAGTGTCTGTGTTCTTTTGCCCATCTTAATATTTTATTTTTATTGGCCAGTCTGAGATATGGCTTTTTATTTGTAACTCTGCCTAGGAGGTCAGCATGCCGGAGTCACTGTTGACGTTGAGACTGTTGTTTTGCGGGTACTATTTAATGAAGCTGCCAGCTGAGGACCTGTGAGGCGTCTGTTTCTCAAACTAGACACTAATGTATTTGTCCTCTTGCTCAGTTGTGCACCGGAGCCTCCCACTCCTCTTTCTATTCTGGTTAGAGACAGTTTGCGCTGTTCTGTGAAGGGAGTAGTACACAGCGTTGTACGAGATCTTCAGTTTCCTGGCAATTTCTCGCATGGAATAGCCTTCATTTCTCAGAACAAGAATAGACTGACGAGTTTCAGAAGAAAGTTCTTTGTTTCTGGCCATTTTGATTCTGTAATCAAACCCACAATTGCTGATGCTCCAGATACTAGTCTCAAGAAGGCCAGTTTTATTGCTTCAGCTGTGCTAACATAATTACAAAAGTGTTTTCTAATGATCAATTAGCCTTTTAAAAATGATAAACTTGGATTAGCAAACACAACGTGCCATTGGAACATAGGACTGATGGTTGCTGATAATGGGCCTCTGTATGCCTATGTAGATATGCCATTAAAAATCAGCTACAATAGCCATTTCCAACATTAACAATGTCTACACTGTATTTCTGATCAATTTGATGTTATTTTAATGGACAAAAAAAATGCTTTTCTTTAGAAAACAAGGACATTTCTAAGTGACCCCAAACTTTTGAATGGTAGTGTACATTGTTAGATTTTGTTCCTGTTGTTTGTAAACAGTGGGGAAATTAAACCTTGTATAAAATACTTGGTTTATGAAAAGGTTAAAGGCCAACTTCACCTCTTTTCAACCTCATTGTCATTATCTCCAGCACAATACCAGTGTCAACATGTGAAAACGCAAAAAAGTTATACTCGATGACATCATCAAAAGTTTAAACATTTTAAAAAGTGATTTTCAAACACTATGAAATGCGCGGTGACGTGGGGAGCAAGAAAATACCCTCCCTTGTGCTAGAAACTCGTTGCAAGTTTTGAAAATCACTGTTTTTTACTTTTAATCCTACCCTGTGATGTCACAGAGAAGCATTTTTTCAGGACCTTTCTTCTGATCTGTTTAACCACAGATCATAGAAATACACTGTTTCACACATGTAGACACTGGTATTGTCCTGGAGATGATGGATCTGAGGTTGAAAAGTGGCAGAATTAGCCTTTAAGGCTGTTGTGCTGGTTCAGAACTCACAGGCGGAGTTGGGAATGGCGGGCCACATCAGCTCCTGCTGGCGCGAGCGGCGGCCCTGCGAGTCCACGTAGACCCCTATGGCTGAGAAGCAGAGCAGCAGCTCCTTGGAGGAGATCTCCACGGCACACAGCGCGTCCAGGGCCTGCTGGGAGATGAAGGCCAGGGTGTGGTCCTCGGGGTGCAGCAGGCTGACCGGGACACAGTCCCCATGGACGCTGTAGCGTGTGAAGCCAGCCTGGTAGCCCACACACAGCCGCTCGCTCAGGAGACCCATCCACTGGACGGGACCTGGGGTTTGGAGCTCCCGCAGCCGGCGGTGGCGCACCTTGCTCTTGTTCACCTGGGAGATATAGAACCATCATGTTGTTATATTGTGAGTTCATTCTTTAATATTTGTAGGCTTAATCGACCCTTCATAATCCCATAAATAGAGCCTATATAGTTGCTTAAAATATATTTTATAAGCAAAGTTATATTACATAATTTGTAACATACTTAAGAGCGACAACATAGAAAAACGGCTGGTAAAAGTGCTTAACAAACAAAGTCCCACCAACCCCATCCCTTCTGCTACCACCTCCCACCACCCACCTCGTAACAGATGACCTGTCTCTTCATGGCCACACACAGACAAGTGAGGGAGTTGTTTCGGACAGAGCCGGACACCAGCGCCGTGCAGCCCTTGGTCTCGGCCAGCTTATAGGAGTCCATCTCCCGTCCGTCCAGCGCGGCCATGGGGAAAAGACGGACGTGACGGTTACGGCCGGAGATGACCGCTAGGAGCTGCTCCTGGGGGACCAGGTCAATGTGGTGGACTTTCTTATTGTCCCCAACACGGATGATCTCTGTTAGGTCAGGAGGGGAGAGAGGAGGAGGAGAGAGAGGAGGGGAGGGGAGAGAGGAGGGGAGGGGAAGTAGAGGAGGAGGGGAGAGAGGAGGGGAGAGAGGGAAAGTAGAGGAGGAGGAGGAGAGAGAGTTGTCAAAAAAACTCCACTGTGATCGCCAACATGTGGTGAGAATTCAACTGCATAATGGGAAAAGTGCATCACCATCTCCAGGTGGGTACTAAAGTCTCACCATCTCCAGGTGGGTACTAAAGTCTCACCATCTCCAGGTGGGTGCTGGAGTCTTACCATCTCCAGGTGGGTGCTGGAGTCTTACCATCTCCAGGCGGGTGCTAAAGTCTTACCATCTTTGGTGACATGGATGACAAAAAGGCCTTCCTCGTTGCCCAGGGCAACACGCTCGTGATCTGAAGAAAAAACAACAAGAGTAGGTTTGATTCAGAGTCTACTGCAGGGCTAGGTATCGAGGTGCATAAAGTCTGTCCCCATCTGTTCTGCAGTAGAGAGGTCATTAGAACCCTGGTAATGACAGAGGGAGACTGCAGCAGAACATGTAATGGCTGTATACAACAAACTAAAGTCAGATACAGAGTTTGGTTCATGTTCCTATATTTACTTCCTTACTACATGGCCAAAATAAAGAGGCTGTGTGTGTGTGTGTCCTCCACCTACCTATAATAGCGGCGGACTGCGTGGTCTTGATGAGCGGTAGCGTGCTGTCGTAAGCCTCTTTGGGCACGTAGACGAAACGCTCCTTCAGCTTGTTCTTCTTGAGGATGCGGTGCAGCTCGCTGACAAGCCCCACCCACTTGTTCCTCTCATGGTCGCTGTCGGCCAGGATCAGGATGGAAGGCTTGTGACTGGAGGAGGGGGAGAGCTGGGACGCCGTCACCTGGAGGGGTTAGAGGTCAGAGGAGACAACTTTCAGAACGGCCTCCCCACAACAAAAGCAGAAGTACTGTTAAAAGCTGAGAAATCTGAAGACTGTGGAACAGGTGGGGGAGTAATCACTGAGTAAACGTATGAATGTATAAATGCATTTATTCAAAAATCATGAATAAAAGGCTTACCCTGAATATACATGGGATGTCCTTGCGACTGGCATGAATGACATCTGACGCCAGAACAGAACTGACTGAAAACTCCTCATCCCTGGAAAACAAAGAAGGAGAGAGAGTGAACTAAAGAACTAAACCCAGAGGTAATTCTGATAAGCAGCCATTGCTTTCTCCCATCTATGGGAGTTGTAGTTCAGACAGAGCTCAGGTTGTAGTCCTTACCTCATGTCTATGACCTGACTGACGACCACACTGGGCGTTGTGGTCTTGCCCTCTCCCAGCTCGTACAGGAAGAGCTTGAAGTCACACACCACGGCCACCGCCCGCTGCCAACCCTTCTTCACCCCTGTGGGCTTGGGCACCTGGGAACACACACAGGGACAGACACACACTTCAGTCTCCCACATAGACCCAACCTAGTATGGCCAGTGGTGAAAAACCCTTGTATTTGGGAGCTATTGGTTGTGCAGGGTTTTGTTCCAGCCCAGTACTACAGACAGAGACATATTTTATTATACACACACCATTAACAGGCAAACCTCACAAACACACACAGGTCAGCCTCTGGAGATAGAGAGGCTATACATACAAGGTAAAATATACGTTTTTAAATGTGCACTTTAATTCACAGGTAGGGACTTATTCCAGCAGGAAATGTCAACCCAAAGTTTTTAAAAGAGCTCATAAACAAACAATCTTCTGTGTCATACGTACTCTGACGTGTCCCTCGTAGGCAGTGCCGATGCCCCTCTGAGGGTCGATGCCCAGCGGCCCCCTGGTCTGGTCATGTGGCACGGGGCACACCGCTGGAGCCTTGTCAGCACACGTCACGTGGCATGAGAAGTTACACACTACAGGACCAGACAGGAGAGAATGAGTGGGTTATATCCATTATAGCCACGTCACGCATCAAAAGAGAATGTACCGACACCTCAGTCTAGTCCCGCTTCCTGCTTCCATCCTGCCTTCTTCTCCTCCTTCCGTTTCAGTTTCCCTCACTCCCTTTTCTCAAATCCCAGTCTCCCTCCCTTTCTCCCCCGCTCTCCTCATTCTCCCATCTGTCTTCCTCCCTCTCTCCTCCTCCTCCCCCTTTTATCCACTCTCCCTTTCTCTCCCCCTCTCTCCTCTTCTCCTACCTTCACAGGTGCAGCCCTGGCGGATGAGTCCCACCATCAGAGAGGTGCACTGGTTACACTTGGTGGGAGCACTGAAGGACTTCACCACAAACTGGTGGGCTTTGGGCTGCATGGGACAAACAGGGGAGAACAGAGGGCCGGTCAAAACACATAGGACAAATACAGAAAGGACACGCACATACACATTAAAAAGTGACATTTTATTTAAATACAGCAACGGTAAGCATTTTAATCTTAGCCTGGTCTTCGTCGGGTCCATGGGATTGACATTACAAAGTATTGACTGTGGTTAAAACAGTAGAAGGGTATTTGGGAAGTCTAGAAGGATGTCAGGTCTTACCTTGGGTGATGAGCGGCCGATACTACCATAGCCTCCTGATCGCATGGTGGAGGTCTGGACTGTGCGTGGGGGGTGGTCTATCAACTGGAGGGAGGGAAAAGACAAATATTTGAGTACAGCACAATATATACCTATTTAATCTATGGCCGGGAAACCAGCGTAGTGGTCAAAGTTCAGGGTTCACCTCAATGGGCTCCACGTCGCTGGCCATGGAGGGCGACCGTGAGCGAGACTTCTTGGAGTCCTCGTCCCTGGATGGGGTGTTGGAGGGAGTGAAGTTATCCACCGAGTCCACCTGGGGGGGAGCAAGAGAGAGAGAGAGAGAGCAAGGTAGAAAGAAAGAAGTGTTGCTGGACATAGAAGAAATGGTGTTCGGGAGTTGGTAGAAAGTAAGGAAACCAAGAGAGACCAAAAAGCACCATCCATGCTTAGAGGGAAAAGCAAGAAATCCATTGAACCAGGTAGATGCACAATATTATAAAGGTAAATGGGGATTGTGGTCATACATTTTACATTTACATTTTAGTCAATTAGCAGACGCTCTTATCCAGAGCGACTTACAGTAGTGAGTTCATACATTTTCATACTTTTTTCATACTGGTCCCCTGTGGGAATCGAACTCACAACCCTGGCGTTGCAAGCGCCATGCTCTCAAAACTGAGACACACGTAGTAGATATAGGACTGACCATCCCATTGGTCAATTGTCATTAGGAAGCCTAGAGGTTGGACCACAAACCCATGAACCATGCATATGACAAGAGCGGTACACATAACCTTTTGACCATGCTGACTGTACCACCAGAGAGAACAGCACCACCATAAACCATGCTTTTGGTTTGGGGAAATCCACAAAGCCACTTGGAGGACAACAACATATAGGCTAGGTTACTGTAGCTTACTGGAGGACTACAGTGCAGGCCATACACCATGCCTTAGAAACTAAGAAACACACAGTAACAGACCCCTTACAAGGAAGCATTTGATAGAACTTATTTGAAAGTCCGAGGTTGCTTTTTCCCATGCACACAGACAATGTATTCCCATTCATGCAACAGACAGGATTGAGATTCAGAGGGTGATTGGGCACAGACAAAATAACAAGCACAGAACTGCTGCTTAGCTTACACGTCTGCCTTTGCTAGTTGGCCCAACGGATGGAGAGCGCTTCAGTGGGGGGGGGGGGGGGGGATGGAGAGACAGGGGGAGAGACAGAGAGGGGGATGGAGAAATGGAGAGATGTAAACATTGAGAAGTCTGAAGTGGCTCTTAAATAGGACACATTAAAAAGGAATGATAGCCTATCTATCTGTTGAAGATGTCCTTTCCACATTGCACTGAAGGTCACTGCCTGGATTGGGTCATCTCTGTCAACGTCCCAAATGGCACCCTATTCCCTACATAGTGCACTATTTTTCACCAGAGCCCCTGGTCAAAGGGAATAGGGTGCCATTTGGGATGCAGCCTCTAGGCCTAATAGGGGAACTCGTGATAGTACTACTGTGTGGAAGGGAAGCTCATTACAGGGTATTAAACAGATGTATGTTCTGTAGTGTCTGGACTCAAAGCCAAGTATGACTTTAAAGAATGTCTGTATAGTGAATGGCTACATGGAACTCTATTCCACATCAAGCAACTCACGCAAGCAGTAAAATCAGATTTAGAAAAACACAAAAATACACCTTATGGAACAGCGAGGACTGTGAAGAGTCACACACACAGGTACAAACACACATAACATACACACTATCCACACACGTACACCTGGATGGCGTTTTGTAGTAGAGTAGTAGCCTGAGGGCACACACTTCATCAATTGTGAAATCTGTTGTAAAATGTATTTTAATGTTTAAAAATTGTATTATAATGTATATTACTGCCTTCATTTTAGCTGGACCCCAGGAAAAGTAGCTGCTGCCTTGGCAGGAACTAATGGGGATCCTTAATAAATACAAATACAAAATGGAAGGAATCCTCTCAATCGACAAACATTATTTTCAAAGTGGAACTGACAGCATTTTGAGCAACATGAAATGTTATTAAAATCTGTTCATATACAGCGCCTTCAGAAAGTATTCACACCCTTTTACTTCTTCCACATTTTGTTGTGTTACAGCCTGAATTCAAAATGCAAACACAATTAGGGCTGTGGCGGTCATGACATTTTGTCCGCCGGTTATCGTCATGCAAAAGACTGCCGGTTATCGTCATGCAAAAGACTGCCGGTTATGTCATGCAAAAGACTGCCGGTTATCGTCATGCAAAAGACTGCCGGTTATCGTCATGCAAAAGACTGCCGGTTATCGTCATGCAAAAGACTGCGTCGTCATGCAAAAGACTGCCGGTTATCGTCATGCAAAAGACTGCCGGTTATCGTCATGCAAAAGACTGCCGGTTATCGTCATGCAAAAGACTGCCGGTTATCGTCATGCAAAAGACTGCCGGTTATCGTCATGCAAAAGACTGCCGGTTATCGTCATGCAAAAGACTGCCGGTTATCGTCATGCAAAAGACTGCCGGTTATCGTCATGCAAAAGACTGCCGGTTATCGTCATGCAAAAGACTGCCGGTTATCGTCATGCAAAAGACTGCCGGTTATCGTCATGCAAAAGACTGCCGGTTATCGTCATGCAAAAGACTGCCGGTTATCGTCATGCAAAAGACTGCCGGTTATCGTCATGCAAAAGACTGCCGGTTATCGTCATGCAAAAGACTGCCGGTTATCGTCATGCAAAAGACTGCCGGTTATCGTCATGCAAAAGACTGCCGGTTATCGTCATGCAAAAGACTGCCGGTTATCGTCATGCAAAAGACTGCCGGTTATCGTCATGCAAAAGACTGCCGGTTATCGTCATGCAAAAGACTGCCGGTTATCGTCATGCAAAAGACTGCCGGTGTCACAGTACTTGACTGTTAACATAAACACGTTTAGTATCTCCAGGCCTCCAAGCTGCATACAAGCCGCTGATGCCGCCTTTGCAACACTACATTTTATTTTATATAAATCAATTGAATATACTCTATTACAATAAATCCATTATATATTTTAGTCCGTTTTAAATAAACATTATGATATGAAGAAAATGTATTTCTGAAGAACAGCATACGAGTTGGCCTACTGTATGTTATCTGGCTATGCTCCATGCCATAGGCTGTAGGCTTGTTCATTTAGCTGACAAGATATGCTTTTAAGTCCCATGCCATTATTTTATATTATATGATTTTATAGTAAGAATAATATAATCGAATTTAGCTGAATAAAATAGAAAGGATATCTTTCCCATTCCGTTCTCTCCCAGACTAGTGGATAGAAATATTGGAGCGTAACATAAGGTAACCAGTCCATCCAGTATGCATAATAATCGAGTCCACACTCAAAGGCGATTACTCAAATTAGTTTTATTTTGGAGTACAGGCTAGACCAATTATGTACCAAAGACATCTTAAATAAGTTTTGGCATCTGCAATGCCTAATATGCGGTAGGCTATTGTATAATGGCACAATCATAATACCGTATTTATTAATTTTTTTTGGGGGGGGGGGCTTGGGCCTCATAAGCCTGTGCATAATATGCATATGGTGTTTTGAATTAATCATCACCTTAGAAAGCGCTGTCCATTTCGGTTGTGTTTGGCTTTGAAACAACATCCACAACGACCATGTTTTACACTCAGTTTCAACCTGTTGTTGAACTTCTTTCTTCAAATTGATAATCACAGTGAGGTGAGTTTTAAAAGCAGGATACTGTTTTGATGATAAGTGTTTGATGAGATTTTCGATTGCATTTGCATTGATGTCAGTGGTTAGCGGGACAATACAGCCCTGAGTCCCAGGCCATTAGGACCTGATGGTTGTTAGTAAACTGCGTAATACTGAAGCACGTCCTGAGTGCATAACAGGAGATTACCGTGACTCAAAGGTCACAAGGAATTTTACTGCGGTCATGACTGCCGGTGTGGCGGTAATACAGTCACCGCAACAGCCCTACAGTCACCGCAACAGCCCTACAGTCACCGCAACAGCCCTACAGTCACCGCAACAGCCCTACAGTCACCGCAACAGCCCTACAGTCACCGCAACAGCCCTACAGTCACCGCAACAGCCCTACAGTCACCGCAACAGCCCTACAGTCACCGCAACAGCCCTACAGTCACCGCAACAGCCCTACAGTCACCGCAACAGCCCTACAGTCACCGCAACAGCCCTACAGTCACCGCAACAGCCCTACAGTCACCGCAACAGCCCTACAGTCACCGCAACAGCCCTACAGTCACCGCAACAGCCCTACAGTCACCGCAACAGCCCTACAGTCACCGCAACAGCCCTACAGTCACCGCAACAGCCCTACAGTCACCGCAACAGCCCTACAGTCACCGCAACAGCCCTACAGTCACCGCAACAGCCCTACAGTCACCGCAACAGCCCTACAGTCACCGCAACAGCCCTACAGTCACCGCAACAGCCCTACAGTCACCGCAACAGCCCTACAGTCACCGCAACAGCCCTACAGTCACCGCAACAGCCCTACAGTCACCGCAACAGCCCTACAGTCACCGCAACAGCCCTACAGTCACCGCAACAGCCCTACAGTCACCGCAACAGCCCTACAGTCACCGCAACAGCCCTACAGTCACCGCAACAGCCCTACAGTCACCGCAACAGCCCTACAGTCACCGCAACAGCCCTACACACAATACCCCATAATGTCAAAGTGGAATTTTGTTTGCAGAACATTTTTGAAATTAATAAAACATTTAAAGCTGAAATGTCTTGAGTCAATAAGTATTCAACCTCTTTGTCATGGCAAGCCTAAATAAGTTCAGGAGTAAAAATGTGCTTAACAAATTGCATAATAAGTTGCATGGACTCATTCCGTGTTCAATAATAGTGGTTAACATGATTTTTTTATGACTACACCATCTCTGTACCCCACACATACAGTACAATTATCTGTAAGGTCCCTCAATCGAGTAGTGAATTTGAAGCACAGATTCAACCACAAAGACCAGGGTTCAATGCCTTGCAAAGAAGGTAGATGTGTGTAAAAAAAAAAGAAGAAAAAAAAAGCAGACGCTGAATATCCCTTTGAGCATGGTGAAGTTATTAACTAGGCTTTGGATGGTGTATCAATACACCCAGGGATTTTAACATGAGGCCAATGGTGATTTTAAAACAGTTACAGAGTTGAATGGTTGTGACGGAAACGGGATACAGCTATAAACACAGGCAAAATCTTAGAGGAAAATCTGGTTCAGTCTGCTTTCCAACAGACACTGGGAGACTAATTTACTTTTCAGCAGGACAATAACCTAAAACACAAGGCCAAATATACACCCGAGTTGCTTACCAAGACGACATTGAATGGCCTAGTGAAAGTTTGACTTAAATCTTGAAAATCTATGGCAAGACTTGAAAATGGCTGTCTAGCAATGATCCAGAATCAAAAATACTTGACAGAGCTTGAAGAATAAACAAAATAATAAAACGGGCTAATATTGTCCAATCCAGGTGTGGAAAGGTCTTAGAGACCTACCCAGAAAGACCCACAGCTGTAATCGCTTCTACAAATTATGGACTCCGGAGTGTGAATACTTATTTAAATAAAATATTTCTGTATTTCATTTTCAATACATTTGAAAAAATGTCTAAAAACATGTTTTCACTTTGTCATTATGGGGTATTGTGTGTAGTTGGGTTAGAATTTTTTTTTTTTAATCAATTTTGAATTCAGGCTGTAACACAACAAAATGTGAATACTTTTTGAAGGCACTGTACACCCCCAGGAAGGATATGAGGCCTTTTCTGACATGCAACCACTTAGATATGGTAATTTTATAGTTTTCATACTTTCATATAATGTTTGGGAATGACATAGAGTAAGGCATTTGTGAAATATCTACAGCAATATAGAGTGGGAAAGCAGCCGTGCGTTTGGACAATTAATAGACACTGCAGTAAATAAAACCTAACAAAAACATCTGTCTTGCCCAGGACCGGACTTTACACAGACCGGTGCGCAATAGTCAAATCAGAGCTACAGTAGGCCTATATGCAAATAAGCCATTTGTCACAAGGGCCTGTCATCATTCACTTTGACTGTGTGTTTACAGGCAGTAGCAACAGCGTCTGATCTTCAGGCAGCATTTGCCAAAAAGCCACAAAATACACCGGAATGGATTTCTGCAAATATGTAAATACCACGGGAGTTCTCTTACATTGATCAAACAACAATGAAAAGGTTGGCTCGCTCACCCTCAGTTGCCTATGCACATCAACCACAACAAGATCAACAACTAATGTTAGCCAGAGCGAGATAGCTAAAATCTAATGAGGAAACAGCAGATAAACCCTCTCAAACTTTTTCAGCTTGTAGTTGGCCGTCAAAATTGCACTGATAAACGATGGGGAATAGTAGCCGGCTCTCCCTTCTGCAGCTTGCCTGCCAATGCATGCTTGTCCCAACCCACTTTTTAATAATTGAATGGGAACTTGCCTGCCTCCCTGACCATTTGATCGATGCCAAATACAGTTGATTGACAACTAAGAGATATGCTAACTGTGGATAACAGTCATTCAAGTTCAGAATAGCTAGCTAGCAAAGTGAGTCACATTTCTTGCTAGCTAACCAAATGACACCTACAACTCTAGCTATAGCCACAGAAAAATATATGGGGGGGGGAAAGTCGGCCACTCACCCACACGTCCAATGACATGTCATCCTCCCAGAAGCTAGCTAGCTAGCTAGCTAATGTTAGGCTGCATGTTTTAAGCTCGCTAAATAAATTGCTACAAAAATAGATAAGCTAGCCTATTAGCCACGTTATGACTGACTTGTGATTATTGCCCTTGCTAGTTTCATTGTATTGACATTCCCAGCCTTAGTTACATTAGTCAGTTTTTGTTTAAAATATTGAGTCATTAAAACCGAATCCCGAATGGCTGGAGGGAGCAAACAATGTACCAGGCCAGCTGTGATTTACAACCTGATAGCAATATTTGTTGGACTACCAAGAAATGTATTGGTGAATTACAGTACATTGATCATGCATTGAACTGCATCCATCTATTCTGCCAACTATGCCTCATATAAAGTTGGTTTTGTAGCATAAACTGGGAATTTGATATTTTTTTTACTGATATTATGATTGTGTGTTTGTTTCATATATGACATGATGTCAGTTCCACTTGAAGTCTTAGCTAAAAGCCAAGGAGCCCAAACTCTCACTCAATGGCTACGTCACAGTTATCCACCCTTTTTCTGAAGTGTGCATTTGCACACCTTCTCAAATTGATTTAACAAACGGTTGAAACTCCCTCGAGCCCAGGGCTCTCCAACCCTGTTCCTGGAGAGCTACCGTCCTGTAGGTTCACTACAACCCTAATCTAGCACACCTAATTCTAATAATTAGCTGGTTGATACAACTAGGGTTGGAGAGAACACCTACAGGAGGGTAGCTCTCCAGGAACAGGGTTGGAGAGAACACCTACAGGAGGGTAGCTCTCCAGGAACAGGGTTGGAGAGAACACCTACAGGAGGGTAGCTCTCCAGGAACAGGGTTGGAGAGAACACCTACAGGAGGGTAGCTCTCCAGGAACAGGGTTGGAGAGAACACCTACAGGAGGGTAGCTCTCCAGGAACAGGGTTGGAGAGCCCTGCTCTAGCCAATTCTTATGCCAATCCTATGCTTTTAAATTCATGACACTTTGGGAGAAATGTGGAAAATCGAGACATAGCCAAAGACTGGGTAATGTTGATCTACTACTACATTCACAGAAGACTCATTGGCTAGTAGGCCCATCAACTCACACAGGACTAGCTATGATGCTCACAGACACGCACACAGACGAACACAGAGGGGTACGGTTCACGAACTCACACAAACACTGGATCAAATGACATCACCACTCTCTTTATGAGGCAACTAGTTAGCTTATAGTCTATCTACAGCCTATAGCTCCACAGACACACGTCGCCCACTGCCCAACAGAAAACAACTAGTTAGCTTATAGTCTATCTACAGTCTATGGCTCCACAGACACACGTCGCCCACTGCCCAACAGAAACTTACGTCTTCCCAAAACTCAATTAAAGAGGAAGAGGATGAGGAGAAAGAGTCCTGATGGAGCAGAACATGAAAACAAGGAGAGCCAAATAAAAACAAGATGTCAAATATTCATACAAATGAAAGAAACTAAATTAATAAAATAAAATGAATGTTCTGAACAAAATCAAATATTTTTTTTTTTTAAGTGAAGGAAGGAACACCCACTCACACACAAAAAAAGATAAAGGTTGATTAAAGAATTCCTCTCATCTTTAAATGGATCAGAGACAGTGGAATTGGGAACAGATTATTAAGAGACATTCTGTCTGTAAAGTCTGAAGGATGGTTACTTACATCGAACTGGTCCAGGGCTGAGGTGGGGGCGTTGAGGAAGGCCAGGAAAGAGTTCTGGGAGTCCTGGTGTTTCACACCTACACAAGACAACCACACCAGAGACAAACATCACATCAGCATGCTGTACTAGAAGAGGCTTTAGCACAGAGAAAGTGGAAAACTGTTGTGCTCTCCCAGCTTCGTACGTTGAAAGTTTCTTAGTTGGTCCAGTTATTCCATTGAAAAACAAAAAGGTTGGCACTCAAATAGAATACATGGTGTGGAGAGGAGTAACACAGGTCAGAGGTGATGGTGTGGAGAGGGTAAACAAGGTGAGAGGAGTAACACAGGTCGAGGTGATGGTGGGAGAGAGAAAAGTGATAGGTGTGGGGGAGAGGAGTACACCAGGTCAGAGGTGATGGTGTGGAGAGGAGTAACACAGGTCAGAGGTGATGGTGAGGTGGAGAGGATAACACAGGTCAGAGGTGATGGTGTGGAGAGGGATAACACGGTCAGAGGTGATGGTGTGGAGAGGAGTAACACAGGTCAGAGGTGATGGTGTGGAGAGGAGTAACACAGGTCAGAGGTGATGGTGTGGAGAGGAGTAACACAGGTCAGAGGTGATGGTATGGAGAGGAGTAACACAGGTCAGAGGTGATGGTTCCAGTCTCACCCCTGCGCAGGCGGAACTCCTCTGTATCCTTCTTCAGCCTCTCGATCTCAGCCAGCAGGTCCTGGTTCTTAGTCTCCGACTCCTGCAGTTTACTGAGGAGAGAGGAGGATGGAGGAACAAGAGAATGTCAACAATGTCAAATCAGATCATGCAAGCGTAATAGAGCAATGGTGGTTTAGGTGCACTTTCTTGACAGATTGCAATGTACTGCATTTTAATGTGCCTGGCATCCCCTGTTCCCTTTTGGAAAAATAAAGATTCAGTGTAGTCTCAGTGTAGTTCTTAGACTAAGTAAGAGTTTAAAAGTAGAAGTAACTAAGTAAGAGCAGCAGTGGATGTACCACTCAGTGGAGATGTTGGAGGCCTTGACTTTGTTCAGTTCGTCTTGGATGGTCTGTTTGGCTCTGATCTCAGCGTCCAGTGCAGACTGCAGCTCCAGACGGGCAGACATGTCCAGCTTAGCAAACCTCCGCACCTTCCACGGCATGTCCTGCTGTAGGGGGAGGGGATAGAGAAAGACAGCCACATCAATAAAGAAGGGTAAGTTCAATGCAGATGTGAGGTGTGTGTGTGTATCTGCACAGTGCATTCGGAACGTATTCAGACCCCTTGACTTATTCCACATTTTGTTACGTTACAGCCTTATTCTAAAATTGATTAAATTGTTTTTTTCCCCTCATCAATCTACACACAATACCCCATAATGACTAAGCAAAAACAGGTTTAGACATTTTTGCAAATGTATAAAAAAAAAACTGAAATATGACATTTACATAAGTATTCAGACCCTTTACTCAGTACTTTGTTGAAGGACCTTTAGCAGCGATTACAGCCTTGAGTCTTCTTGGGTATGATGCTACAAGCTTGGCACACCTGTATTTGGGAAGTTTCTCCCATTCTTCTCTGCAGATTCTCTCAAGCTCTGTTAGGTTGGATGGGGAGCGTCGCTGCACAGCTATTTTCAGGTCTCTCCAGAGATGTTCGATTGGGTTCAAGTCTAGGCTCTGGCTGGGCCACTCAAGGACATTCAGAGACTTGTCCCAAAGCCACTCCTGCATTGTCTTGGCTGTGTGCTTAGGGTCATTGTCCTGTTGGAAGGTGAACCTTCACCCCAGTCTGAGGTCATGAGCTCTCTGGAGCAGGTTTTCATCAAGGATCTCTCTGTACTTTGCTCCGTTCATCTTTCCCTCGATCCTGACTAGTCTCCCAGTTCCTGCCGCTGAAAAACATCTCCACAGCATGATGCTGCCACCACCATGCTTCACCATAGGGATGGTGCCAGCATTCCTCCAGACGTGACGCTTGGCATTCAGGCCAAAGTTCAATCTTGGTTTCATCAGACCAGAGAATCTTGTTTCTCATGGTCTGAGAGTCCTTTAGGTGCCTTTTGGCAAACTCCAAGCAGGCTGTCATGTGCCTTTTACTGAGGAGTGGCTTCTGTCTAGCCACTCCACCATAAAAGCCTGATTGGTTGAGTGCTGCAGAGATGGTTGTCCTTCTGGAAGGTTCTCCCATCTCCACAGAGGAACTCTGGAGCTCTGTCAGAGTGACCATCAGGTTCTTGGTCACCTCCCTGAACAAGGCCCTTCTCCACCGATTGCTCAGTTTGGCCGGCTCTAGGAAGAGTCTTGGTGGTTCCAAACTTCTTCCATTTAAGAATGATGGAGGCCACTGTGTTCTTGGGGACCTTCATTGCCGCATAAATGTTTTGGTACCCTTCCCCAGATCTGTTCCTCGACACAATCATGTCCCGGAGCTCTACGGACAATTCCTTCGACCTCATGGCTTGGTTTTTGCTCTGACATGCACTGTCAACTGTGAAACCTTTTATAGACAGGTGTGTGCCTTTCCAAATCATGTCCAATCAATTGAATTTACCACAGGTGGACTCCAATCAAGTTGTAGAAACATCTCAAGGATGATCAATGGAAACAGGATGCACCTGTGCTCAATTTCGAGTCTCATAGCAAAGGGTCTGAATACTTATGTAAATAAGGTATTTCTGTTTTTATTTGTAATACATTTGCAAAAAATTATAAAAACCTGTTTTCGCTTTGTCATTATGAGGTATTGTGTGTAGATGGAGTATAAAAAGTAATTTAATCAATTTTAGAATAAGGCTGTAATGTAACAAAATGTGGAAAAAGGGAAGGGGTCTGAATACTTTCTGGGTGGATGGATGGATGGATGGATAGATGGATGTGTGTGTCTCACCGTGGCCCTGGCTCCCAGGCTGGTGTTCCTCAGTCCCTCCAGTTCTTCAGTCATCTTACTGGCCAGAGCCTGGAGGTAGCCTCGCGCATCCTTCTCATCGCTCACCCTGGAACACACAATCCACATTATGCACAAACAAACCTTTCCATAACATACACTCATATCATTATACTAACACTCACAATCACGTGGGCGCACACACACACACACACACACACACACACACACACACACACACACACACACACACACACACACACACACACACACACACACACACACACACACACACACACACACACACACACACACACACACACACACACACACACACACACCCTGTAGTTAGCCCTAGGCATCACACTCCATGTACCAAACCTTACACATGGACTCAGGTTGACCCGGTCACACAGTCAATAAATACAGCTATGGGGTATATGAACAGCCCTCACAACTAACTCACTAACTGCAGTATCCGTTACATATATTATCATCATATCAAAACTGTCACTTTAACTGGGCCTCCCTAACACAAACTATATGCAAGCTAAGGTCACAATAACTTACCATTACCCTATTGAGTGTTATACTAAGGACATGTCCCAAATGGCACCCTTTTCCCTATATAGTGCCCTGCGTTTGAACAGAGCCCTATGGGTCTGGGCTCTGGTCAAAAGTAGTGAACTGAATAGGCATTAGGGTGCCATTTGGGACAGCTTCTATGTGTACATACATACAGGGTTGTGAATAGGCTTCCTCCAGTCCCAGTCACAACCTCCCTGGTCTGTACATACACATCTCTGTGGTCCGGCACGTAGCCTAGCAGTTAGAGCATTGGGCCAGTAACCCAACGGGGCGGCAGGTAGCTTAGTGGTTAAGAGCGTTGTGCCAGTAACTGAAAGGTCGCTGGTTCTAATCCCCGAGCCGACTAGGTGAAAAATCTGTCGATGTGCCCTTGAGCAAGGCACTTAACCCTAATTGCTCCTGTAAGTCGCTCTGGATAAGAGCGTCTGCTAAATGACCAATTATTTATTTATTTATTATTTATAGTTCGAATCCCCGAGCCGACAAGGTGAAAAATCTGTTGATCTGCCCTTGAGCGAGGTACTTAACCCTGATTTCTCCAGGGTCGCCATCAATAATGGCTGATCCCTGTCCGTGACCCCACTCTCCAAGGGAGTCTCAGGGGGAGTGGGGATATGCAAAACAATACATTTCCATTTCACACCTCTCACTCGTACAGGTTACCCACTTGTACGTGAAACAGGACAAATATAAGCACCCCCTATTGGTCCATAAAGAGAAACTCTTCCTGTTTCTCCTACTGCAGTGGCAGGCAGGGGGCACCACTCATCACTGCTTCAGTTCAATGTTACAGTGTGTGTGTGTGATATGGTTGTCCTTCAGGCCTCCTGTAGCTCAGTTGGTAGAGCTTGGCGCTTGAAACGCCAGGGTTGTGGGTTCGATTCCCACGGAGGGCCAGTATGAAAAATGTATGCACTCACTAACTGTAAGTCGCTCTGGATAAGAGTGTCTGCTAAATGACTAAAATGTAAATATGTGCCAATTGGAGGCCTGTCAGGGAAGAGAGCCAAGCAGCAGTAGCAAGGTATTTCTCTGTCGCTTCTCTGAATGGAGAAGACATTGTAAAGACCAATCATTTGTATGACCTTTGACATATTTGGGGTCCTTTGCACCTCATTGCTGGATTGTGGATCCAAATAAAGTATTCAAAATGTGTCTGTGTATGCATGTAGAGTGTTTGCGTGTGTGTGTGTAAGTAAGCCTGCACGTGCGGACATGTGTTTGAGAGTGAATGCACACGTGCGTGTATTTCCTCTGTCACTCACCACTGGATAATCTCAGTGATCTGGGCCTCCCAGTGAGCCACACTCTCCTTCTTGTCAGCCAGCTCCTCCAAGTGAGCCACACTCTCCTTCTTGTCAGCCAGTTCCCTCATCTCCTCCTCTAGCTGTCTGTTGCTACTGCTCAGCTTCTCAAACATAGACGTCAGCTAGAGGGAGAGGAGAGGAGAGGAGAGGAGAGGAGAGGAGAGGAGAGGAGAGGAGAGGAGAGGAGAGGAGAGGAGAGGAGAGGAGAGGAGAGGAGAGGAGAGGAGAGGAGAGGAGAGGAGAGGAGAGGAGAGGAGAGGAGAGGAGAGGAGAGGAGAGGAGAGGAGAGGAGAGGAGAGGAGAGGAGAGGAGAGGAGAGGAGAGGAGAGGAGAGGAGAGGAGAATACAGAGTCAGTCAGAGCCATAGATGTTATACAGTGTGGTACATTTGCAGCGACGTTTCAAGGGCATCCTATAGAGCTCCTCTATTATGGAATGGTCTGCCGATCCATGTGAGACACAGACTCAGTCTCATCTCTTCAGCAAGTCCTATGATTGAGTGTAGTTTGGCCCAGGGGGTAACTTTGGACGGGGCCAGTGTCCCCCGACCCCACCCCCCCAGTATCTATGCTGCAATGGCGTATGTGCATAGGGGCCAAGGTCAGTCTGTCCTATCTGTTGTCCTGAGTGAGCTTAGGCATGATCCCTCTAGTTCTCCTCCCCCTCCCTCCCTCTCCATGTCTCCCCTCCCGGAGGACCTGAGCCCTAGGATCATGCCTCAGGACTACCCGGTCTGACGACACCTGGCTGTCCCTGTCCCTAGTCCAACCAGTAGTTCTGCTGATCTAGTTCTGCTGTGGCTATGGAACCCTGACCTGTTTCACCGGACATGCTACTTGGTCCCGGACCTGCTGTCTCGACCTCTGAATGTTCGACTATGAAAAGCCAACTGACATTTACTCCTGAGGTGCTGCCCTGTTGCACCCTCTATAACCACTATGGTTATTATTTGACCCTGCTGGTCATCTATGAACATTTGAACATCTTGAAGAACGATCTGGCCTAAATGGCCATGTACTCTTATAATCTCCACCCAGCACAGCCAGAAGAGGACTGACCACCCCTTGGAGCCTGGTTCCTCACTAGGTTTCTTCCTAGGTTCCTGCCTTTCTAGGGAGTTTTTCCTAGCAACTGTGCTTCTGCCTCTGCATTGCTTGGTCTTTGGGGTTTGAGGCTGGGTATCTGTATAGCACTGACAACTGCTGATGTAAAAAGGGCTTTATAAAATACATTTGATTGATTGATTGATCGATGACAGGGTAAGGAAAGGCAGGCAGGGCAGGAGAAGGGGAAAGAGGGACAGAGGAGAGTGGAGAGATGGGAGAAAAGGTTAGGGCAGGAGGTAAGAAAGTTAGGGAAGGGTAGAGAGAACAGTGTAGAGGGGACAGGGTAGAGAGAACAGTGTAGAGGGGACAGTGTAGAGGGGACAGGGTAGAGAGAACAGTGTAGAGGGGACAGTGTAGAGGGGACAGGGTAGAGGGGACATGGTAGAGAGAACAGTTAGAGGGCACAGGGACAGGGTAGAGGACAGGTAGGGACAGTGTAGAGGGGACAGGGTAGAGGGGACAGGGTAGAGGGGACAGGGTAGAGGGGACAGGGTAGAGGGGACAGGTGGGACAGGGTAGAGGGGACAGGGGAGAGGGGACAGGGGTAGAGGCAGGGAGGAACAGGTAGAGGGGGACAGGGTAGAGAGAACAGGGCAGAGGGGACAGGGTAGAGAGAACAGTGTAGAGGGGACAGGGTAGAGGGGACAGGGTAGAGGGGACAGGGTAGAGGGAACAGGGTAGAGGGAACAGGGTAGGGTAGAGGGGACAGGGTAGAGGGGACAGTGTAGAGGGGACAGGGTACAGGGTAGAGGGGACAGGGTAGAGGGTAGAGGGTACAGGGTAGAGGGGACAGGGTAAAAGAAGAGGGAAGAGAAGGGCAGGCCAGGGCATGGGGGATGCCAAAGAAGGGCAGAAGGAGAGAGGGTGAGGAGGGAGAGGGGGCAGAGAGCAGAGGGAGAGGGGGAAGGGAGGAGGGCAGGGAGAGAGAGGGGGCAGAGAGCAGAGGGAGAGGGGGAAGGGAGGAGGGCAGGGAGAGAGGGGGCAGAGAGCAGAGGGAGAGAGTGGCACACCAGAAATACATTATGATCAATACTAACTCATAAAGTGCTGATCCTAGCCCTCTCTGCAACAACTGGCCATTTTAAATAGCTATCTTGGTAATTATAAGTTACTTGACAGTTGCAGAGGGAGTGTGTTTTCGTGTAATGGTTTGACAGTAGGAAATTCATTACGGTGCATATTGCTACTATCACATAAGTGGCAAGATGGTTGTTGGTTGTAAAACACAGTTTGAAGGATCATTTTAAACAGGCTAAACATAATATTTGCAAGGTAAGATTCAAATTTTTTTTACCTCACATTTATAGGATTTCTTTCCAAATGGAAACAGCTACCTTTAGACTAGAGAGTTTCAAGTTCATAGAAGGATATATAATCACCATAAATCATCTGATCCTTGTATTCTGGCTTTCATACAGAAGGTACTGTATGTGAAACAACAGAATCAAATGGGTCTGCATCCCAAATGGCACCCCATTCCCTATATATTGCACTACTTTTGAACAGACCCTTATAGGCCCTGTTCAGAAGAAGTAATGCACTATAAAGTAAATAGGGTGCCATTTGGGACGCAACCAATGATATGTGCTTCTCACTATCCCTCCCTGGCAGGTTGTGCATGTGTTCAGGAAGGGTTGGGGAATGTTCCCTGTTTTCCACATACACCCCCGGCTGCTATCAACTTCAAGGCATCACTTCATTTCTTCATACTTAATATGGAATACCACAAAAACAAACAGCACTTTTAGTCCCATATATCAGAACTTATACCAAAGTATTTTGCTTGGGAAAGTCCACTTCTCATTCCCATTGTTCCCGCTTCCAAAGTCAATAGTTTGAGATCCAACGGGACGTTCCATTTGCGTGTGTAGGAGACTGTGGTCTGTTTTGAAAGTGGATATTGAACAGTAATTATATTGGCTTTACCAGGAGAGAAGGTTGGAGGTGGACAGTGTCATTATGATGAGAGAACTGGGGTGTGTGTGTGATAGGGTTACCTCAGGTCAGGGCAGTGTGTGTGTGATAGGGTTACCTCAGGTCAGGGCAGTGTGTGTGTGATAGGGTTACCTCAGGTCAGGGCAAGTGTTGTGTGTGCTGTGATAGGGTTACCTCAGGTCAGGGCACCTCAGGTCAGGGCAGTGTGTGTGTGATAGGGTTACCTCAGGTCAGGGCAGTGTGTGTGTGATAGGGGTTACCTCAGGTCAGGGCAGTGTGTGTGTGATAGGGTTACCTCAGGTCAGGGCAGTGTGTGTGTGATAGGGTTACCTCAGGTCAGGGCAGTGTGTGTGTGATAGGGTTACCTCAGGTCAGGGCAGTGTGTGTGTGATAGGGTTACCTCAGGTCAGGGCAGTGTGTGTGTATATTATCTCACCTTGTCCAGTTCGTTGGAGAGCTTCCTGTTCTCCTCGGTCAGAATAACTTTCTCCCTCTCATACTTCTGCTTGTACTCCGTCTCAAACTCCTCACGCTCGCATTGGCTATCACACACAAAGAACACAGATGCACACACTCTGATGATCCATCATCACACACATCAATAACACACTGAACCTGCTATTCAGAGAGAGTATCCAAAGATCTGTATGAACGAGGCTAGCCAGGGATGCTAAGCTATAGGGTAGAAAAGCACATCCTGATAGCTTCCAGACTGTATGAGGGATCGTTAGATCAATGTTGCTTCTTCGACCTGGACAGAGGCAAAGGGGGATAATACCAGTTAGATCTAAGGGACTCACACATGAACGAGGGTCTTCTCGGGAGCTAGGTCAGGGGAGAGAAGGTAACTAAAGTACAACACAGTAGAGGCCAGGGTGAAGTAACTATAACCATGTTCACCTCGTATAACCCTCGCTAGGAAGAATATTTATATAGCTCCTACAGAGACCAGAACCACATCTGAATGCCATGTCTACGTCTCTGGATTGACTGTCCTATATGTCAACTTTATGAGTGCTTATGAGTGTTGTGGACATCCAAACCTAAGAAGGCGGTACTGCACATAAGCCATTATACACACAAATAAATAAAGATGTAGACACACACACACACACACACACACACACACACCTCTCCCTGCGTGTCTTCTCCAGTTTGTCCTTGAGAACCAGTATCTCTTTCTGCAGGGTGAGCTGCTGTCCCTCCGCGTCACGGAGCTCCTTGCGGAGGCCCTTGAGTTCGTTGGCATGCTGCGCTTCCCTCCTGCTCAACTCCTCCTCGTAGAACCCGGTCTTCTTCTCCAGGTCGGCCCGCAGCTTCCCCACCTCCTGGCTCTGGTCCGTGCCCACCACCGAGGCTGACGGCCCCAACTGCTTCTGGTTCAGAGGAAGAGAGGAGTTGACCACATACACACAACCAGGGAAACAGAGAAATTACAGGAGTGTATTAATTAGTGAACGCCGTAGTAAAAGCGTTTTGTAACGAAAGCGAGTGTTTCTTATTGGACAAGTTCAGATTAGTCCCTCCCCGTTTCGGCCCGTTGGCTTCACTTTGGTTCCTGGTGAATACACCCCAGGTGTGCATGTCTTGTGTGTGTAAGCGCATTGTTTCCACCCCTGTCCCGGACTGGGCTCGAACCAGGGACCCTCTGAACACGTCTACCAGTGTCAGCCATGAAGTAGCGTTATCAGTCGGGACACAAAACACCTACTTCTGGGCCTTAGAGCGGGTGACGTCACCGATCGAATGCTACTAGCACACTGCTAACTAGCTAGCCATTTCACATCGACTACATACGCTTCTCTGACTACAACTCGCTCCACAGCGTCTGCTAAACGGCTCAAATCTGAGATGTAATGTCTGTGAAGATCTGTGAGCGAGAGCGTGAGAGAGCGTGAGAGAGCGTGAGAGAGAGAGAGAGAGAAGGAAAGAAAAAAGGTCGGTGTGTATGTGTGTTAGAAAGTGTGTTAGTGTGTGTTAGCGTGTGTTAGCGTGTGTGTGTGTGTTATTATGTGTGTTAGCATGTGTTAGTGTGTTAGTGTGTGTGTGTTATTATGTGTGTTAGCATGTGTTAGTGTGTGTGTGTGTGTGTTATTATGTGTGTTAGTATGTGTGTGTGTGTGTTACCTTGAGTCCGTCCAGCTCCTCCTCTAGCTGTCTGCTGTACTGCTCTGATCGTTCTCTCACCTTCCTCTCCTTCTGAGCATCTGCTGTCTGCTCCTCAGACTGGGCCTCCATCTGAGAGACAGCAAGGAGTTAATGCACACACACACACACACACACACGTAGACACACGCTCATATACAAGCACACCTATAAGTAGAGACCCACACACACACCCTCCTATACGCACAAACACGCACGCACACACACAAATACCTCTAAGAACCACGTGACTACTCTACCTCCTTCTTGGCCCTCTCAGCCTTGCGCACCTCCAGCCGTAAAGCCTCCACCTTCTGGGACCAACCCTCCATCTCCTCCTCCTTGTCCCGGAGCTGGCGGCCCAGGCGCTGCTTGGCTGATCTGAGGTCAGTCAGACGCTCGTTGAGCTCGGAAAACTCCTGCATGGCCAGCTTCCTCTGGCTGTGGGCCTCTTTCAACTCCTTAGACTGACTCTTCATCTTCTCACTGGCCTCCATTAAGTCCTGAAGGGAGGGAAGATTCAGATTCATTGGTCAGACTGGATGAGTCGGACGTATGGCGCTCAGCTGGTAGAGCATGGCACTTGCAATGCCAGGGTTGTCGATTGGATTCCCGCTGGGGCCACCCATACGAAAATGTATGAACTCACTGTTGTAAGTCGTTTTGGATAAATGCGTCTGCTTAATGATATATATTACAGATAGACTCAGGGTTCGAGGTAGTTGTATACAGTGGGGGAAAAAGTATTTAGTCAGCCACCAATTGTGCAAGTTCTCCCACTTAAAAAGATGAGAGAGGCCTGTAATTTTCATCACAGGTACACGTCAACTATGACAGACAAAATGAGGAAATAAATTCCAGATAATCACATTGTAGGATTTTTAATGAATTTATTTGCAAATTATGGTGGAAAATAAGTCTTTGGTCACCTACAAACAAGCAAGATTTCTGGCTCTCACAGACCTGTAACTTCTTCTTTAAGAGGCTCCTCTGTCCTCCACTCGTTACCTGTATTAATGGCACCTGTTTGAACTTGTTATCAGTATAAAAGACACCTGTCCACAACCTCAAACAGTCACACTCCAAACTCCACTATGGCCAAGACCAAAGAGCTGTCAAAGGACACCAGAAACAAAATTGTAGACCTGCACCAGGCTGGGAAGACTGAATCTTCAATAGGTAAGCAGCTTGGTTTGAAGAAATCAACTGTGGGAGCAATTATTAGGAAATGGAAGACAAACAAGACCACTGATAATCTCCCTCGATCTGGGGCTCCACGCAAGATCTCACCCCGTGGGGTCAAAATGATCACAAGAACGGTGAGCAAAAATCCCAGAACCACACGGGGGGGCCTAGTGAATGACCTGCAGAGAGCTGGGACCAAAGTAACAAAGCCTACCATCAGCAACACACTACGCCGCCAGGGACTCAAATCCTGCAGTGCCAGACGTGTCCCCCTGCTTAAGCCAGTACATGTCCAGGCCCGTCTGAAGTTTGCTAGAGTGCATTTGGATGATCCAGAAGAGGATTGGGAGAATGTCATATGGTCAGATGAAACCAAAATATAACTTTTTGGTAAAAACTCAACTCGTCGTGTTTGGAGGACAAAGAATGCTGAGTTGCATCCAAAGAACACCATACCTACTGTGAAGCATGGGGGTGGAAACATCATGCTTTGGGGCTGTTTTTCTGCAAAGGGACCAGGACGACTGATCCGTGTAAAGGAAAGAATGAATGGGGCCATGTATCGTGAGATTTTGAGTGAAAACCTCCTTCCATCAGCAAGCGCATTGAAGATGAAACGTGGCTGGGTCTTTCAGCATGACAATGATCCCAAACACACCGCCCGGGCAACGAAGGAGTGGCTTCGTAAGAAGCATTTCAAGGTCCTGGAGTAGCCTAGCCAGTCTCCAGATCTCAACCCCATAGAAAATCTTTGGAGGGAGTTGAAAGTCTGTGTTGCCCAGCGACAGCCCCAAAACATCACTGCTCTAGAGGAGATCTGCATGGAGGAATGGGCCAAAACACCAGCAACAGTGTGTGAAAACCTTGTGAAGACTTACAGAAAACGTTTGACCTGTGTCATTGCCAACAAAGGGTATATAACAAAGTATTGAGAAACTTTTGTTATTGACCAAATACTTATTTTCCACCATAATTTGCAAATAAATTCTTAAAAAATCCTACAATGTGATTTTCTGGATTTTCTTTCTCATTTTGTCTGTCATAGTTGACGTGTACCTATGATGAAAATTACAGGCCTCTCTCATCTTTTTAAGTGGGAGAACTTGCACAATTGGTGGCTGACTAAATACTTTTTTCCCCCACTGTACCCTTTTCATACTGCAGAGCAGAGCTGAGCCGATATACCACAATGACGCATATACCACATTTGCTGGAGCCATGATGTGAAGGACCATGTGAAAATAAAATATATCCAAGCCAGTACAGTCCAATTCGGATCAGCACGATAGTGTGAAAATTGTATAATATTGGTAGTGACTAGGAGTTAACACACTGAAGTCAACACACACAGTTGGTGCTATATACAGGGAAACACACCTTGTGCAGGTCGTCCCTCTCCAGGTTGAGACTCTTCATCTGTTTCTCCAGGCTCCTGACGTGTTTAGATGAATCCTCCATTTCTCTACGGACTGACGAAGCTTCCTCCAACTGATGTTCCAGTTGACCTGAGTCTAACACACACAATACAGAGGGTCAGTGTTGTTAAACACAACTTTGGCCAATATGCATCACATTTCCCTATGATGTGTGTTCCATTATAGTGTACATTTTAAATGTTAGTCATTTAGCAGATGCTCTTATCCAGAGCATACATGTTCATGCTTTTTGTACTGGTCCCCCGTGGGAATCAAACCCACAACCCTTGCGTTGCAATTCCCACAATTAACTTGGCTGTATACTGTATGGATTATGAATAGCATATCTGTTTATCTCTCAATGTATTTCCAGTCCTACTCTATCATACACTAGGCTATCCATCTATGGTAAATGCTGACCTGGCTGAAAGGTGTTTGTGTTCTACTACACAGTAAACCTTTACAGTAGAATGTTTGTGTTCTACTACACAGTAAACCTTTACAGTAAAATGTTTGTGTTCTACTACATAGTAAACCTGTACAGTAGAATGTTTGTGTTCTACTACACAGTAAACCTTTACAGTAGAATGTTTGTGTTCTACTACACAGTAAACCTGTACAGTAGAATGTTTGTGTTCTACTACACAGTAAACCTGTACAGTAGAATGTTTGTGTTCTACTAAACAGTAAACCATTACAGTAGTATGTGTGTGTTCTACTACACAGTAAACCATTACAGTAGAATGTTTGTGTTCTACTACACAGTAAACCATTACAGTAAAATATATTTGTGTTCTACTACACAGTAAACCATTACAGTAGAATGTTTGTGTTCTACTACACAGTAAACCTGTACAGTAGAATGTTTGTGTTCTACTAAACAGTAAACCATTACAGTAGTATGTGTGTGTTCTACTACACAGTAAACCATTACAGTAGAATGTTTGTGTTCTACTACACAGTAAACCATTACAGTAGAATGTTTGTGTTCTACTAAACAGTAAACCATTACAGTAGTATGTTTGTGTTCTACTACACAGTAAACCATTACAGTAGAATGTTTGTGTTCTACTACACAGTAAACCATTACAGTAGAATGTTTGTGTTCTACTACACAGTAAACCTTTACAGTAGAATGTTTGTGTTCTACTAAACAGTAAACCATTACAGTAGAATGTTTGTGTTCTACTACACAGTAAACCTGTACAGTAGAATGTTTGTGTTCTACTAAACAGTAAACCATTACAGTAGTATGTGTGTGTTCTACTACACAGTAAACCATTACAGTAGAATGTTTGTGTTCTACTACACAGTAAACCTTTACAGTAGAATGTTTGTTCTACTACACAGTAAACCTGTACAGTAGAATGTTTGTGTTCTACTACACAGTAAACCTTTACAGTAGAATGTTTGTGTTCTACTACAAGGTAAACCTTTACAGTAGAATGTTTGTGTTCTACTACACAGTAAACCTGTACAGTAGAATGTTTGTGTTCTACTACACAGTAAACCTTTACAGTAGAATGTTTGTGTTCTACTACACAGTAAACCTGTACAGTAGAATGTTTGTGTTCTACTACACAGTAAACCTGTACAGTAGAATGTTTGTGTTCTACTAAACAGTAAACCATTACAGTAGTATGTTTGTGTTCTACTACACAGTAAACCATTACAGTAGAATGTTTGTGTTCTACTACACAGTAAACCATTACAGTAGAATGTTTGTGTTCTACTACACAGTAAACCTTTACAGTAGAATGTTTGTGTTCTACTACACAGTAAACCTTTACAGTAGAATGTTGAATGTCTACCTGCGATCTGTTTCTTGAGGATGTCAATCTCAGTCTTCAGACTCCTGATCTCCACCTCCTTGTTAGAGGGGACGGGTGCTGGTCCTTCTCCTGACGCATGCTGCAGGGCCTGGACTGTCTGAGTGGACTCTGGGACACAACACACAGGGAGAGGATGAGAATGGGAGGAGAGGATGAGAATGGGAGGAGAGGTGTGAGTGAGTGAGTGTGTGTGAGTACCTTGCAGCTTGCGGCTGAGCTCAGTCTTCTCCTGCTCCAGGCGTCGTATCCTCCTCTCGTAGGCCTCGGTGGCCAGACTCTCCTCCAGACTGCGCTGGACACACACATCCATCTGTGTCTGGCTGCTACCACCTGACTCCCTCAGACAGCCCCGGTCAGACAGGGTACTGGAGGAGGAAGAGAGGGGAGAGAAAAGGAAGAGAGGGGAGAGAAAGCGAGAGAGAGATGTATGACCATATTAGAGACACATATTTCCCTCAGATTACACAGACCCACAAAGAATTTGAAAGAACAAACCTAATTTTGATAAACTCCCATATCTATTGAGTGAAATACCACAGTGTGCCATCACAGCAGCAAGATTTGTGAACAAGAAAAGGGCAACCAGTGAAGAACAAACACCATTGTAAATACAACCCATATTTATGTTTATTTATTTTCTCTTTTGTATTTTAACTATTTGCACATCATTACAACACCTGTATATAGCCATAATGAATTTTTGTGAGGGTAAAGTTTTCTATACATTTTTTATTGTTTATTTCACTTTTGTTTATTATCTATTTCACTTGCTTTGGCAATGTACACACGTTTCCCATGCCAATAAAGCCGCTTAAACAGACAGACAGACAGAGAGAGACAGAGACAGAGAGAGAGAGAGAGAGAGAGAGAGAGAGAGAGAGAGAGAGAGAGAGAGAGAGACCACCATTAGCCTGAAGATAAGATAAAGAAATCAGACCATTCAATACTTTCTTTCTCACAGGTGGAAATGGAGTACTAGTTCAAGTGTGGATGAGGTTAGATCAAACGATAGAGAAGTAGGAGTGAAGTAGACTGATCCCAGATCTGATTGTGCTGTATAGCCTATGCTCATTGCTATGCCAAACATGACAATGACCATAGGAGTTGGCAAGCCGGCACAAACAGATCTGGGACCAGGCTAAGATGTATTTTTCTGTATACTGTATATATTGACGAAGCTGTGCGACCACTCACCATTTACTGGTGTAGGTGAAACCTACGAAGGGCAGGTGGTGTCCAGAGAAGGCCGTGTGAGAGGGAGGGGGCATCGTCTCCTGAAATAACACAAAACTTATTTCATAAAACACCTCAACCTTGACAACATTACAGACAGATGAAAGAGATGATGGGGAGAAAAAAGATAGAAACAAAGAGAGAGACTGAAAGGAGAGAGAGAGAGACTGAAAGGAGAGAGAGAGAGAGAGAGAGAGAGAGAGAGAGAGAGAGAGAGAGAGAGAGAGAGAGAGAGAGAGAGAGAGAGAGAGAGAGAGAGAGAGAGAGAGAGAGAGAGAGAGAGAGAAGTCTTGATGTAGTCCCATAGAGGAAGACAGACTTACTGAGTTCTTGAGGCAGTCGTCGTCCACGTCAAAGTTAGAGGTGTCTGTGGGGCTGCTGACCTCTGGTATGTAGGGGGCCTCGCACGTACGTATATTGTCCCAGTCAATGCCTGAAAGGAATGACATTAAACATGAAAACTGTGATCATGGTTTCTTATTGTAATGATTATCATATTATCATCTCTACAGTCCAACCTAAATTCAACACCAATTAACAAGAGGTTATCTATATCAACTCCCTGGAAATGGCCCCACTTCTACCAGAGAAGAATTGACAGACAATACAGAATTATATAAAATCCCATTATTGCCACAACCCTAGCCCCCAGACACTGTTTTAAAACATCAGGCCCTACCAGAGAAGAAGGGGTGAGATTTGAAGTCCTCGATACCGTTCTGGCCCAGACGGTGCTCCCGGCTGCAGATGAGGCGTCGGATCAGGTCCTTGGCGTCTTCGGACACATCCGTCATCTGCAGGGGGAACTGGAAACGCTCCTGGGGACCCGGCGGAGGGAGGAGAGGGAAAGGAGTCAGAATAATGAAGATACCATTTGGGACATATGGTACGTTATTCCTTATTTACTGCACTACTTTTGACCATTTGGGATGCAGCCTAGATATACTGTTTACGTCAAGTTTGGTGAAATATTTGTATTTCGAATTAATTTTTACTGATAATGCAACTTTCCCATGTTGCAGTAGACAGCAGTATACAGTACCAGTCAAAAGTTTGGACACACCTACTCATTCCAGGGCTTTTCTTTATTTGTACTATTTTCTACATTGTAGAATAATAGCGAAGACATCAAAACTATGATGACCTGGCCTCCACAATCCCCCGACCTCAACCCAATTGAGATGGTTTGGGATGAGTCGGACCGCAGAGTGAAGGAAAAGCAGCCAACAAGTGCTCAGCATATGTGGGAACTCCTTCAAGACTGTTGGAAAAGCATTCCAGGTGAAGCTGGTTGAGAGAATGCCAAGAGTGTGCAAAGCTGTCATCAAGGCAAAGGGTGGCTATTTGAAGAATCTCAAATATAACATATAATTTTGATTCGTTTAACACTTTTGTTTACTACATGATTCCATTTGTGTTATTTAATAGTTTTGATATCTTCACTATTATTCTACAACGTAAAAAATAGTAAAAATAAAGAAAAACACTTGAATAAGTAATGAGTCCAAACTTTTGACTGGTAGTGTAGTTCTATACAGTTTGCAGAATAATCTTCGTACACATTTTTCCACATTTAATTTATTCATTTGTGTACATGGCCCCTGACAATGAAACGTAAAAATAAATAAAAATGGTATATGGCCAATGCATGTTTACCCTGTTGCAGCAGAAAGCAGTATAGTTCTAGCCAAAGTTTAACACATAAGGCATTTGTTCAGCCAATAAAGCTGGGCGAACGTGATGGTATAGTTGAAAGGTGATGGGAAGGGAGAGGGGGGTGAGTTATGAAGGTAGAACGGTGTGGTTTGGAGTCAGGATGGGCTGAAAATAAGTATAAAAACAGACCTGGGGTTGTACAGTGCATTCGGAAAGTATTCAGACCCCTTGACTTTTTCCACATTTTGTTACATTACAGCCTTATTCTAAAATGATTAAATTGTTTTTTTCCCTCATCAATCTACACACAATACCCCATAATGACAAAGCAAAAACAGGTTTAGACATTTTTGCAAATTAATTTAAATAAAAAACTGAAATACGACATTTACATAAGTATTCAGACCCTTTACTCAGTACTTTGTTGAAGCACCTTTGGCAGCGATAACAGCCTCGAGTCTTCTTGGGTATGACGCTACAAGCTTGGCACACCTGTATTTAGAGAGTTTATCCCATTCTTCTCTGCAGTTCCTCTCAAGCTCTGTCAGGTTGGATGGGGAGCGTCGCTGCACAGTTATTTTCAGGTCTCTCCAGAGATGTTCGATCGGGTTCAAATCCAGCCTCTGGCTGGGCCACTCAAGGACATTCAGAGACTTGTCCCGAAGCCACTCCTGCGTTGTCTTGGCTGGGTGCTTACTGAGGAGTGGCTTCCGTCTGGCCACACTACCATAAAGGCCTGATTGGTGGAGTTCTGCAGAGATGGTTGTCCTTGTGGAAGGTTCTCCCATCTCCACAGAGGAATTCTGGAGCTCTGTCAGAGTGACCATCGGGTTCTTTGTCACCTCTCTGACGAAGGCCCTTCTCCCCTGATTGCTCAGTTTGGCCGGGGCGGACAGCTTTAGGAAGAGTCTTGGTGGTTCCAAACGTCTTCCATTTAAAAACGATGGAGTCCACTGTGTTCTTGGGGACCTTTAATGCTGCAGACATTTTTTGGTACCCTTCCCCAGATCTGTGCCTCGACACAATCCTGTCTCGGAGCTCTACGGACAATTCCTTTGACCCCATGGCTTGGTTTTTGCTCTGACATGCACTGCCAACTGTTGGACCTTATATAGACAGATGTGTGCCTTTCCAAATCATGTCCAATCAATTGAATTTACCACAGGTGGACTCCAATCAAGTGGTAGAAACATCTCAAGGATGATCAATGGAAACAGGATGCACCTGAGCTCAATTTCGAGTCTCATAGCAAAGGTTCTGAAAACTTCTGTAAATAAGGTATCTGTTTTTGTATTTTTTTAATACATTTGATAACATTTCGAAAAACCTGTTTTCACTTCATCATTATGGGGTATTGTGTGTAGATTGATAAGGACATTTTTTTATTTAATCCATTTTAGAATAAGGCTGTAACGTAACAAAATGTGGAAAAAGTCAAGGGGTCTGAATACTTTCCAAATGCACTGTAAGTATCAATTGTCTCAGAGTATTCCTCTTAGTAGTACTGATCTAGGATCAGTTCCTTCCTGTCTATATAATCTCATTTACATGAAATGAAAGGCTAAACTGATCCAAGATCAGCACTCCTACTCTAAAAAGCTTGATACATTCAGCCCTTGAACAGAACATACTGAAACTTTAACAACTAACACTCAGACCCAGTCCCAAATCATTCCCTAGCCCCTACTTCCTATGCACTTGTGGAGATCTAAGAGGAATCTATAAGTGCATAGGTGCTAGGGAATAGGGGTCCATTTGGGACTGGGCAATCAGACCCTAAAAATAAACACTCACAGCAGCACCTAACTCCTCCTGTCGGTCGATGGAAAAGAACAAGAAGAAAAAGGGGTAGAGAAGGAAGAGGAGTTGTAGTCAGAAAGAAGAAAACTAACTATGTACAGAAAGTACTTCAGCCTAACACTAAAGACCCCAACAACACCTAAACAATCACGCTCGTCTTGAACCATTGAATAAAAAAATGTGTCTTAGTCAAGACGGGTTTTAGTACAGTAAGTACAATGTCACTACCCATCAATACCAGTAAACCTTAACCTGCCTGACAGCCCAAACAAAGAGGACCACAATGGAAATAGGTTGTACAACTTTTTTGGGTGGTCCTCTATGATTTTCAATGCATTGTATAGGCTACTTGTGTGGTAGAACTGTGTTTTTAAATGAACAAATAAATCAAATGATAAACCCCATGGTAGCTAGAGTCAGCCTCCTCTGTCAAGTCTAACCACCACCCCTCTCACCTTGTGGTTCATGATCTTGCCGTAGGTCTCCACCAGTGACTCGGCGTAGAAGGGGGTTTCCCCGTACAGCATCTCGTACATGCAGACCCCCAGGGACCACCAGTCACACTCTGGACCATACTTCCCCTTCCCATCCTCCATCGCCTGCAGGATCTCCGGAGAGATGTAGTCCGGGGTCCCCACGGCAACTGATGACTGGACCTGAGGGAGACCAGGCATAGGAGATGAATGGATTAGTAGTGAGTGGATGGATGGATGCATAGATGGATCGATGGATGGCATGAGGGATCAACCATATAAATAATATCATACTTTATTAAAGGGATACTGTGAGATTCGTGGCAGTTAAGCCTAAGCCCATTTTTTACTTACCCATAGTCTGACGAACTCGTGGATAGCATTGTTATGTCTCTGCGTGCAGTATGAAGGAAGTTAGAGGTATTTCGCGGGCCAATGCTAACTAGCGTTAGCGCAATGACTGGAAGTCTACAGGTACAGTAGCATCCGCATAGCATTGGCTTGTGAATCTACTTCTAACTTCCTTCATACTGCACGCAGAGACATAACAATGATATCCACGAGTTCATCAGACTATGTGTAAGTGGAAAAACTGCTTAACTGCCAGAATCTCACAGTATCCCTTTATTGCTTGATAAATAATAATCTGTAATCTGGTGTTGTTAATTGCGTTTCTAGAGTGTGTTTGGAGTCAAATACGTCCACCAAACCTAAACAAGGCCATGCCATAGAGTTCATTCTACATAAATAATACTTCACTGAGACTGGGCCAAAGAAGCGTCAGTCACCGCAGCTTTAGAGAGGCGGATCCTCTAAGGTCTCAACTCATTCATCAAAGCCACATAGCCAACCCCCTCGGAGCAGCTCAACTAGAGGAAGAGTTTTAACAACAGGAAATCAGACACAGAGAAGTCCTAAAGGGGGCCGGGGGAGCCCAGGGTTTGATGGGGTGGTGGTTGGTGGTTTGGAGGTGTTTGGTTTGGAACGTAGGGGGGTGTGTGTGTGTGTGTGTGTGTGTGTGTGTGTGTGTGCGTGTGTGTGTGTGTGTGTAGTCCTACTCACTGTGCCGTCCTCCATGAGTTTGAGGCAGGAACCAAAGTCAGCCAGGCGAATGTGACCGTTCATGTCCATCAAGATGTTGTCTGGCTTGATGTCCCTGAAGGTGACAGAAGACAGCGAGTCCAAACTAAATATACTGATACCTCTGAGAAAGAGAACTAGGGATGGAGGAAGAGGGAGAGAGGAATAAAATGAAAAACACTAATATCTCAGAGGGGGAGACAGGGAGGGAGAGAGAATGAAAGAGCGAAAACAACTTTAAACGCAACACTAGTGAGTGTTTGGTGAGAGAAAGAAAAATAGATTTAGCTTCTGTAGAGAGAGAGAATGTGTTTGCTCCTGGATGCCTTTACGTCTCCCCTCATTAAGTCTTGTGTTTATTTGGGCCGTTCGTTGCCCTTGCAGCCTCTACTGCCAATAGGGCAGACCACTCACAAGGCAGACAGAGGTTTGGTTATCCTGCCCCGACCAGAACACCCTGTCCCTGTCCCAACCAGAACACCCTGTCCCTGTCCTTGTCCAGAACACCCGGTCCCTGTCCTTGTCCAGAACACCCGGTCCCTGTCCTTGTCCAGAACACCCGGTCCCTGTCCTTGTCCAGAACACCCGGTCCCTGTCCTTGTCCAGAACACCCGGTCCCTGTCCTTGTCCAGAACACCCGGTCCCTGTCCTTGTCCAGAACACCCTGTCCCTGTCCCAACCAGAACAACCTGTCCCTGTCCCGAACACCCTGTCCCTGTCCCGAACACCCTGTCCCTGTCCAGAACACCCTGTCCCTGTCCAGAACACCCTGTCCCTGTCCAGAACACCCTGTCCCTGTCCAGAACACCCTGTCCCTGTCCAGAACACCCTGTCCCTGTCCAGAACACCCTGTCCCTGTCCAGAACACCCTGTCCCTGTCCCTGTCCAGAACACCCTGTCCCTGTCCAGAACACCCTGTCCCTGTCCTGACCAGAACACCCTGTCCCTGTCCTGACCAGAACACCCTGTCCCTGTCCTGACCAGAACACCCTGTCCCTGTCCAGAACACCCTGTCCCTGTCCTGTCCAGAACACCCTGTCCCTGTCCTGTCCAGAACACCCTGTCCTTGTCCTGTCCAGAACACCCTGTCCCTGTCCTGTCCAGAAAACCCTGTCCCTGTCCTGACCAGAACACCCTGTCCCTGTCCTGACCAGAACACCCTGTCCCTGTCCTGACCAGAACACCCTGTCCCTGTCCTGACCAGAACACCCTGTCCCTGTCCTGACCAGAACACCCTGTCCCTGTCCTGACCAGAACACCCTGTCCCTGTCCAGAACACCCTGTCCCTGTCCTGACCAGAACACCCTGTCCCTGTCCAGAACACCCTGTCCCTGTCCTGTCCAGAACACCCTGTCCCTGTCCTGACCAGAACACCCTGTCCCTGTCCTGACCAGAACACCCTGTCCCTGTCCTGACCAGAAACACCCTGTCCCTGTCCTGTCCAGAACACCCTGTCCTGTCCAGAACACCCTGTCCCTGTCCTGTCCAGAACACCCTGTCCCTGTCCTGACCAGAACACCTGTCCCTGTCCTGACCAGAACACCCTGTCCCTGTCCTGACCAGAACACCCTGTCCCTGTCCTGTCCAGAACACCCTGTCCTGTCCAGAACACCCTGTCCCTGTCCTGTCCAGAACACCCTGTCCCTGTCCTGACCAGAACACCCTGTCCCTGTCCTGACCAGAACACCCTGTCCCTGTCCTGGCCACTATTCTGATATTACATCCCACTTAATGCAGACAATGTCAAGCCATTGTCTCCACTGGTCTCCTTTCTATACCCTATTGATACACAGTACAGTATAGTAACAATACATACTCAATCCACTAACATTACACTAACAGTACATTATAGTAACAATACATCATCAATACACTAACAGTACAGTAACAATACATCAATACACTAACAGTAGAGTAACAACACATCATCAATACACTAACAGTACAGTAACAATACATCAATACACTAACAGTAGAGTAACAACACATCATCAATACACTAACAGTACAGTAACAATACATCATCAATACACTAACAGTACAGTAATACTACATCATCAATACACTAACAGTACAGTAACAATACATCAATACACTAACAGTAGAGTAACAACACATCATCAATACACTAACAGTACAGTAACAATACATCATCAATACACTAACAGTACAGTAATACTACATCATCAATACACTAACAGTACAGTAACAATACATCAATACACTAACAGTACAGTAACAATACATCATCAATACACTAACAGTACAGTAAAAATACATCATCAATACACTAACATTTCACTAACAATATCATCAACACACTAACAGTATAGTAACAATACATCATACACTAACAGTACATCATCAATACACTAACAGCATATTAACAATACATCATCAATACACTAACAGTTCAGTAACAATACATCATCAATACACTAACAGTACAGTAACAATACATCAATACACTAACAGTAGAGTAACAACACATCATCAATACACTAACAGTACAGTAACAATACATCATCAATACACTAGCAGTACAGTAACACTACATCATCAATACACTAACAGTACAGTAACAATACATAATCAATACACTAACAGTACAGTAAAAATACATCATCAATACACTAACATTTCACTAACAATATCATCAACACACTAACAGTATAGTAACAATACATCAATACACTAACAGTACATCATCAATACACTAACAGCATATTAACAATACATCATCAATACACTAACAGTACAGTAACAATACATCATCAATACACTAACAGTACAGTAACAATACATCATCAATACACTAACAGTACAGTAAAAATACATCATCAATACACTAACATTTCACTAACAATATCATCAACACACTAACAGTATAGTAACAATACATCAATACACTAACAGTACACTAACAATACATCATCAATACACTAACAGCATATTAACAATACATCATCAATACACTAACAATACAACATCAATACACTAACAGTACAGTAACGATAGATCATCAATACACTACAATTTCACTAACAATATCATCAACACACTAACAATATATCATCAACACACTAACAGTATAGTAACAATACATCATCAATACACTAACAATACATCATCAATACACAACAATATATTATACACTTAACACCACATGGTAGCTGAAGGATGGGATTAAAAACAAACAAAAGATAACTATTGTAAAATACATTGTGTTCGTAAAATGTATATAGTATGTATAAGACGGAAGTAGAAGCCTAAGTGTTGTTGTCCATTAGTTTACTCCAATTAGGAGAAGGGTGGTAGGGTTAGGAGAACATAATAAAGGAACATATTTATATATATTTTTTATACATATATGTATATCTATCTATCTATCTATCTATCTATCTATATACACACATATATATATATATACATATACATATATATATATATATATATATATATATATATATATATATATATATACATACATACATACATACACACACATATACACACACATACACATATACAGTGCATTTGGAAAGTATTCAGACCCCTTGACCTTTTCCACATTTTGTTACGTTACAGCCTTTTTCTAAAATTGATTAAATAGTTTTCCCCCCTCAATCTACACACAATACCCCATAATGACAAAGCAAAAACAGTGTTGTAGAAATTTTAGCATTTGAAAAAAATACTGAAATATCACATTTACATAGGTATTCAGACCCTTTACTTAGTACTTTGTTGAAGAGACCTTTGGCAGCGATTACAGCCTCGAGTCTTCTTGGGTATGACGACACAAGCTTGGCACACCTGTATTTGGGGAGTTTGTCCCATTCTTCTCTGCAGATCCTCTCAAGCTCTGTCAGGTTGGATGGGGAGCGTCACTGCACAGCTATTTTCAGGTCTCTCCAGAGATGTTCGATCGGGTTCAAGTCCGGACTCTGGCTGGGCCACTCAAGGACATTCAGAGACTTGTCCTGAAGCCACTCCTGTGTTGTATTGGCTGTGTGCTTAGGTTCATTGTCCTTTTGGAAGGTGAACCTTCGCCCCAGTCTGAGGTCCTGAGCACTCTGGAGCAGGTTTTCATCAAGGATCTCTCTGTACTTTGCGCCGTTCATCTTTCCCTCGATCCTGACTAGTCTCCCAGTCCCTGCCACTGGAAAACATCCCCACAGCATGATGCTGCCACCACCATGGTTCACCGTAGGGATGGTGCCAGGTTTCTTCCAGATGTGACGCTTGGCATTCAGGCCAAAGTGTTCAATCTTGGTTTCATCAGACCAGAGAATCTTGTTTCTCATGGTCTGAGAGTCCTTTAGGTGCCTTTGGCAAACTCCAAGGGGGCTGTCATGTGCCTTTTACTGAGGAGTGGCTTCTCGGGGTACTATTTAATGAAGCTGCCAGTTGTGGACCTGTGAGGCGTCTGTTTCTCAAACTAGAGACACTAATGTACTTGTCATCTTGCTCAGTTGTGCCCCGGGGCCTCCCAATCCTCTTTCTATTCTGGTTAGAGCCAGTTTGCGCTGTTCTGTGAAGGGAGTAGTACACAGCGTTGTACGAGATCTTCAGTTTCTTGGCAATTTCTCGCATAGAATAGCCTTCATTTCTCAGAACAAGAATAGACTGACGAGTTTCAGAAGAAAGTTATTTGTTTCCGGACATTTTGATCCTGTAATCGAACCCACAATTGCTGATGCTCCAGATACTCAACTAGTCTCAAGAAGGCCAGTTTTCAGCTGTGCTAACATAATTGCAAAAGGGTTTTCTAATGATCAATTAGCCTTTTAAAATGATAAACTTGGATTAGCAAACACAACATGCCATTGGAACATAGGACTGATGGTTGCTGATAATGGGCCTCTGTACCCTATGTAGATACTCCCTTAAAAATCAGCCATTTCCAGCTACAATAGCCATTTACAACATTAACAATGTCTACACTGTATTTCTAATCAATTTGATGTTATTTTAATGGAGAATTTGTTTTGCTTTTCTTTCGAAAAAAAGGACAGTTCTAAGTGAACCCAAACTTTTGAACGGTTGTATATATATATATATATATATATATATATATATATATATACACACACACACACACACACACACACACACATACAG